ATTACTCAGTCAAACAAAAATATTAGCCAGCCATTTTGGATGTCATGAAAATGCTTTTACATAGCTCAAACCATGTAAAACCATTCAATCCAAATTTCATTCCAATCACTTTCAACAATTCCTGCCTATTTTTTGGCCAGTATTCCAACACCAATTATCACCATTCAAAACCTGTATATAAATACACCATTTTGTCTCTTCTTCTTCCATCCTCCCCAGTTCAATATTTTCTTTTTCGGTTTTTTATAAGCAAAGAGAAGAGGAAAATTCCATGCCTCTTCTTTCTTTGCTTTAGTTTCTTGTACATAATAGAATAAGAAAAAAAATCAATAGATAATCCAAAGAAAAAAAAAAGAAAAGGAAAAAAAAATGGGTGGAAAAGTTATAATATCGGTGGTGTCCTTGATATTGGTAGTAGGGGTAGTAATTGGGGCAGTTGCGGTGGTAAGAAATGGTCACAACGAAAACTCATCCTCCTCATCATCGGGAACTTCCATGAAATCAGTGACAACATTTTGTGATCCGACACCGTTTAAGGATGTATGCGCAAAAAGCGTGGCGTCAGTTGCGAACAACGCCTCGGCTACCCCGAAGGATTACCTGATCGCAGCTCTGCAGGCCACCGTGGAGGAAGTCAAGAAAGGCCTGGAAGTGGCCGAAAAAACCAAAATCGATGACAAAAATGATGCCTACCACCACACGGCGGTGGAGGACTGCAAGGAATTGTTAGGGTACGCAGTGGATGAGCTTCAGGCGGCTCTAACCTCAGTTGGGGACAGCCAGCTCCACACCTTGAATGACCGGGTTGACGAGCTCCTCAACTGGCTCAGCGCTGTTTATACTTACCAGGCATCCTGCATCGACGAGTTTGAGAATCCAGAGTACAAGTCTGCCTTCCAAAACGGCCTGCTTAACGCCACTCAGCTCACTAACAACGCCGTGGACATCGTCGCTGGCTTGTCCGATCTTCTTAAATCATTCAACATTCCTGTCCAGCTCCCTCAGGCCCGGAAGCTTCTGGAGGCCGGTAGTGAGATGGGTCACGATGGGTTCCCAACATGGTTCCAGGCTGCAGATAGGAAGTTGTTGGCTCATCGTCCTAATCGCCTGGTGCCAAACGCGGTGGTGGCCAAAGATGGCAGCGGAAAATTCAGGACCATTACCGATGCCTTGAGAGCTTACCCTCCTAAGTTTGCGGGACGCTACATTATTTACGTGAAAGCCGGAGTTTATGAAGAAAATGTGATCGTTGATAAGAAGCAGACCAATGTGTATATCTATGGAGATGGTGCTGGGAGAACTATTGTCACCGGCCACAAGAACTATGGAATCATGCACGTTCAAACTTCCAATACCGCAACTTTCGGTAAGCCATTTTTCCTTCGATCTTCTTCTACGTAGTATATAATATTATGTTGCTACAAATTAATTAAAATATCTCAATACTAAAAATTATTCGATTTTGTTGCATGATACAGCTGCCCTTGGGGACGGATTTATTGCTCGTGGAATGACATTCCGCAACACCGCTGGGCCTGAGGGACACCAAGCGGTTGCACTCCGACTTCAATCGGACATGTCGGCCGTATTCGACTGCAGCATTGAAGGCTTCCAAGATACACTTTACTACCAAGTCCACAGGCAATTTTATCGCAACTGCGTCATCTCCGGAACCATTGACTTCATCTTCGGCAAGGGCTCCGCCGTCATCCAAAACAGCTTGATCATCGTGCGCAGAGGCCTACCCTCCCAGTTCAACACCGTTACCGCTGACGGCAAGGAGCTGCAGAACGATCGCACTGGAGTTGTCCTCCAGAACTGCCGCATCGTGGCCGGAAGAGATCTCGGACCTGTTAGGTTCCAGGTTCCGACTTTCCTCGGCAGGCCCTGGAAGCAGTTTGCTAAGACCGTCATCATGCAGTCGGAATTGGGCGACTTGATCAGACCCGAAGGTTACAGGAAATGGGATGGCGCAAGTTACGAGAACACATGTGAGTATTTGGAGTTTGCCAACCGGGGACCCGCGGCTAACCTCGCGTTAAGAAACAAGACTTTCAAGAAGAGCCGGGGGATGACTGCCAGGGACGCTGGTATGTACACCGTCAATGCATTTATTCAAGGTGCCGCATGGTTGCGACGCACAGGAGTACCTTTTGTTGGCGGGCTATGAATCTAAAACATCATACAAATACATATCTACAAAAAGAAAAAATGAAAAATATTCAGACCATCTAATCTTATTTAGATTCCCTTTGCTTTGGTTTTAAATCCATCAATATAGATTGATGGGTCATATTTATTATTACCAAATACACCAACGAAAAAAATAAAAAAAAAAAAAGAAGAATTCTTATGTAATAATGATTTGATCCATTGACTGTCTAATTCTATGTGTGGTTCAATTTTAAGAGATTTATGAAAGTATGTATAAAGAATCTTAGAAACAAGAAAAATACAACTTTTTATGACTTTTATTAATTACCCACCTCAAGTCTGGTATTATTCTTCCTCATCCACAGATTTAATCATTAAAAGAACTTATTATAATTAACTAGTTTATGCCCGTACAGTTGCACGGATTTACATAATTATCTTGTTTAACTATCAAACAGTGATCATTTATAATTGAGCAACTTTCAATTTTGCGACAATATTTTAGTATACAGAAAATGCGAAAGTGATAAATAAGTTTGGGACACATAAATAAAAATAAATAAACTTGTTAAGGTTTATGAAAAATTATATCCTTTGAAGCGCTTCTTTGGGCATAACATTTTTGTTTCGCGTACTAAATTCTCTTTTTTTTTGACATGTTAATACTTTCATACCTTTTCGGGATGTTACCAAAGAAAGGGCCATAAAAAGTTGTCGATGGGCAAAAGTCAAATGTTGTAAAAACACAAAAAATTCATTTGGAGTACAATTGGCCATGACTCTTATTTATTATCAAAGAAAAATATGCAACAATCGAAATTTGGCCTAGATGGAGCCTAATTAGCATCCATATATTGGACGGCTGAATGTCCATACATGAAATGAAAACTTTGATTTTCATATTTTTCCCGAAAGTAATGGTAGCCTGAATAATGCGTTCTCCTAACTTGCTAACTTGAATACTAGTATTGTTGCACAGTCCTAATGGCTGGTTCAGATTTTGGAGAAGCATTATCGATATTGACATCTCTTTTTCAATGTCAACTTATAATTCGGTATACCAGAACATATCATCCCACTGAAAAATTGAGAAGTATAACCTCATTGTCTATATTGTTAACATACTTATCTGACTCTTCCAAACAATCAAAATTGTAATAAACCTTGAATTTTTTTCTTTGAAAAAACTGTTGTCAAATGTATTTATAATGATTATCCAATCGTTTTATATTGGTTATCCAATTATTTTCGCTGCTTGTACAAATAATTTTGTATTGTTTGTCCAATGATTTTTTTTTTCTCTTGAAAAAATGTTTCTTTGTCCAATTTTTTTGTACCGACTATCCAACCGTTTTGTATTGGTTATCCAATCATTTTCACCACTTATCCATACAGATTTTTTTTTTCTTTTGAGAAAATGTATGTCCAATATATTCATACAAATTATCCAATTTCTTGGTGATAGTTATCTAACTTTTTTTTCTTGTTTATTTGTTTATGAAAATAATTCTCCAATTTTCTGTACAGATTATCCAATCATTTTGTACTGCTTATCTAATTATTTTCACTGATTATTCAATTGGTTTGTAATGCTTATCCAAATATTTTTTTTATTTTTTTGGAGGAGGAGGAAATGGTTGTCCAATGTGTTCATACAGATTATCCAACCGGCTTGCTTTGGTAGTGCATATCCACTTGCTTTGTACGCCCTATCTATCACGAAGGAATGTCAAATAGAGTTTAAATCAGGACGCCTGCCCATTTGTTTTTTTTTTTGGTACTTATAAAGCGTCTTTATACTGATTATCCATTATGTTTGTACTGCTTATCCAATTGTTTATTTTGTAAAAAGTGGTTGTCCAATGCGTTAATTGAGATTATCCAACTGAATAATACTACTCATATATCCAGCCATTTTTCCTCTTATGCAGCCATTCTTTTCATTTTACTTTTTACAAAAATCCTTGTCCAGATTATTTGTACTAACTATCCAACCGTTTTGTATTGGTTATCCAATTATTTTCATCGGTTATCCAAACAGGGTTTGTACTACTTGTCCGATAAATTTTTTTCTTTTTTTGAGAAAATGTTTCTCCAATATATATTTTCATACTAAGTATCCAACATTCCAACTTCTTGGCGATGGTTATCCATTTTTTTTTTTGCTTTTTTTTTTAATGAAAATAATTGTCCAATTGTTTATACTAATTATCCAACCAGTTTGTACTATTTATCCAATTATTTTCAATGATTATCCAAATGGTTTGTAATGGTTATCCAATCATTTTTTCCTTATTTTTTGAAAAATAGTTGTCCAGCATTCTCATACTGATTATCCAACCGAATGGTTTGCATTGCTTCTCCATTTTTTTTTTCTTTTCCATTTTTCTTGAATCCTTGTTCGTATTTTTCAAACTGATTATTCAACCGTTTTGTGCTACTTATCCAATCATTTTTACTGATTTGTCCAAATCGCGATGGCTGTCCATTGGTTCTTTAGTACTTATCCAACGCCTCCGAATGTACATATTTTTATTGGCAAAAATGTGAGAATGAATTTGAATCGGCCCCCCTATCTAATGGTTTTCTAGTGCTTATCCAACGTCATCGTAGTGACTATCCAACACAATACTTTCTTCATTTCTGCTCGAAGTATTTTAATTATTTTTATTTTTCAAAAAAAATTAATATTAATTTTATCGGATAGATCTCGACGAGTACTATACATTTCGTATATGATTCATTTTCTAATTCTTTACGGATGAAGAGATATATGCAATACAAAAATATCAATCTAAAATAAGTTGGTGATCCATCTTTTTAGACTATATATCCATCCAAATGAACATACAAATTTCTTTATTTTTGTCCATCAGAATTTAGTCATTTTTAAGTTAGAAAAAAAATTCAATATGGATCTTGTTGGATAGATCTCGATAAATACAATAAACTTCATGTGTAACACGTTTTCATGTTTGTTACAAGATTAGAGATATTTTTTGAAAAAGAGAGATAAAAAATAACATGGACCAAACTTGCAAAATATAGTGAGTTATTTAGAAGAGGGAGAAAAAAATAATAAAGACTAGCAATGCAAGAAAAATAAGAGAGGTGTACCATGGTATCGGGAGCAACTAATAATTTGCCCGTTTATTCCTTATACATGAATTAAACATTAAAAAAACTTATTATAATTATTTATTGTCATAACCATATTCATTTTTTATATATAATAGTTTATCATTTGTTTAACGACTCATCTTCTTCTTTACCATTCATCTTCTGCAAGAATTTTCCATAAAATTAACAGTTAATAGGACATAGATATTGCACGCCTGCCCAGTTTTCCGGCAACGCAGACATGCAATGTTAACGCCTGAAAGTAAACTAGGCTTGTAAATTGCACGTCCCCGATTTTTCACCAGAATTGACAAGTTTGGTTCAACTGGCCGTGCAATTTACATGTTTGGCGACTGGCGGTGAACTAGACATATAGGTTGTCCGCCCGAGTTTGAACTGGGCAGCTAACCTGTCCAGTGGGCCGGTTTTTAAATTATTTGTTTTTACTTGTGAGTCACTTATTCTCTCTCTAGTCAAGTCTGTTTGAAAAAAAAATAACGAGGGCAAAATTGGTATGTAAAGCGGCTTGGTGTGCAAATAAAAGAGAGCTAGTAGTACGTCCCAAACAGAATAGCGACAACAAGTCTATGCATGTGGAAAGAAAGAAAAAATGATAATAATCCCTCCATTTCTTTTTATTATATGTCATTTTTGGTTATAGAGAATTTTTTTAAATGTGTCGTTTTCACAAATAGAGTCACATTTGACCACTTTTTTTCAACATTGCTCCTGCATTGAAAATGAAATAGTATTGATAGTGAATTTTTATTAGTTTGCGATGAGTTGTGTAAATCATAAATAAGGATATTTTAGTATTATTACTACATTAATTAATGTTTATAAAAAGAAGAATGGAAGAAGTAATAAATTACTCCCTCCATTTTAAAATTTAGATCGTTTTAAGTTTGAAGAAATATTTCAAAATGTAAGTCGTTTTAGAATTTCAAGGCAAATTATTGGTAATTTCTCAACTTTGCCCTCAATAAATGATGCTAACTACTTTTCTTCTAGCTTGGATTAAAATTTCAAAATAATTAATGTTGGGTAAATTAGATATTTGACACATAAATTAATTGTTAAATAGTTGTTTTCTTAGTTTACGTACAGAGTCTAAATTAACTTATATTTTGAAATGAAGGAAATACAGATAAAGAAAGATTAGGAGACAAGGAATGCGAGGAAAACGTAAGCAGTGAAGTCAGATAAGTTGACCCTGCAAAATACGATAACGAAAGAATAGTTTTCCTACTAAAATAGAGATGATGGAGAAGAATTTTAAGAAGATATGGTAATAAAGTCTCATTAGTTTCCGTGTATAACATTAATTGTTGTCATGTGTAGTGTGTGTGTGCTCACTCACTTTCTCGAATCATGTGTTGTCATTGTTTGAATTGTACGAGTATTTACTACTAGTATATTACTCCTTCCATTCCAAAATAAATGTCGTTTTAGCAAAATAGAGAAATTTCAAAATAAGTATCGTTCTTACATTTTAATGCACTTTTTGTCCAAAGTTTCCAAAATTACCCTCGAAAGAATTAATATTATTGGTGGATATTTTTTTAGTGGAGTTGGTTGAGGATATTCAAATAATTTTATTATCATATTTAAGAGTTTCTTAAATTATGTGCAAAGTGTAGAATGATACTTATTTTGGAATTGAGGGAGTATTACTTTTATTTTGTTGATTAGTCTTAATTATAAGAATAGTAATAATGGCCACGTATGGTCAAAGCTCCTTCAAAACTTGCTCATTACTCCATTCCAACGACAAAAGACGACTCCTCTTCTTACCCACTTTGATGTTTACTTACAAGCTTTTTTTTTTCCATCCACCTTCTAATCAAGTAGTCAGCGGGGGTTTGTTTGTTTGTTTTTTTTTTTTTCCGTCCTTCCGTTGTTGTTTACCTTTTATTATTTATGTTTGCGGCGAAGAATTAATTAATGTGAATGATGGAAATCAACCAAAAAAAAAAAAAAGATGAGAAACCGTACCATCATATTTTAAGCCAAATTTTTCTTTTTTTTTTTTTTTTGAAAATGTTGATTCTCTGTTCTATTTTAATAATTCAACTTTGAACGATAATTATCTAGACTACTTAATGTATGAAACTCGACTATCCGTATATGATTATACGGATGCACATATATTACTGTATTTATATATAAATTGAAAAAAAATCATATATATCCAATTCATGCGTAATTTTTCTTAGTTATTATAATTTAATCTTCTTTTCAACACAAAAAAATAAAATTGGAAAGTTCAAAAGTTTATTAGTTATGGATAGAAATTGGACTATGAAAAAGAGACATACGGAGTTCGAGTAGGTGTTTGCATTTGTGGCAGTGGTGCTTGTGAGATCATAGAAGTCAATCTGACATGGGAAGATGAGAGGATTCCAAATCTAATATAGCTCTTTGGTGAGTTAGCTACTGCTTAAAATATTTTAGTTTTTTTTTGTTTTGTTTTTTGGATAGATTAAAAAGAAAAAAAATTTCATGGAAGTTTAGATGCGTATGTTTGAATAGGAAATGTGTTAATTGGAATAGAGAACAATGAAATGTAACAATAAGGAAGGTACCTAAAGAAGGAATGCGAAGCAGAAGGGGATGGAAATGAATCAATGATGAGACTGGAGAGGGAGGCATATTGGACTTGTGTGTTACTTACTACTATCAGTATATTATTATTCCTCTCTTGGCTCTTGGCTCCTCCCATCATCATCATCATCATCAAGAAGGCAAGCAGGCATGCAGGAAGGTCACTATTTCTTGTCAAACAAAACAATTCCACTTTACTATCCCCTAACCCAACTTTAAAAAAAAGCACATGGTTAATTATGAATATTCGGAAGCTGGTAATTTTAAAATAATTAAATAATAATTATCTCATTTGAACATATCTTTTTATATTTTTAATACAATTTTTTTACATTATCACTAAAAAAACATCTAAAAATACATTTCAATCCAAACACTATCAAGTATGCTGTGAGTCCCCCTCCTCCTCTATGGTTGTAGGAATTAAAAGGAGGCATTAATTCCAAAGTGAAGTAGTGTGAGATTAATATAATTGTATATACAATACAAACAGAAAGAGGAGCATTAGAAGATGGGGGGATCTGTGGACCCAAAACCATGCCTTGCAGCCCAAGCAAAACAAAAATGCAGAAAGAAAAATAAGAGCAGAAGGAAATTTCTTGCTACGTACGTACGGTCGTACGGTGAGACTTGTTGCTGTTACTAGAAATATATATATATAGGAGGACTGGATCAGTACATACAGAATGAACACATTACGATTATCAAATTCTTTTATCTTTCCTTCCAGTAAGTACTCCCTCTTCATGTACGCTGTACCCACTACCCAATAGCTTTCTCCTCCTTTTAGGCTCTCTTTGTTTCATTTTTTTCTATGATTTTTTTAAATTAATTTATTAATAATTGTCTCATCTCAACATATTTTTTTTTTATATTTTCAATAATTCATTTTACATTTTTTATTACAAAGAACACGTACTAAAAATCTCTCTTTTTTTCCCTTTATTATTAATATTGTTATTAGTACTAGACTAATAGTAGTAGTAGCAGTACTTGTATTTTTTTATTTTTTTTTTAATTAGGCTCTACGGCACCCCTCCTCCCTTTTAGACTTTTTTGTTTTCCAAAAGTTCAAAGTTCAAACTACTACTACTCAAACTTCTCCTTCCTCCTTTTCACACTAATTATTTAATTATTGCAACTTGTGTGGCTTCAAACATATTATTAGTATATTATTGGCTTTTTCCCAGTTCTTTCTGTGTTTTGTAGTATTTTCTCATTACAGTTACCTGTCTCCTTTTCTTCCTCTTCCTCTTCCCCTTCCCCCCAGTTCATTTGAAACAGAGTTGGAAGTTGGAACAGGGGAGGGAACCCCATTATGATTTCTTTTTCTTAATTATATATAAACAGTGTTTTCCTAGTAAAATTATACTACTCCACAATATGTTACTCCTAATTAACTTGATTCCTCGAGTTGACTGCTGCCCCCGTTACTACTGCTGATCATCATTTCGTTCTTCATCATCATTATTATTATTATTATTTCAATTATTTATTCCCCACACACATCCACACACACACCGCGTATATATTCTAATATTCAAAAAGTGGTGCTCTGTTTCCAGTTCCACTTCCAGAGAGAGATCAACCAGATCGTGGGTTGGGTGCTCTGTTGTTTTGCTGCCTTTTTCTTCTTCTTCCTCCTCTCTCCAGGTATATTCCTCCATCCTCTTCTCCCTTTTCAGATTACTGACCACCTCCTATATACTTCATTCCCAACTGTTTCTTTTTCTTTTTTCTTTTTTTTCCTTTTTTCTTTTTTTTTATAAATCATACTTCAAACTTCAACCTTCAACCTAATACTTCCATTGGTAAGTTGCATTTTTTTTTCTCCCTAAAATTTTTCTGTATGATTTCTGCCTTATTTTCAAACCATGATTTACACTATCTCATCACTATAAATCTCTGTTTGTTCATTCTCTGAAAATTCCTTACCCTTTGTTATTTAGGTAAGACATCAACCCAAAGTATTGATCTTTTTGTTATTTAACTATTCTTTCTTCTCCTTTTTGAGATTTGCTTTTCCCCTGCTCCTCAATATGCCCAGATATGCAAAGACTAATTTTTGCTGACTTAAATTCTTCTCTTTTCTTCTCTCAAGTAATTACTTGCTTGCTTGCTTGTAATGTGTTCCAACTACTTAGCCCCTCGGTCGTCTTCATACTGCCCAGAAGATTCTTATTCTCGGAGCCCACTCAAAATTTTTTACTTGCATTTTTTTAGCCCCCTTTTAATTCAACTTGAATGAATGTACCCATTTTTTTCTGATTAAACATTATTGTATTTTAGCTGTAATTTGTTTTTCATTTTTTCCCAGTTTTGTTTTTCATAACGGGTAGATGAAGCTCCACTGATAGATTACTCCTATATTTACTTTCCTCCTTTTTATGTATTTAATTTTTTGGTGAGAGGGGGTTTTGGTTTGATGCATTTCAACTGCAACTGCTTAGATTAGTTTCTAGTCATATTGATTATTTTTATCGTATTGCATTTTGATCATTCCTTTTTTTTTTTGCCCAACTCCCAGAAACCAATCTTTCCTTTGTTCCCTTCAAATGTGTATGCAGGTAGCTAATTCCCCCACCACCACCACAGGAGCATATAAATATGGTGGATGTAGAGGAGGAAGGTGGCCGACCTGGTCCAAGCGGGTCCCACCAATCGAGCAATGTGGTTGCCGTGACGGCTTCTCCTTCCCCGTTACTGGATGCCGATGCTAAGGAAGCCATGAAAAAGGAGGACAAGGACAAGGATGAGCCCACCAAGACTGTCCCTTTTCTCAAACTTTTCTACTTTGCAGATTCTTTTGACAAGCTTTTGATGATCGTTGGCGCAATTGCTGCTATCGGGAATGGCCTCTGCCTTCCCCTTATGACCGTCTTGTTTGGTGAATTGATTGATTCTTTCGGAGAAACTGTCGATATCAATCAAGTTGTTGGGCAAGTTTCTAAGGTAACGCCTGCATAAACTTCATGGCAAAATGTTACCAAGAGGTGACTTGAACTCTTTCTTCTCCTAACTTGTTTGCTCATTTGTTGTCAACATCTGTTAGGTCTCCCTAAAATTTGTTTACTTGGCTCTTGGTGCTGGTGCAGCTGGATTTCTTCGTAAGTTCATGCGCATTTTAGCTGAATAATACTTACTAGTCCGCGGCATTGCATACTAGAAACAAGTATGATGTGTGTTTAGTATTTGAAATGGTTAGAAATCAGGTATAGGATATATTTTTTAGTATTTGAAATGGTTTGGAAACCAAAATGTCAAACATATTTTCTACGTGCACTGATTTCTTGTTTCTACAGAGGTGTCTTGTTGGATGATCACGGGCGAGAGGCAGGCTGCTCGGATTAGGAACCTTTATCTGAAAACAATTTTGCGCCAAGAGATTAGTTTCTTCGACTTGGAAACCAATACTGGGGAAGTTGTTGGCAGGATGTCTGGCGACACCGTTCTCATACAAGATGCAATGGGAGAGAAGGTAAGGAGTAGTTGGGTACATTGTTTATGTTCCTCTTTAAATTGTTTTTGGTAAAGGCATTTGATTTTTGTTTTGCTCTTGTGACAAAATATCTTCTTCTTTTTTCCCCTCTCTTTTAGGTCGGAAAATTTATACAGCTAGTATCGACATTTGTTGGAGGATTTGTGATCGCATTTATCAAGGGATGGCTCCTTACGCTTGTCCTCTTGTCTTCCATTCCTCCGCTTGTTATAGCTGGTGGACTTATGGCCCTCGTTATATCTCGGATGGCTTCCCGTGGACAAAATGCTTATGCTCAAGCATCCATTGTAGTTGAGCAGACCATTGGCTCTATTAGAACAGTAAGTTGCTTTATCAAAACATCCAAACAATTCAGTTCCCTGGAAGTTAATACTCTTTCTTTAACCATGTTGAAATTGCTGTGTCCACCAGGTGGCATCATTTACTGGAGAAAAGCTGGCTGTCGCATCTTTCAAAAAATCCCTGGAAAAAGCTTATAAATCGAGTGTCCAAGAGTCGATAGCTGTTGGCCTAGGTTTTGGAACAGTTTTTGGCATTGTCTTTTTCAGTTATGGTTTGGCAATTTGGTTCGGGGCGAGGTTGATTGCTGAAGGAAAGCATACAGGTGGCGAGATTCTTAATGTAATCATTGCTGTTCTAACTGGTTCCATGTAAGTCTCTCCGTTAACTGAAACCTCAAGGATATCTTAATACAGTGATACGTTTCTAGTTTTCCATCCAAGCTCAGGATGGCCTTTCCATTTCATCTTTTGGTGCTATATTAGTCCTAGAGTTTTGATTTGATATTTTTAAAATAATTGTCGTAGGTCTCTGGGGCAGGCATCTCCTTGCCTGACTGCATTTGCTGCTGGTCGTGCTGCGGCTTACAAGATGTTTGAAACGATAAATAGGAAACCAGAGATAGATGCATCTGATACGCGGGGAAAGATATTGGAAGACATTCGTGGGGATATCGAGTTAAAGGATGTGTACTTTAGTTATCCTGCCAGACCAGATGAACAAATTTTCACTGGGTTTTCATTGTTCATACCGAGTGGAACTACAGCAGCTTTGGTTGGACAGAGTGGAAGTGGTAAATCAACGGTCATTAGCTTGGTCGAAAGATTCTATGACCCCCAAGCTGGAGAAGTTCTCATTGATGGAATAAGTCTCAAGGAATTCCAGCTCAAGTGGATCAGGGAAAAGATAGGCCTTGTTAGCCAGGAGCCAGTACTTTTCACAGCCAGCATTAAGGATAATATCGCATATGGAAAGGAAGGAGCCACCACCGAAGAAATTAAAGCAGCAACGGAGCTGGCAAATGCAGCTAAGTTCATTGACAAGTTGCCTAAGGTTTCTGCTTAAACTTTCACCTCTTTATTTGTATATCACCAAAAACACGTGCAGACCCTTGTGAATATTCCTGTTCATTTTTCGGTTTTGTAATTATGCAATGCAGGGACTGGACACGTTGGTTGGAGAGCATGGTACTCAGCTATCTGGTGGGCAGAAGCAAAGAATTGCTATAGCAAGAGCGATTTTGAAGGATCCGCGGATTCTTCTTCTTGATGAGGCAACTAGTGCTCTAGATGCAGAATCTGAAAGGATAGTGCAAGAGGCTTTGGATAGAATTATGGTCAACCGAACAACTGTCATCGTTGCCCATCGTCTAAGTACAGTGCGAAATGCAGACATGATTGCTGTCATTCATCGGGGAAAGATGGTCGAAAAAGGTAATCACTTCTTGCTGGAATTTCCTCCCTTTTGTGTGGATTTCCAGTTTCTTTGAAAACTCAAAATACTGATGCAGAAATATTTGCACTTCAGGTACGCATTCTGAACTAATCCAAGATCCTGAAGGAGCATACAGTCAACTTATCCGCTTGCAAGAAGTGAATAAAGATGCAGAAAAAAACAATATTGATGGGAAAGACAGCAAATCAGGCGCTACTATCAGCATGGAATCCGGTAGACAATCAAGCCAAAGAATGTCAATCCAACGTTCAATCAGTCGCGGTTCTTCTATAGGGAATATCAGTCATAGATCTTCTCTAGGGAACAGCAAAAGGCATTCATCAATCCCGGTTTCCTTTGGTCTGCCAACAACAGGTATAACAACATCTGAAACTAATTTGGAAGGGCATGATGTTCAGGAAACCGCCGAAAAGGCCCCGCAGGTCTCTGTTCGCCGTCTTGCTCTTCTCAACAAGCCAGAAATCCCGGTCATCATGCTTGGAGCCGTAGCTGCAATTATTAATGGGGCAATTCTTCCCATTTTTGGCATACTACTAGCTAATGTGATTAAAACGTTTTATGAGCCTCCTCATGAACTCAGGAAAGATTCACGATTTTGGGCGATTATTTTTGTGGTTCTGGGAGCGGTATCAATAGTAGCGTATCCATCAAGAACATATCTTTTTGGCGTGGCTGGAGGCAAACTGATTAAGCGAATCAGATCAATGTGCTTTGAGAAGGTGGTCTATATGGAGGTGGGATGGTTTGATGAGCCTGATCATTCAAGTGGATTTATCGGCGCAAAACTCTCTTCCGATGCTGCAATGGTTCGTGCATTAGTTGGAGATGCTCTTGGGCAGCTGGTCCAAGATGCTTCATCTGCAGTTATTGGTTTGGTCATCGCATTTTCCTCAAGCTGGCAACTGGCACTTATAATTCTTGCTATGATACCTCTAATAGGATTGAATGGATATGTGCAAGTTAAGTTTATGAAGGGGTTCAGCGCAGATGCAAAGGTTGGTTCTCAGTCCCTTAAGATTGGTATTCTGAGGGCACTTGAGCTAAAAGTTTGACACTAGCTTCTTGATCTCATGTAATTTTTATTGTAAACTTTGCAGATGATGTATGAGGAAGCGAGTCAAGTCGCTAATGATGCGGTTGGAAGCATTAGGACTGTCGCTTCATTTTGTGCTGAGCAAAAAGTGATGCAAATGTACAAGAAGAAGTGTGAAGGCCCTGTGAAGAAAGGAATTAGACAAGGGTTGGTTAGTGGGATAGGATTCGGTTTGTCTTTCATGCTGCTTTTCCTCGTCTACGCCACCAGTTTTTATGCTGGAGCCCGTCTTGTTCAGGACGGTAAAATCACATTCTCAGATGTTTTTCGCGTAAGTCGATGAAATATTCTGCAGTTTTTCAAGACAAAATATTGAAAATCAACGCAATGCTGTACTTTAAAAAAAAGGTGGATGTTTATGAATCCGTTTATGCTTCTGCAGGTTTTCTTTGCTTTGACTATGGCAGCAGTGGCAATATCTCAATCTAGTTCTATGGCCCCCGATTCGAGCAAAGCAAAGAATGCTGCAGCTTCAGTATTTTCTATTCTTGATAGGCAATCGAAGATTGATCCGAGTGATGAGTCTGGAATGACATTGGAGACCGTGAAGGGAGAAATCGAGTTGCAGCATGTAAGCTTCAAGTATCCAACAAGGCCAGATGTCCAAATATTCCGAGACCTCTGTTTGACCATTCGTAGTGGCAAGGTAAAAAATTTTCCATTTTAGATATCATCTCTTGCGTAATCTCCTGTCTTGCAATGTATGCAAAGTCATAAGGCTACACATATGTTACAGCATCATTGTGTTTCCTCCCTATTAAGTTCTTTGGTATTTTTAAAGATTGAAGATGGGATATCTGTTAGCTATGTATTTTTCATCAATAAAACCTTTTGCTTTTAGGTTTTGTAAAAGGTATGTGAATAGGTAGTTAGGCTTATTAGCTATGTGGCGTGTTTGTTTCCCATCTCTCCTGCCTATAGTTTGTAAGATTTATATCTTGAAGAATCGTTTTGCATGTGAGGCTTACACCCTAATGAAGCTGAAGATTTTTGTGACATTTCTGCCGCTCTTTACATACAGTTCTTCCCCCTGTGAGGGCAGACGTTGCTTCACAGTGCAAGGGGAATGGCCTTTTCTGGGCAGCTTCAAATTTTGTCCATGTGTTACCTTGGACACTTAGTTGGCTGCCCGTTTTGTCTTCAATTGTTTGGGGTTTGATTAGCGAGCTGATCATGCTTTATTTCTTCCTTTTCTCCCTTTCAGACGGTTGCCTTGGTTGGAGAGAGTGGAAGCGGGAAATCAACGGTAATTCAATTGTTGCAGAGATTTTATGATCCGGATTCAGGCCATATTACTTTGGATGGAATTGAAATTCATAAGTTTCAAGTAAAGTGGCTCAGGCGGCAAATGGGGCTCGTGAGCCAAGAGCCTGTGTTGTTCAATGATTCAATTCGAGCCAACATTGCCTACGGCAAAGAAGGAAATGCGACTGAAGCTGAAATAGTAGAAGCATCAGAGCTGGCTAATGCGCACAAATTCATAAGTGGCTTACAACAGGTCTGTTTAAATTCAAAACCAGATAAGTTGCACAATTGATTTTGAATTTTGAATCATAAATGTTAAAGGTTTGGATGAATTTTCATGCAGGGATACGATACAATGGTAGGCGAACGTGGTGTGCAGTTATCAGGTGGTCAAAAACAACGAGTTGCCATTGCTCGAGCAATTGTGAAAAGTCCAAAGATACTTCTTTTGGACGAGGCAACCAGCGCCTTGGATGCAGAATCTGAGAGAATCGTACAGGATGCACTAGATAGGGTGATGGTGAATCGAACGACAGTTGTGGTGGCCCATAGGCTGTCTACAATAAAAAATGCTGATGTGATTGCTGTGGTGAAGAATGGAGTGATTGTGGAGAAGGGGAAACATGACACTCTTGTCAACATTAAAGATGGATTCTATGCATCCTTAGTTGCACTTCACAGCAGTGCTGCTGCCCAACATTAAGCCCTCACTTTCTTCTCCTTGAACATCTTCCTCGCCGCAATTTACCTTTGAAATCTTGCTTTGGAATAAGTACAGTAGGGCAAAGAGAGTTGGTATACAATCAAGACTTCACTGACTTCGATCAACATTTTCGAGCTTACAGGATTTAACTGGTTCTTAATCGGCTGGATTCAAGGGCGGCCTTTGTACAAATGTATACATTCAGTTGCCTCAAGGGGGCGCTGCTGATAACCACGTCGAAACAACTACTATACAATCAATGAGATTAGTAACACGAGGAGAAAGAGTTGAGATACTTCTGTTGATGCTTTTGAGTTTCATTGTCTGAGTTGAGGAATGCGGACAAATACCGAGCTTCTTCTTAACAAGGGAATTTAAGTTTTTGATTTCTATCTTATGTATGGAGATAGTATGGATATTTCTCATGGACTGGTTCTGAGTCCTCTTCATTTATATCTGGATTCTGGAGGGCTAATTCTTCTTGTTATTGTTAGACTTGGAAAATGAATGCATGCCTTTGTTTCATTTATGAATGCTGAAAAAATTTTGGTTCTCTAATCTGAACCATACTTCCTCTTCTGCTGCCCTAACCTTTTCAGGACTTTCGCACCCTGAAGTTTTTAGAGGAAGGATGTCATCTACGCTCATTTCCTTAACGAATCTCCTGTTATATTTGAGAACATTGATTGGTCTACACATTTTGGAACCAACAACTTGGTACATGCTTCTGATTACATTTACATCTTTGTTCTAACAGACATTACTTGCTTTGATAGAAATGAAATAGATGCTGCCAGGATCACAGTATTCCATAAATACTCTGAAATTGATATCAAGATTCAGATTTAAAGAGATTTTCATCCCACAAACAATGTTCTCATCATCTTCACTTACATCAATTTGCAAATCCAAACTGAATGCATTCGTATTCTTCATATTATTGATATCACAAGTTTCTGTATCACATGAAGTTTGTTCTAAAGGTTTTCCATGTGTTAAAAAAAATTAAGAAAAAAGAAGCAAAAAATCCTTTCACACTACCAAAGATCTATGAGAACAAAATTCTGCGATATTCGCCACAGTTCTCTATGATCTTTGTCTAAATCTTCATAGGCACAATTCTACAATAGAATTACTAAAAATGAATGGTGTTCAAACTATTCTACAGTGAGAGAAATATGATGTAAATAATGTCTCTACATGCGCATCGCTGTTGGCGAAATCTCTGATTCAGAACTTCGTCCTAGCTCTAATTCAGATTCATCAGCTTTCCCCTACCAATGCATGTATGATATGTCATAACCGAAGGTCCAATAATAAAGATAAAACAACTAATCAGAGTGATTCCTACCATACCATTTGATCCAGGTAAAATTCCAAAGCACCTTCTCCGCGAAGAATTTTCCCTCCACATCCAGTCGTATTTAATGAACCCACGGACTCCTCATCAACCACAACGGCATCGATTTTTTCTTTTCCTCTCCTAATATCAGGAATCTAAGGAAACAGCAGACAATTCTTTTAGCACGATTGGATAAAAGATTAAATGTATTCAAAAAATAAAACATCAGAAGTGAGCTTTTCCATAAGAAACCACGGAACCTACCTCGTACATCGCATCAATTAGTATGCTCTCCAAAATGGTTCTTAAACCCCTGGCACCAGTGTTTTTTGCCATTGCTTTCTTCGCAATTAATCGTAAAGCCTTCTCTGTAAAATGCAACTTCACCTGGCAACATATTAACTTTTACCAGAGGAATTCCAGGCATTTGAAGAAAGGAAAACTATCACAAGCTTTCAGCAATACTTGAGTTAATAGAGTAAAAGGATGCAGGACATTCTAAGCTTTCAGCAATACTCGAGTTAATACAGTAAAAGGATGCTGGGCATTCTAAGCTTACTTACATGGTTCATACTAAATAACTTCTTATACTGCTTACAGAGAGCATTTCTTGGTTCTCTCAGGACCTGGAAATAAAACAATCATCATAGTAAGAAAAAACACGGTTCAAGTATATGAACAACATTTAATCAAAATTAAGCTTTCCCAAAGGATTGTAACATAGCCGACCAAGACAGATATTGCAAGCAAGGATTTGTTCCAAATGTCTTATAATGTCAGCTATCACAACATGCTATTACACTATCCAAAATTACTCTACCAAAATCAACTGAAAAAATACAAAAACCACTCTGACATGCTCAGACGCAGAGGTACCATACTATTCAAAGAAACTGATAAGGTCAAAGAATGAACAAGTAGAAATTACCCGAACAAGCTGGTCCTCAGTCAAAGCCAATAGATTAACTAAAATTGGGAAACGGCCAACAAATTCTGGTATGAGACCGTAGGCGATTAGATCGCTGCTTTCAACCTGAAATTAGTATGCCCCTTGCTTATTTTTGAAAAACAATTTGTAGTTATTGATCTTATATTTGACCAAAAGACGATGAAATTTCTTTATTGCATTCCCTTACAGATTCCAGTAAGGATGACGTCACTGCAGCATTACTAATTCCACCAGTTCTCATGTTAGCACGGACCGGAGCTCCAAATCCAATTGATGAATCCTGTCGCCTGGCAAATCATCCATAGAAGATTTCTTCAGTGACTTCATACATCTTTGAGATTGTGTCTTCATTAAGCAAAACATTCAGGCAGATAAAAAAGAAACCATGGTAGGGCTTTACCTATCGGAAATTGTCTTTTCCAAATCAACAAATGCTCCACCACAGATAAATAGAATATCTTTGGTATCTATCTGTGGTAAGGCAAATGACAATGAAATTTGGTAAATATCTTTGCAGTGTACACATAACAAAATCTCAAGCACATCATAAAGTAAGAGATACCACAATTGAGTAATTTTCTTCTAGTTTGCCAGAGACGCCATCAAATGTATGGAAAGGGAAAAATACCTGAATATGATCACCACGTGGATGTTTCCTGGCCCCTTTTTCAGGAACATTCACTATCTGATTCAGTTTTCAGAAATATAAAGAAAAATGAAAAGAAAAACTTCATCAGTCAACTCAGTAAATGAGTTCAGTACTTTGCAACTGTAATCGTATCAAAGGTTGTTGACTCCACAACCTCAAATGAAATACATCATTTATCGAGAAAATATTAAAGAAACTAACATAGGCTACGTAATGCTAATGGCATAAATGAGGAAGATAAGAATATGGCAAGAGGTGAAGACACAGAGAACAGGTTAAAAAGGTACTTGTACTCACAGTTCCTTCCAGCATTTTCAGAAGCGCCTGCTGAACCCCTTCCCCAGACACATCTCTGCTGATGTTCAAGCTCTCTGCCTTCAAATTGACCACAAAAATGAAAAGGCGAAACATGAGAAAATAAAGCAATAAAATGAATCTGATAATCCAGAAAGTACTAAACAACAGTTCAGAAGGAAAAGCAATTGGTTAAATTGAAAACAAAAGAGGGGAAAGCACCTTTTTGGTTATTTTGTCCACTTCATCTATATACACCATTCCTTGTTGTGCAGCTTGAACATTGAACTCGGCAACCTTCAAGACAAATTAGAAGCTATAATTTTCCACGCTGTCAAGTGTGAATCACACATGGAACCACGCAAAAAGTTTGAAATATGGAGCATATTGAACATAAACCATGAAAGAAAAAAGAGAAAATGAAACAGTGACTGGCCCAACCCTGGTTACATTAAAGTTATTTCTATCAGTGGCATACAATGTTTAAACAAATTGAAAAGTTAGATTTGGGGTTTCTCAATGACACTCTCTAAATGTAATGACAAAATTCGACAGCAATGTACACGAACATGAAACACTTGAAAGAAATAAAAAATAAATTAAAAAAAAAATCATTGAACCGGTGTAAAAACCAAGGCTGGGAAGTGTACCGTGAGTAGTTTGTGAAGTATTGACTCAACATCTTCGCCAACGTATCCAGCCTGTAAAGCAAGTCAATTGCTCTTTTAAGCTAAAATCAATTTGAAAAAAAAAAAAAACAGAAATAGAAAAGGTCATTGACAAATTGAAGTTGCTAGTTTCCTTCATTTAGAAAAGACTGGTCATTATAATATTCAAAAAGGGCCAACAAGGTTTTCCAAAGGAATTCTTAAGCAACAATAAGCTGGCAAATATATCTTAAGGGATAAGAATAATTGAGAAGAGGGCCGTCCAAGATTGACCTTCAACTCACCTGGGTTAATGTAGTTGCATCAGCAATCACAAATGGAACATTCACAAAACGGGCAAGTGTTTTAGCAAGCAGTGTTTTCCCTGTTTTCATAAGGCAACACCAATTATATGAGCATACCATCCTTATCAACTTAATGCTAGCCATTTTTTTCTTCATGAGGAACTAGAGACCAACACTATAACACACAAAAAGAACATACCCGATCCAGTTGGTCCCATCAAAAGGACATTGCTCTTCTCTAGTTCTACATTGTCATCATTATCTTTTGATCCCATCTCCATCCCTGACCTAGTATCATCCAAGCACAGAGATGTATGAGAAAAACAACTACAAGTGCAACATATATCGATAAATGTCAGCAAATTAGAAAACCAACCCTTTCTGCAAGGAGGCGTTGTATATCCTTTTGTAATGATTGTAAACAGCCACAGATAACACCTGCAAGTTATAAGGAGCACAGTAAGCTATGGGAAGATGAATTCTTTTTAAGAAAGCAACCCCCCCCCCCCAACCCCCAAAAGAAAGGCACCTTATCGCTCCATGCTACATATAGCTTTCAACTGATCACAGCAGAACTTAAAGCTAAAAAGGTTGCATCAAGATTGCAACTTTGTGCAGTTATAATCACAGTGAAAACTTAACGGTAAAAAATTTAATTATGGAACTGAAAAATGACCTTCTTAGCACGATTTTGGCCAATGACAAATTTGTCAAGGCCCTTGCAGATCTCCTTCGGGGTCGGTAAATTCTTTCCCAGATTAGACCCTCCCCATTCACATCCACTCTTGTCTCCATTGTTACTATTTTTGCTTGTAGCCCGAGTGACATTTAGGCCAGGCGCAAAAGGCGGGCCTGGAGGGGTATGCACAGCAATCCCATTTCCATTTCCATTATTACCATTACCTGAAACAACAAGAAGAGCACCTTAGCGTTTCCCAGTAAATATCAATCAACTATATAATCATGCATTACAATTGTAAATACAGATTTTCATTTAAAGGGCAAGTTTTGTCGAGCAGCCAAACGTCCTGCGTGTGTGCACTAAGTGTGTGTATTTCAATCATACAAATGCTTTCATTAATAAACAACTTGAATAAACTTATATGGATCCTAGATTGCCATCATAAATCTACACACAGATTCTCATCTGGAGTTCAATTTTGTCGAGGTGTAGAATGAGTGTGGTTGACTCAACATAAATAATTTCAAATAAGCATTACGAATAGCTGGTTGAGTGGGTGTTGTCTGTGTAGTAAGGTGAAGTTCAATGAACACAAACACCATCTACTAAGCCTTTATCCTACTACTAGAAGCTGATATGCTGACCAACACGGATCATGTATCCCCATGGGATTTTGTCAAAATACATTAAACACAACCACTTCCAAAACAAAATCAGGCCAACATTACCGTTAGCAGGTGGAGGAGGAGAATCAGTTGCATAAGAATTGAAGGTTTCCCAGAAAGAGGCCCTAAGCCTCTTCCCCCAATCATCCTCATGAGCCATCATGAATCTCTTACTATCTGATGATGACGAATTAGAATTTCTCTTGACCCTGCCAATCTCAATGAAGCTCCCTTGAAGGGGCCCCTGCATCTTGTGGGGCCGGAAGTAGTAGGCAGTTTTGCAATTTGGACAGAGGTTAACAGCCTGATACTGATTTGGCTTATCAGAATCAGAGCCGGTGATGTTGACGTCACCTTGCTGCCGCTTGTTGTCGCCGGCGTCGTCATCATGGGTAGTAGGAGGAGGAGGAGGAATGAGATTCGGATTACGATTGGTGAAAAAGAGCTCCATTTGCTTGCAGCACCGTGGGCAGTTGGCCTCCGCCTTGATTCTTCGGACGGTGTGGTAGTTGTCAGAACCACCGCCGCCGGAGCCAACATGGTCGGACTTGAATCTCAGCTGCAATAGGCAATTCAGGAATCCGATATGGTGGCGGGTCCGGGCCTGATTCTGGATGGTCCATCCCTGACCCAATAAAGATGAAGGTGGAGATGATGAAGAAGAAGAAGACGACGTAACCTGGGGGTGGTGTCGTCGAAGTTTCTTGGTCCATCTCCAAATGATGCTCCCTCCTCCTCCTCCTCCTCCTCTGGACATATCACATCTCATATCTCATATAATAATAATATAGACACTCCCTATTAGGTGAAAGACTCTGTTTTTATTTCTGATGCCTCAATTGGGATCTGTGGCAAATCGATGGATTTTGTTGTTCGTGTAACGTTGTATTGTACTATTTCATAGTGTGGCATCGAGCAACTTAACTGCTCAAGTTAACTGCCAACTTTCTTATCTGATTGGTTTTTGTTTTCCCACTTCACAGTGCCTGTTATTACCACCAGTAAATAAAAATCCTATCTTTATCCACTTTCTTGCAAGGAAGAACTACTGTAAGAAGTTAATTTGATGACCCTATTTTTTGAGTAATGTTTCCTTTCTTCTTTTTGGGGATTCAGAAACATGAAATAATAGTGTGTCAACTTGAACTTGCCGTGTGTTGCAGTTTCTCACCTCTTTTCTCTCACACTTTCAGCTCAACCGCATGATCCTTCCTCTTTTAACCTTTGCCAACACCGTGCCCAAAATGATTTATATAACCATTATAACAAACACATATTCAGCGTATTTAACTCCCTACCAGGAATTTTACTACCTTTTTAACTGTTACATTTTACACTATATATAGAATATGCACCTAGTGAACCCACATGTTCCCGTTTCCTTCGCATATTCACAGAGTCCATTCCATTTTCTTATCATCATCCAGCAGAAGTCATAGAGGACAAAGTTCAGCAAAAGTAGGAAACAAGTCCACAATGACAATCTAATAACAATTACCTAGCACACACAAGTTACCTGGAAACATTGCAATAGGATGTTCTTTCTAAGTTGCAGCACATTTGCCCACGGAGGAGTTCAATACTACCTCAAAACAATAGTGTATTCCATACACAATCAGATTTGTTATTCTGCAGAGATTTATGTAATATCATGCTTCTGATCTATCCAGAACTTAAAAGTTGGACAAAGGTAAAACAATCAATATACACCAAATACTACTCAATTTCAGAAGAATGAAACCAAAGTTTCAAGGATAACAAAGCTTCCTACATTGCTGAATTTGCTATCCAGATTTACATTCAGAGATATGGAATACCCAAAGTTTATCTAAAGGTCCCTTTCTCTTAGCTATCAAAAGCAAAGAACAGAATCTACCATTTAAGTAAATTATGTCTCATTCATCATCCTCGTCGCTTCCATCACTATACGAAACCAAACTACCAAGACTATTAACAACATGAGGCTGATCTAATTCTGTCCTGATAATGTTATTTTCTGCAACCTTAGTCTTCACTTTATCACCATCACATGTTTTGCTATCATGTGCAGTTCCTTCTGGACTGCTTGTGGCCCTCGTGGGATCCGTCCTTGCTTTCTTGGCTTGGGGTTTCACTTTTATAACAATTCCTGATAAATGAGGAGAAGAATTTTTCCTCTTCGGCAACTTTTCCTCCTGCATTATGGCCATTGTAACATTACAAAAAGTTGGACAATATGACGCGCCCATTGGCAGCCGAAATTCCAGTTTGGTAAGGGTATTCTGGTCTCGAGACCAGAGTAATTGCTCTTTCACATACTATATCTATAGACCTGACGGACTAACCCAGTTTGGCAATTACAAAGAGTTGTTTATCTTAAACAATCCAGGCAACATCACATGCTAATTACGCCATCTTGTCTTACAATAAACTTAATCAGACTACCAGGGGTGGGAGGGTTGGGTGGGGTGGTTAGGGGATTAGGGAAACTTAATCAGACTACCAAGAAAAATAAAGCTTTAGGATATCTAGCTAAGAAAAAGTTTTCCCATTTCTGTTTATTCGGTAATGATAAAAAACAACTTCAACGTCAAAAATATCAAATAAAAATATGAAGTTATGAACAACGTAAAAAAGGAACTTACCGAGAATTTAAATCCACCTAAAGGAAACTAGAGGAAGTAAAACAAACAGAATGGAGTTTGTTAAAGTGAATAACTAACCTGGACTTTAGGAACAGGAGGAATCTCCTTTGGTTCGGAGACAACTGTACTTTGTGCTTGTGCGGCCACAGCAGCCTACAATGAACCCATCAATCAAGTTTCAAGGATGTTATAATAGCAAGACAAAGAATATATGCAGGGAGTTAAAAGGAAAGAAAGTTGCATTCGATTATGAAAGAGAAATTTAGCCATTGTTGTTCATTTTTTAGGGGGAGAAAAGGGAGTTGATAAAAATAATCTTAGGTATAGAATCATTCAACTTTCTTGAATGCAACCTGGGTACTACTTTCTGATCTTAACTAACAATATCTAAAAGTATGAGAACGTAATACAGTCGACTTTGAAGATAGTAATATTACTTGGAATCTTTGCAGCTCCTGTGCTTCTTCATTTGCCACTTGTTGTTCATACTCTTTTCTTGACTGCAATGCGAATTTAAATTTAAAAAAAAAAAAAGAAAAAAGAAATATAGAAAACAAGGTCAGAATTGTCGTTTAATGGGGGGACAAAGTGAAGGAAAAAGAAAAAACGTAGAAGTCTAAGCATCGCACCATCTCAAGATTATCAAGAAATTCGGTCTCGTCTTCATCCAATGCTTTAGGTGGTCCTGGAAAAAAGAGATAATTTCAGTCTTTAGAAAGCTGAAAAAAGACAGTGATCCTGTCAATCTTCATTGCACACAAAAAGAAAATGAAAACAGTAAAGCTTCTTACTGTGTTTGAAACGCTCATTGAACTCTGCATCTTTTTTATCTTTGTTCTCCTTTAAAATCTGGGTGAGAAAAATGAACCAATCAGGTGATGATAGGTACTAGTCAAACGAGTAGGGGAATCGTAGTTGATTTACATTATAAACACTGAGAGATGTCAAAAACAGAACACAAGTGATGAGAGCATATCTGGTGAGGTTGGTTATATGGGTAAATTTCGGTAGTATCAATGAGCCTTTTCCTTTAACAATGTAAGTTATGTTCCATTAAAAAAATGGCATCGGAGTTGAGGTTAAAAAGATGCAGTATCATTTTAAACTTTTCAATGGATCCTCGATTTAATATGGTTCCACTGAGCTCAAACTTCCGGAGCTTGACGTCGAGCTCTATTAAGTAAAACCGTGCTTCAACTACTGGTATCGATCTCAAGCATGAATCAGCTCCGTTACAGTCCTGCTCAACTCTAATCTATAAAATCCTAGGCTAAGGCTACTATAGAAGTGTAAGCAATTAAAAAAAAAAAAAATTAAAACAAAAAGGAAGAACAGGAGCAACAGCAATGATTATCACCTCGAAAAGGGACCGGTCTCTTTGAGCAGTACCATCGTCCACCCTTGATCCCCTACTTTTCCTTGATTCTTCCAACTGTAGTATAATACGTAATACAATAAAAAAATCGAGACAGCAAATAAAAAATAATTACTCGATGAAAGAAGGATACAAGAGAAAGGGAAAAACCTGGTGTTCAGAGACGAAGTTCATGAGCCGAATCGGTGGGGCAGAGGTATCGTCAATGCTGCCTTCATCCGCCATTGTTGTTGTTCTTCTTGTTCTCGGCTACAACTACTATAGAGGTGAGGGTATCAGCGAGAAAAGAGGAAGAATGGGTAGTTTCCAAAAGTAAGACCTATGAATTTTTTCAGAAACCCTCTTCTTCAAGAGGCAATCCCCCCCCGGGATTACAATCTCTGCAACTCACCAACTGTGGATGAATGAATAAGAAGGAAAAACGCCAGTTACACAAATATGGCCAATGTGGCCCTTTTAATTTAAGCGATTCATTCACTCGAGTAATGGGCCAAGTGAGTTCTCTTTTTTTGTTGTTGCCCAGGATCAAGTGACCATCTTAACTTGATTGGGCCAGCTTGGTTGACTCATCAATTTCATTTCTGTTCAGACCCCTGTAAATATACTACTAGTAGTACAAAATACAGCATAAATACTAGTACATAGGACTATGTAGTGAAGGGGATTAGTCACTGTTGTCGGCAGTGGACACCCTGCAAATATACAAAAAAAAAAAAAAAGATTTAGATAAAGGCAAATTGGATTATTAGGTAAGAAATTGGCTATATATGTTTTATACAAACTTTTGAATTTTGACAAGTGTAATCCATACTAATTGTTGTTGAATAATAATAATAATAATAATAATAATATTATTATTAACGCGCGGCTAATAAAATAACAAACTCATTCTGATGGATATAAATCATAAAACTAGGGAACGTGTGTGAAAAAAAAAGTAATAGAGAATGTATCACCCAGATAATAAGACAGCGAAATGTTAGCACATAATCTTTGATCAAGATTTTTATATGGACGAGAATGAAGATATGCCAAATATGTTGTAATATGTAGTAGGAGTACAAACATATATAACTATTCACAACAACTTAATGTCGTGCGTGGTCATATAATTCACAGCAACCGGGTGCTGCCTGTTGTTATAAAACACAGCGCGACGCATAATTTTATTTTAAATTTTCTTCTTCTTCTTCTTCTTCGTTCTTCCCATACCCAAAAAAAAAAAAATAAGGAAGAAAAATGAAGAGAATTCTCACACTTGATGGATGTATTGTATATGCAATGCAAGATGTACGTCAGGGAAGAGGCCTCCACAACGGCTAGCATTGGACATCACCAAGATACAGTGCACTACACCGTAATGGTCCGTCCATCCAACCCTGAAAGGAATCATGTACTCTCTCCCCAAAAATTATTGCCAAAATTTAGATTTTTAAATTATAGTACTAAAAATACAAATCCTAATTATATAAACAATACATTTTGGAGCGGAGGAAACAAACATAAACAATTGCATACCTCATTTCCGCCGCAGTTTTCAATATCTTTGGTACGAGGTTTTAATTTTGTTGCCTTGTTGGTTTTTTTGTTATTATTACTACTAGTACTACGTACTACTTTCGCTAGCTATTAGGCTTACCCCCTACTCACTCTCTCATTAATTCCTCCTGATCACTTCTTCGAAGACTAGCTAGTGCCTAGTTGTAGCACTTATCACGGAAAATGCCTTCTTATATTAATAATTAAAATTGAAGACTAGCTAGGCCTGGTTTGCTAGTTATAGCATAGTAATTGAAGTGCGTGGATGGATGGAATTAATAGTGAATTTGTACTCTCTAATTTTTACCCAATCAATGTTGAGGTATCTGGTCCTGACTTTGGACACTGTACTGTAACCTAGTTCTCCATGCCTCCCCTGGTTGGCATCGGTTATAGTACTCCTCCTTCACTAATGTTTAATTTGAGACAAATTAATCTACTTTTTCCCTAGTAGTACTACTATTTTTTAATCTTGAAATAGTTATTACCACATGATGTACCTTAATGACACATAGTTTTACGCACGAGGATCAAATCAATACTACTATAGTGTGGACTTTTTGTGTTTTTTTTGGTGGTGTGGAAACTGTTGATATACGGGAGTACTCCTTACTACAACAACTAGTTTGGGGGTGGTAATAATGAAAGTAGGTGGCAGTTGGAAGTGGAACTGATAAAAGTTTGGTTACCCCCATAAGTAGTAGCAGTAGTATTAAATTAATTAAAGAAGATGAGAGATGAGATCATCCGGCGGGCTGTGTATTCATCAATTTGCGGAAAAATTGGCTAATCTACCCTAAACTTTACATGCATTATCAATTTTACTCTATTCTTTTTTTATTAGTCAATATTACCTTAAGTTATCCAATTGTTAGCCGATTTTGTCCAATTTGCTCTTTTCCATTTAAATTAACAGAATTTTATTTGTTTTAATTATAAAAATATCCTAATAATTTTAAAAATTATAAAAATAATCCCAAAAATTTACAAAAATAACAAAACAGTCTCTTTTCAGTTTTTGTTTAATTTTTTTATTTTTTATTTCTTTTTAATATTTTCATAACTATAAAAATATACTATATGATCTTAAAAAAACTATTTATTTTTAAACTCTAATGTACAAATTTATAAAATGATATTTGTAAGTCATGTTTAATTTACATAAACATATTATTTTTTTAATAATATGATTTAACGGTAATGATATTATTTTTTAATCTATTTTTTTCAATCTAAAGAATAAGATTATTTAACTAAAACTAATTTTGCACAAAAAAATAACACATATAGCATAGATTAAAAAAGAAGTTATTGGTATACATTAATGTATTACAATTTTGATTCAACAGACTTTAGATTGTATCATAAAATTAAAAAATAATTAAAACTAAAATATAAATTTTTCTGTAAAAGGCCAAGTATGAAAAGAAAGTAAAAAAAAAACACCTATTTCATTTCTACATTGGCCCAACACAAGAATATAGTGTCATGGCATTTACAAAATGGTACAAAATATTTTATAAAAAAATATTTATATTTATCATTGCGAGGATTTAACATTTTGTGATAATTTTTTGAGATATTAATATATCTAACTTTAGCAGAAAGTCTTTTTTTTAAAAGAAAAAATAACATAAAGAAAATCTATTCCAATACTGGACTCCATCTTTTTTTTTTAAAAAAAAAAATAGATTGTCCCAGTGAGAATCGAGACATCGAACACAGTAATTTTATCTCACATCCTAAATCACCTGACCATCTAACCCTCTCACCTTTAGTGAACCCCGCTTAAATATGGATAAAATCACTCTCCCGGTTAGAAATCCTTTGATGAGACTTAATCTTATATCTACTCTCATGAAACAGAAAATTTGGCCGATTATTTTTTAATCTATGCTAAATTTTTTAATTTTTTGTAAAAAAATTAGTTTTAGTAAAAAAAAAAAAATCTTATTCTTTAAATTGAAAAAAATGGATTAGAAAACTGATATCATTATTTTCTAGCCATAGTATTAAAAAAATTAATATGTTTATATAAATCAACCATGAATTACAAATATGTATATCTGTAAATTTGTGCAGTATCGTTTAAAAATAAAATTTTATTCTAAAAGATCATATAGTATATTTTTATAGTTATGAAAAATAGTAAAAAGAAATAGAAAACAGAAAAAAATTAAATAAAAAGTGAAAAAAGAGTATTTTGTTATTTTTACAAATTTTTAAGGTCATTTTTATAATTTTTAAAACTATTAGGATATTTTTGTAATTAAAACTAACAGAAAATCCGTTAATTTAAACGAAAATTGGCAAATTGGACAAAATCGACTAACGGTTGAATAGCTTAGGGTAATATTGGCTAATCGAAAAAAATAAGGTAAAATTGACAACGTATGTAAAAATTAGGGTTGATCGGCCAATTTTTCCATCAATTTGCACATACGTCCATATGAATTAATTGCACTTCTCAATTCCGAAACCTAACTTCTGCAAAAGTTAGGATGTACTAGTAGTAGTACTACATCCAATCCATCCATCCCCATCCCGTTGTTATTATGCATCTTATTTTACCAAAAGTATTTGGGGCTTGTTTGACCAACATTTTATTTTAGTTTTTGTTTTGATTTTTATTTAGGTTTGAGAAAAAATTTAAAAAGTTGTTTGAGTGATATCTTAAATAAACTAATAACACTTTTAGACCACCACCAGACTACCTCCACCGCTGTCGGCCGGCGACCGGCTGACCGGATTCTGGCTAAATTCCGACTGAATTCGGTCGGCCGATCGCCGGCCGATGGTGGTCCGGCGGCGGCGGCAGGTGATGGTGGAGGTAATCCGGTGGTGGTGGATGAAAATTGTGTAAAAATAATTTTTGGAATATTTTTTAAAACGTAAATTAAAAAATTATTTGGATAGTATTGAGATTTGTGTTTGAGACGCGTTTTAAAAGGTAAAATTAGACAAAAATACAAAATAAGTGTTGGGGGAAACAATCTCTTAAGCTCCCTTTTCCTATCTTGGCTTTTAATTCCACCAAAAATTATCTCTCTGCAGGATTGAATACTCAAATGAATTCCATCGGTTTTTCCGGCCCAACAGCTAGCTTCATTAAAATTGATGTTGTACCCTAATTACCACCAATTAATATATGCGTACAACATCATTTCATTAAGATCAAACGACTACTTCTTTCTTTAGTCACCAATTCAAGCTCTCCATTAAAGGCATGCTGATCCACTTCAATTTTGATCACGTCAAAAAATTTTGGATGCATGTTTGGAAAGTGTTGACTAATAAGCTCTAGTTCATTCATTTCCGCGCCCCCCCCAACCCAAATAAGAACGACGTCTCGTCTCGTCTCGTCTCATGTGGACAATCAACGTTCCTATGGGATTGGGATTTGGGAGGGACAACTTGAAATCTTCTTCGTCCATGCATGCTTTAAATGTTGTAGTGTTATTTTTTTGTGTCAAATTAATTGTCCAATTCAATTTTTATTTTTAATAAATATTATTACAATTTACGAAAATAAAAAATATAAAAACATAAACTAGATAATTATTTTAAAATTAAAGAAGTAGTACTACTTATTATAACATCACAACTACTTACCGTCCCCCAATAACCTGAATAGTACTCCCTCTATTTCAAAATAAGTGGCGTTTTAGCAAAATGGAGAAGTTTCAAAATAAGTGTCGTTTTCAGATTCCAATGCATTTTTTTTCAAAAATTTCCAAACATATCCTAAAAAAAAATAATGTTATTGGTGAGCATTTGTTTTAATGGGGTTGGTTGAAGATACTATAGTAATTTAGCTACCATATCTAATGTTTTTCTTAAACTGTGTGAAAAGTCTAGAATGACACTTATTTTGGAACGGAGGGAGTACGTAGTAGTACAATCTCTGGTTCCCTCTTTCGCCCCAAGCTGCTTCATCCATATTCACGTGTATCTCTACGCTGCCTTGCTCCTACCGGCATATATAAGAGTTTCCTCGGTTATTTAGTTATTGTACATAACCAGAATTATAATTATTTTGGGACAAAATGATTATTACTTACGCTTGGGAGGAATATTATATAATTTATACACATGGATATGATATTAACTCGTTGAGTATAGTTGTTTAAATTATAAGAATGATGAGAAAATTGAAAAAAATTATAGTGACTGATGTGTAAATTATTCATTAGTTAATTCTAAAAGAGTACATTCTAGCATCATATCAAGTTACACACAAGTCATTACACTAAAGTTACTACGCTCTTTCACTATATTTATATACCATTTTGAAGATTTTTAATAATTAATTTATGTGCTTGAGAAAAAGACGATATAGAAAAACTTCGCTGGATATTTGTTTAGAGGGATAGCTGAATATCCATCGGGTAATCAATAGGCAGTCCTCTCTCGTCATAGTATTTTTTCCCCTCTTTTTTTCTATAAAATTTAATGCTACTGTGAGTTATCACACCCCACACCTCAGTTTTGTATGATCCATGCATGTCAGCTACTGATCAAGGGGTATCATGATTTGGATATATATCAAACCTCCCCCATAAACCCAAAACTAAGACAAAAGAGAAAGAAGAAAGTAATTGGGCATACTGATGATAACTTTTTTTTTTTTTTTTTTGTTTCAGAGGTTGGGTTAAGCAGCTAGGTTTCATGGGATTCTTCCCTTAGGTCACTATTGAGAAAAAACGAAAGAAAATAAAATGAACTTGAATACTAATAGAGGCACTCAATTGCTTCACCATTAGATTTTCATCAAAACGATGTATTTTGTACTACTTAAATTTGGAGAGAAACTGAGCAATTATAACATCTCGATTTTTGGAAGCCACAAACCTAATCAACATGCTTTATCTAACTCGTACAACTATTTAAATTTTACTGAATATTCAAAGCTGGAGTTACTTTTAAACTTTTAGATGTCATATACCATGCATATGCATCCTCACGTGTTTCACTATCCTCCCCTCTTTAGTTTAAGAAAGAGTACCACGGGATTGCATTTAATGTTACAAAGTACATTATGCCCATTCTATACGTAAATTACTGTAGAACGCAAGAGTGTTAGTATTTACTACTAGTAGGTGTAGATCATATTCTTTTAAAGCATAAATGTTTGTATAGAATTAGCATAATTTTTGCACTAGAATCCGAACAATTATTTTAGAACAAAAAGAGTAAATACACGCGAGAGGAATTATTACTAAATTGAGATACATGGAGTAAATTTCAAACATTAGTAGTATTGTATAATAGTAGTGGTTAATTAAGACAGACTATATAAATGATTTCCCCCCTTCTTAATGTAGGTAGGAATGATCGATAAGGGTAAAGAAGTGGTCAATGCATATGCAAGTTGTGCAATTTGGTTTTGGTCAATAGCCTTCTTCCTCATCAACTAGCTGTGTGTGTGCGTCTAGCGGGAGCGAGAGAGAGAGAGAGAGGGGAGCTAATTAACTGCGATTAATTGCGCTTCTATAAATGTTTGTGTTTGGAGTTGTCTTATTTATTTGTGTACCCTTGTTGTTCTTCTTCATCTACTAATACCACTTTCCACTTTCTAGACAGGTGAGAGAGAGAGAAGAGTAGTAGGCTATAGAAGCAAAAGCGAAAAAGTGATCAGTGAAAAAATACACAGAAGAAGAAGAAGAAAAGAAGGAATTGGGGAAGGGATATGGAGAAAGCAGATGATGAGAAAGTGTACGGGGTGAAGGTGGAAGAAGGAAGGAAGGGCCAAAACGGAGAGGCGGCAGTGGGGCCGGTGTACCGGAATCCCTTGGCACACCCGGCATTCCCTCCTCTCGATCCCAATTCTTCCACTGCCTGGCAGCTTTTCAGGTACTATAAGTAGCCAGCTATAGAGCTACTTAGTCTACTATATATGCGTAACACACACAGTCACACACACACATATGCCCTGCAAACACTAAAAGAATCATCATGGGAATTTCATAACACAACAGTACTACTGGAAAGAGAGTTTGAGGCGTACGTGCATTCCTCCCGCAACGCTGCCTCTCACCACTTTACAAATTCTTTCTCTACAAATTAAATCTGCAGCCACCACACCCCCTGGCCGTCCTCCATTTCCATTCCCAACACACACACACGCTAGTACAGAACTGGTGGGGGTTGGGTGCATCATGATGATGAGCTCACTACAGTAAATAGATCTTGTCATCATATTATAACATGTAATGTGCAGTATAACTATAAGTTGTTTCTGTGAACATATATGAGATACCAAACCTTGTTTATGTCACCTTTAGCAACCGATCCACCTTCACAATCATCATCATCATCAGTCTACTGTACATTCTTTTTTTTTTTTTTCTTTTTTTCCTTCTTAAGAAAAATATAAAAATAAATTCGTACGTACCACTTACGATATGTTTCATCATTAATAATCACCTAGTAATTAAAATTACTTGTACCCCAACATTAATTACAACATCTACCCGTCATTTATACATTTGGAGATTACGTATATGTTTTTCTCCCTTAGTTATAATAACTGCTACTATTAATTTCATGATCGATGATGATAACAAACATTGAATGTTGGGGGGTGGACAGTGCGTCGGTCCAAAAGTACCCTGGGAATCGGATGCTGGGATGGCGTGACCCATTGCCCCACCACAACCCCATCAAGGTTTTCCCCTAATTACACTAGCTACTACTACTACTAATTTATTTATTATGTAGTACTAGTTTTTTATTTTTAATATAAAAAAAAACAAATTAATACAGACATTAATTTGAAGTTTAAATGGTTTAATCAGTGGGGGCCTTACGTTTGGAAAACCTATCAACAAGTTTACGAGGAAGTTCTCTGCGTTGCCTCTGCATTACGATCCCATTCCATTCAACCTGTAAGCCTCCCATTCCCAGTTTTGCTTTAATTTAATCATCCTTCCTTCTTTCTTTTTTTTTTTTTCCTGAAAAAAAAACAAAAATTAAGGTTCTCTTCAGTGTCATTCATATTTACAAACAACGTGCAATATATTGTACGTCAAGTATAATTGATAGTAGAACTCGCTAGCTAATGTTTACCATGTGACGTGATCGGTGTCTAGTAGTAATTATTGTATTATATTTTGAGTTTCCTTACCTCTTTTATTCTGTTATTAGGAAACAGCATAACTTAGTGAGTAGTATATCTATATACTAAACATGCATTATTTGGTTGTGATTCAATCATAATTTATTCATTTTTCTGGCTGCTAATCACATTGTTTCGTGTTTGAAATAATATAATACTATGTTATAGGGAGCCAGAGTTGGAATTTACGGGTCGAATTGCCCCCAGTGGATTGTGGCAATGCTGGTTAGTGAATTACACACACACACACACTAGTACTTGTAATAATTAATTTACACAGATGGCGCTCATCCATCATTTCTGCGTTATCATTATTCTACTCAAACTTCATCAATTTTAATAACATATATACACAGTAGTATTAAAATGACAAGATTGTTTGACATATGTATATATAATAATGGTTGGTATGGATGATGAATGCAGGCGTGCAGTGCACAGAGTTTGATATGTGTACCGCTGTATGATACCCTGGGTCCTGGAGCTGTGGATTTCATATTGGATCATTCCGACATTGAATTCGTTTTCGTCCAACATCCCAAGCTCAAACATGTGAGACCTTCTGCAGTTGTGCTGCTTCCATTAAAAAACTATAAAATACTCTGTACTCGTTAACTTGAAGCAAATATACATGCAAGGGGACTACCTTTCTTGTATCCTTAGTTATTTCTTCCCCTTCAATTGAGATAATTAATATTGCTAATTTTACCCGACTGATGCACTGGTGTATATGTACATAATAGTACATTGTATTGTCCTGAATGAAAATGAATGAAATTAATGTGTTATGCAGCTTCTCAGCACGGAGTGCAAACATGCTCAGCGACTCAAATGTAAGTACCGATCGATTTCAGAGCATCCTCTGCGTGGTTCACTAGTTTACTGTGTGCAAAGATTATTCAACCAGCGCCCTGATTTTAACTACTCTCTGCAGCTTTCTTAATTACTTATACTTGTTTTTGGTTTGGTTGCAGTGATTGTTTGCTTCACTTCACTGACAAGAGAAGAACAGGACAAGGCGGCCTCTGTTGGAGTCGGATCCTCCTATTCTTGGACTGATTTTCTTCGCCACGTACCTACTTTCTCTATTAGCTACTACTACTACTACTTCATTACTAGCAGTGTTCCTTTCATTTTGGGGTTTAATTTATATTTATGACAGGGTAAAGATAATCCAGTGGAGGCCTTGCCACCGAAGCCACTGGACATCTGCACCATTATGTACACCAGCGGCACCAGTGGCGACCCCAAAGGCGTTGTCTTGACTCATGAAAACCTCATTACCTGTATCCAAGGTGTTGACATTTTCATGGAGCAATTCGAAGACAAGGTTTTGGTTATTACATACATTCATTCATTACATTTTTGGGTTTAATTTTCAATCTCTTTCTCTCTGTTTCGGTGTTCTGCCATCTCTAATTACATTCACTGTGTCCCAAATTATACTAATAGATGACGGTAGATGATGTCTACATATCTTTCCTTCCACTTGCTCATATCCTGGATCGCATGATCGAGGAATACTTCTTCCACAAGGGTGCTTCTGTTGGATATTATCACGGGGTATATTATATGTTAATTTTCATTCCTACAAAATCTTATTTAAATTCAGTACAATTAATGTTGTAGCTAAAAACAAGTCCTGCACATCAAATTCAAATACAGACTGATGTTCTTGCTTGTCCATACTGAAAGGATATCAATGAGATACGGGATGATTTGGTGGAATTGAAGCCAACATTTTTGGCTGGAGTGCCTCGAGTTTTTGAAAGAATACATGAAGGCAAGTCCGCATTTCCCTAGGCTTCTATCTACATACATACATAGTCAACGGTCTCTTTCTGTAAATGAAACCTACTCAAATGTCGGATTCAACATTCTGATGCTGTAGGAGTTCTCAAAGCACTCGAAGAACTGAATCCAGTGAGAAGGAAGTTTTTCGACATTCTTTACAGCCGGTATATATATATGTTAAGAACACTCGATTGACTCCATTAATTATTATTATTCATGTTAAACTTAAAGGATGCTGCTTTTTTGGTTTTTGATGAATGAAACACAGGAAGCTTAGTTGGATGAAGTTAGGATACAAACAGAAAGATGCATCTAGGCTGGCTGATCTTCTGGCTTTCAGGAAGGTGAAGGCTAGATTAGGAGGGCGGCTTCGGCTGATAGTGTCTGGTGGAGCACCATTAAGCAGTGAAGTGGAAGAATTCTTACGCGTGACAACGTGCGCCTTTGTTGTGCAGGGCTATGGTAAAAAAAAACAACTTCAACCGCTTGAAAACATTTATGTACATATGTTTGATCACTTGCAGGAATGTGGTGTTTGTTTTGGGTTTGGTAAAATGAGTGATCCTCTCCCTCCTCCCACCAGGGTTGACAGAGACTTGTGGATTGGCAACTCTGGGATTTCCGGACGAAATGTCATTGATTGGGACAGTAGGATCTGCATTTGTATACAACGAGCTTCGCCTGGAGGAAGTCCCCGAGATGGGGTACGATCCATTTGGGAATCCTGCTCGGGGTGAAATATGTATCAGAGGGAAGACAGCTTTTGCGGGGTACTATAAGAATCCTGAATTGACTCAGGAATGTATGCGAGACGGGTGGTTTCATACAGGTGGTCATCATCTTCATCTTTTTTTTTTAATTCTGATCAAATTAATTAGTACTATAATTCAAGAGTTGGAATTAATTGTCTCAACAATTAAATTGAAGCATGCTGGTGGTTATAACAGGTGATATAGGGGAGATATCGGGGAATGGAGTGGTGAGAATCATCGACAGAAAGAAAAATTTGGTGAAGCTGTCACAGGGAGAATATGTAGCAGTGGAGCACCTGGAGAAAGTATACACCATTACTCCTATAATTGAAGATGTGAGTTCCCGAGAAATTTTTTTTATATATATATAGTTCCTAGTACCAACTCCGTCCATTTTCTCATTGTGTTGTCAATTAATTAATTTCACACGTACGTTTCGGGATCAGATATGGGTATATGGAGACAGCTTTAAGTCGAAGCTGGTGGCGGTGGTGGTGCCAAATGTGGAGAACACAGTGAAATGGGGAGAGAAGAGTGGGTACGGAGAAGAAGGTTATCCCAAATTGTGTGCCCTGAAGCAGCTCCAAGAATATGTACTCCAGGAGTTAAGGACCACTGCCGACAGAAACAAAGTAGGTGTCTCCAATTCTTCTTGGTTTGCACACATTGCTTCTTAATTCGTATTTTCTCTGTCTCAAAATTATTGTCCAATTTTGATTTTTTTTTAATTTTAATTCAATTTTTATACTAAAAAAATGAAAATCCAAATTGAAAAATAATTTCGGAACGGAAGAAATACTAGTTATAAATGAACAACGCGGTTAACTATAGGAAGAAAGAAGAGTAGAGGTGAGCTGACCAGGTGACTGTGTGTGTGTGTGTGTGGGGTTTGCAGCTGAGAGGGTTCGAGTACATAAAGGGAGTGATTCTGGAGACACAACCATTTGAAGTTCAAGCAGAGTTGGTGACTCCGACGTTGAAGAAGAAAAGAGACCAATTACTGAAGCGTTACAAGGTACTACCCCATTATTAATTACTATTGTGTAAATTATTGCTTGAAAGAATGAATCACCACATCCTCCAGACTGGATCTAACAATCTTGCTTTCCTCTTTTCCTTCATTACATCACATACCCCCACCAAACCAAATTTGACCGATCAATATAATGTTTGCAGGTAGAAATTGAGGGGGTGTATACCAACTTGGCGGCTGCACTTAAGAGCTATTAGTAGTAGTTTTAATTTGTAGAGACATGAATGCAACAATATAAATTATCAGCCTGAAAATTTGAAGCAAGATGTACGTGATGATGATCACTTTTATCTATTATTATTAGAATTCAGTTTGTATAAAATTACTATTATTTTATATATAAGGGTGAGAGTGTTAATTCTGCTGGGTTTTAATGACATACTATTTTTAGTATGGATCCAGCTCCCGTTGATTTTTATTTTTCTTCATATATGTCTTTTTCTTCCAACCCCCACATCTATCTATCTATCTATCTACTATACTAAGGCAAAAACCAGAAAGAGAAAACTAAAGGCATGGAGCACATGCCACATAGGATTAAATCTTATGTGGCATTTTCTTAATTTCTTATACTTAAAAATGCACAAAACAAAATAATAAAACAAAAAAAAGCAACTAAAATAATTTTTAAAAAAAAACAAAATAATAAACACCAAACCCTTATTTTCATGAACCAAATCCTAACACAGAGATTGATGGGAGAGAGTACCAAATCTTAACAAATTTTAGAGATCTGCATAAACCTTATCACCAGTGAATTTAAAATGTCATTTAAGAAAAAATAAATTCCTGTAAATCCAGTCCATGGGACTGGAATTTAAAGGAATTTAAAATGTGTATGCCTTTCCCGTCCATCGAACGGGTCTAACACCTAGTGAAATATCTTTACCAAAGTTCTCTACGGTCTATAATACCGCTCAACCGAAGACACAAATCACAATTATTCTTCCCCCTCCCAACAAAATTTAGTTTCAATAGATTTTTTATATATATACAACGTGTAAATTTTTTATAATTTAAAAATTTTATATGCAAACATCTAATTTGGGTTAGAAATTGAAATTACAAAACCAAAAAAAAAAAAAAGGAAGCCGAAGCCTAGCACCATGACATTATATATATGAACTCTTAATTATTAACATGTTTCATTAATAAAAAAAAAATTCTCATAATTATTATTCCAAATTGAACTAAAAATAAAAATTTAAACTGGACAATAATTTTGGGACTGAAAGTCAAAACTTTAAGGAAGGATGTGAGAACAAGATGGACTAAAAAAGCACATTTTGCCCCGAAATGGAGGACCAATGAATTTTCCGAGTTAGGAGCGATAAGTATAAATTGCAATACTGTGATATGCCCGAAATTCAAATTTAGTACGGTCCATCTCCATCATGGTTCGGGTCCACAACGAGCCCGACGAACCCGACTCTCTCGCCGCCCACCGCCGCCGTCCTCATCCTCAACCCTCCTCCTTCGGCTTCACTCACGACGACTCCCCCCCCGGATTCTCTCTCTCATCAGAACCTCCAGGCCCTGGAAGCCGCAAAAGGCAGTTCTCCGCCCCTTCTCCTCCTCACTATTACGCGGATGATGCCGGTGGCCCCTCACCGTGGCCCATGGCCGGACCCGGCCCCAGGATTGTAAAACTATATGTCGCCGGAATTCCAAAAGACACCACTGAAGAAGATGTAAGTACAGCCTCTCTCTTTTTTTTTCCCTCGCTCCTGTCAATCCACATTCTTACCTTATCATACTTTGGGAGGCCTGCTAATGATATCAGCTTCTAACTAAAAAAAAACGTCGTCATTTCTAATGCGCGAGAGCAGAATCTGTTGCTGTTACATGGCTCATTCAGGATATCTAGACCCTTGTATGGAAAATATTTTCGTTTTCATTAATTTCTCGTATTGATGAAGTATAAAATGTAATGGTGTGGTGAGAATTCGAAATGTATATTCAAATTGACGTGTAGGAATGTCCTGTAAATGACTTGTTTTATTAGCTTTGTAAATAGACAAGACGAGAGTAGACATCAAGGAAATTGGTGAATATTGTAGGATACGCACACTCAGGAAATATAAACAAGTAGGATACGCACACTCAGGAACTATAAACAAGTAGGAAATTGGTGAATATTGATTTCTCATTAATGTGGATCTTATTAGAAATCATTGTGCTCTTGCTGATACTTATCACCTTCTATGAAGAAAAAATTATACTAGTGTATCCGCTGTGGTGTGATGATTGATATTTTCTTCTTGCTTTTTTTTTTTTTGGTTGCAACGTCAACCTTGCTAACCTTAGCTACCCACTGGCTACTGCTACTTTTTTTTTTTTGTTTTTTTATTTTATTTTCAGATTCGAGTGCCTTTTGAGGAACACGGGAATGTCGTTGAGGTTGTCTTTATCAAGTCCAAAAAGAATGGCGAACAACTAGGTAATTCCTTTGGGCTTGGATAATTTTGGGAGTTACGATTGTTCATATATGGCCACTTGCAGAATTTTAATTTCTCTTGTTTTTTGGCCACACACAGATTGTTGTTTTGTCAAGTATGCGACATTGGAGGAAGCTGATCGAGCCATTGGAGCATTAAACGACAGATATACGTTTCCTGGGGTTAGTTTGATGTCATGCAACCTGTGAAAATAAAATATTCTCCTTTGTTGCCATTTACCCCTTACGGGAATGACTGTAGCCATTAATTTATTTCAATTGTCTTTTGCAGTCATTGTATCCTGTTAAAGTCAGATATGCTGATAAGGAAAAGGAACGCCTTGGTAATCTCTTAGTAAGAATATTGTTGTTATTTGCTACTTAATCTCCCTGCACTTTGTTGGTCTGGTTAGAACTGCTCTTTTTCTTTCTAGTGGTGACAGCATACGTATGTAGGTTTTCGTGTCTTCTTTTACTATCAGTTTGTTGAAACTGATTGGCTGAATTATGCAAATATCCAAAGCTTAAACCAATGTGTAGTCTTAAACTTTTCCATTATGGTATTTTTACATGTCTCTTCGTAATAAGGGCTTTCTCTAGACCTACTAAACGTTTTGTTGTCCTAATGCGAAAATGTTTTCGTACGATGGCATCTTCAAGCAATTTTAAGATTTTTATATTCACACTGAGGAAATTTACCTGCCAGGTTTGTGAATTTTAGATTTATCCCCCCCTCCTCCTTAACTTTCGCCTCTTTTCTTTGGTTTGTATAGGCACTTTTGGCCAACATTTTTTCAAACTGTACGTTGGTGGTTTGAACAAGCAAGCGACTCAAAGAGAAATTGCTGAGGTATGCTACTCTGGAATAAACTGTTACAAACTCGGGGTGTGTGTGGCCTATTTCAATTGTCTAATTGTAGAAGAACTTTGATTTGTGGTTCGCCGTTCTCCTTTCCAGACAAGTTGTTCCTTGGTGGATGTGGTTCTCTTTTGCAGTGGGATTTGTCCTAAGCGTATCTGATTTTCGCGTTTGAATTGCGTACTGAACCAGCATCCTTTGTATGGCTATGGAAATTTATGTCCAAAAAATTGAGAATCATATATACGGGACTCGATTACTTTTTATTAGCATGTTAAAACTTAACATTAGCCGGGCGGTTGGAATTTTGTTTTAATTATTATTTTTTCCCTTCTTCTGATGAATTGCATTAAACCTCAGATTTCCTTACATTCTTTTTTATTGTGATGGTATGATCCAATGTCAGATATTCTCTCCATTCGGTGTTGTGGAAGAGGTTTTTATTATTCGAAGTGAAACGAGACAACATCGCGGTACGTGTATCAGTCTTATCTGATCAGTGTATTCCAACTTAGATGAGTTACAATGTGGATTTTGAAAATATCAAGTGAAAAGGTTTTCGTATCATCTGAGTTTTATGCCAACTCTATCTTATTACCCCAGAGTTACCAGCCGACAATTTGATGCGATAACGTTTATTGTATTTGGTGTTATATTTTTCCTTTTTTCTGCCTATTATTGAAAAGCTTTGGTAGACTAAGAGAAAGAGTACAAGGTAATATAGCAAACTGTTTAAAATATTTGGTGGAATTTGCGTAACTTGCATTTTGGCTTTTTATGGATCTCACACTGTGCTTTTTTAATTTTCCTCCTAAAGATATATATTTTGTTTTTTCTTTCACATACATGCTGCTCTTAAGGATGTGCCTTTGTTCAGTTCTCGCGAAGAGATATGGCACTTGCTGCAATCAATTCCTTGCATGGTAGCTACATTATGAGGGTGGGTTCATGTACATGTGATTGGTTTCAACTCATTATTCTAATTTTAGTAATTTTCATTTACCCTTAATTTTTAGGGTTGTGATCACCCACTAATCGTTCGTTTTGCGGATCCTAAGAAGCCTAAAGGTGGAGGTTCAAGGTTGGTTTCTCCTTGAAAGATTGCAACAGTTATTAAAACTTCTTTGTATGTTAGCTTATTCTTCTCTGACGACAACTAATGTTGTTGGCATGTTAAACATGCTTCCTTCTTGAATCCTGAACAACAAGACTTAACTTTCCTCCACACGTTTGTTTGCTGATTTACTTTATTGCATTTTGTGTGTGTGTGTGTGTGCACGCGCGCGCGTGAGTTATAGAACCAGCAAATAGTAAAACAAAGAAACGAAATATATCTATTGAAAATATAGTTAAGAATCTGAACATTACATTTCAATAAATAAGATTGTCCGTATGGAGAGGACAAGACTCCAAGTACATTTCAATAATTTCTAAATTCTCGCCCCCCTGAAAAAGACTCCTACCCCTTCTATTCTGCCCAACGAAATAAGTAACTGGAACAAACCAAGTTGCTGAAAATAAGGACGTTGATAAGAACATGGAAACATTGTAGTTCTAATTTAAATAACTGCTCACAACCTTGGAATGGGCTAACTCTATCTGGTGTGTTTTGCATTTCTTCTTTAATTTGTTTGATTTTGCCTTCGTCGCTTCTGATTATCTATTCTTCATTAAAATATTCTCTTCTCAACTACTGTGTGCTGCAGACCAGCATCAAATTCCAGCGATCAGTTTCCGGTGGTTCCTAATGATTCTTATTTAGTGAGTTAAATTCCTTTAATAACCTTTGGTCTGTTTCATATCTTTGAGATGTCTCTGCTTTTCTCAGTTTGGATTTTGTTTTGTGTTTTTGCCCTTTCCAGTTGTTGTTGAATATGTCATACTGTCTTTGTATCGTAATACAGTCACCAAACAAACGATGCAAGCCTCCGTTAGCATGTAGCAATTCATCAGAATGCGGGCTCCATTCATCCAATTCATTGCCTTCTGTGGTATTTTCAAATGCTGCAGAGACAAGAGATTCCTGGGATTGTGACTGGAGTGAACACATATGTCCTGATGGATACCCATACTATTACAATTGTGTAACATGCGAGAGCATGGTAAGCAGACTTTTTCAGAATGTTTGTAGGGATGCCCATGCAGATCATGTCTTGTTTATTTTTTTTAATTTGTTGAATTCTTGGTTTCTTGAATAGTGGGAGAAACCTGAGGAGTATGCACTCTTTGAGAGTCAGCTTCTAAAGTTGGAGCAGCAGCGTCAACAAATTTCACGTCCTGAGGTCCTCTCAACAACAGAAGTTTCTCCTCAATGATGCCAGAGTATATGTCCTTTTGACTAAAATTTTTAACATAGTCCTATGTGGGGAAGATTTCAGATCAGATCAATTCCATTTTGATGCTAAATCATTCAGTCTTTTACTGTTACTGTCAATCAACCATGACTTGCTACATCTCAACTCCACAGCTGGCTTTCGATAAGGAAAAGTAAAGTATTAAGCCTAGGAGTATGTTCTTTGATTGGCAGCTTTGCACTGTTGTGATCCTGCCCTTTGGAGGAAACAAGCATCAGTCAGTCTTAGGGTGATACAGTTGCATCATTTAGAAAATCCCTATTATAGGTTCATCCAATCATCTGATGTTCCTGGCTAGATCCTCTTGATTTGTTCAAAAATACTCAGTTGTTTGAAATTATGCGGCTGGTATTGTTAGTTAGTTTAAATTCTCTACTTCAAACATATTCAAGCTAAGAGCTTCTATTTATGATTGTTCCGGTTTGGATTTTTACAATCATACTAAAAGCGAAATTGGACAGTTATAGGGACCGGAAAGCGTGAGAATACAAACTTCAATATCTGAATATCCAATATTCACCAATACACGCGCCATTTCGAAGCTGATGATGCTAATTTGGACGTTTGGGGGACCTTTGATGCACAAGGGGAGAAATAATCGATCATAAATGAGAAGGATCCAAGTCGTGATTTTCCTTTTTTTTTTTTTTTAATTTCTTTTTTCTCGGAGAAGTAAATTCAGGCAGAAAACCAAACCTATAAACACAAGAAGTTTTGGGTTAAGAATTGATTAGAACCCACAAAAGAGATTGACCGGATACAGAAAATCGGAACTGAATGGTTGGAACAGCAGCTGCAGAGTATAAAAGGTTTTTATAGATGAGAAGTGAGTGAATCGATTTTATGATTTTGTGTTGCTTTAACACTGACTGTTATCCCAAAGCGCATAATTTTAACATTCGTGAATGCGTAATCTATTTACTTACTTTGAGGAAGCGAGTTAAATTTGTTACATATAGCAGAAATAGTTTTAGATTGTTGTTGTATTACACTCACATGTCAATAAATGAATACAAATTTGAAATGATTCAACTATTTCAATTATGATTTTCCAGGCGAACCAACCTCGTTTAATGAGAAAAGTGTACTCAAAATTCAAAGTTTATGCGAGAAATGCCATGAGCCTGTTCATTCCAAACCAGGTACAGCTCCACTTTCCCATCATCGGCCGACCACTGGAATCCGGTCTCAGCATCATTCAAGCTGCATCTTTTCGGCGCCACACTCGAGTAAGCCACAAAAGCCCCTTCGCCTTTAACTTCAATCTGCACGCCGGATTCCTTGTATTCAACACCCTGTATGGTGCCTCCAGGGTTCAACATGCTGGTGATCCCAACTGGAGCAAATTTTGAAGACACAAGCTTATGTACTGGGATGAAGGTGCAAATCTCGAAAGACAATGGCTGGATTGTCATCTCGATGACACCAGAGATGGCATCCGGGGTGGTCAACAACAACTTGTCCGCCTCACCAAGGTAAACAGCGTATTCTTCTGCTACTCCCGTTGTGCTTGCTCCGTTACTACATTGGTCCCATTCGATTTGAGTTACATGAACTGAACCAGACATTCCCTTGTAGCATTCTGAATGACCCCTGATTCTGCGCTCTTTAGGGTCCCAACCAGCTCCTTGGCAGTTAAATGCACCTATCACGCCGCCATACTGCCACAATTACAAAGAAGGTAAGCTACATTGTAGCTAAATGTCTTGTATCATATCAAATAGGACAAGTATGTACCTTGTTAAGATTCCATATCTTGAGTATGGTTTTCCCATCAAAGAGTGGATTTTTGAAAAGGCAATCTCTGGTGGGAAGAGCCATATGTTGGCACTTGGGTATAGTCCCATCCCGGAATACCAGCTTTTTGAGAAGATCAAAATCATGACCACCTAAGGAGTCACTCACATAAACAGGTCCACCACAGATAGCCCTAGATCCGGAGTGGAATTTCGCGCAGACGTGATCAGATTGGAACATGTCCCAATCAGGTTGGATCATCTGCCCCATCCACAAGCTGTTGTAGGCACAATGGATCATATGAACCCCTTGTAACCAGTACACACCATTCGGATCCCCATTAGGGTCTTGGAACCAGAAATCATCCCCTGGAACCAAAAAGAATTTTAGGAAGTGAAACCTCAATCAACTGAATCATCTCATCATATCAAGTACGAAGATCTGAAAAAATGTTTCAAGAATGGATATTTATTGATTAATTACCAACTCTTCCCATGGAGATCTGGCGTGTTCCGAGGAAGAAGAAGTCATTGCATTGTTGCATACTGGATATAAGACCAGTGCCATTGAAGTTCTTCACTAGTGACCTTGATAGTCCATCATAGTAAGCCTTTGCGAGCTCTACCCTACCTCCATATTCCTCAGCCACATATTCCAGTGTCTACAAAAGGAAAAAAAAAAAAAACACCAATCAATCAAACCCTCATGATCAGCTGACCAAATTACTCAAAAATACTAAGAAAATGAATAGCAACAAAACAATGCATACATGAATAACATCCACTTTGACTCCTGTAATCCCAGATGATGACAAGTAGGAATGCATTGCATCATAAAAGTCATAGGCTTGTTTCGGCTCAACGAGTCCAATGCCACCTTCGACAATCTTCACCACTGCTAAGTCTTCCATGGTTCCATCAAGGCCTGGAGAGGGCTTGCAGGGAACCAGCCTAGAATTCAGGTGCGTAGTTCCAGGTCTGAGGCCTCCCCAAGCACCACACAGCGCGTGCCAGACATAGATATCATCTAATCCTTTAAATCTCGTCCTAAGATCTCTGGTGAAAGCTTTCATGCCGAAATCCTGGGAATCATGGTCTGTTTTGTTGTCGCGTTTTTCTCCTCCGTCGCCTATCAGTTGATCCAGCTCCTGTTTCATTTTCTGTATCCTAGATTCATACTCTGATAAATCAGTGGCCCCGGAGCTGGCAGCCTTATCCCGGGCCTTCTCTGCTTGCTCAATTTCTATGGCCTTTGAAATCACAATTTTTGGCTTCTTGGGGTCGAACTGGGTACCACCAGTTGGGCTGGAAAACAATCCAGGGCGATATTTCCGAAACTTCTCGCCTTCATCGAGCCTATGAAGCCTGGCAGTCATCTGGGATCCTCCAAGAACAAGATTCTTAGCATCCTCGCCAGGGTTCTGACCATCGAGATTGATACTCTGCCATCCATCATCAATGATGATAAAACTCGGGGTGAGTCCCCCATCGGAGAATTCCTTCACACCATACCACACGCCCTGAGGGTCCACACTCAGGTAAAAAGCATCCCAGGTGCACCACCCAAACTTGTCAACAATGGGAGGAACCGATTTCTCTTCCAGGAGCCTGAAGGTGTTGAGGTGAACCCTGATGGCGCAGTAGGCCTCCTTCATCAGGTTGTAAGGATTGTCGGACACATGGACGTAAGCAATGGTGCTAAATGATGCTGCTCGGACACGACTGGAGCCGCTCTCCACCCCGATGGTCACCTGACCTGGTTCCGTCCCTGGAAACAGCGTGGACCTGAATTTGCCTTCAATCAGGGGTACAATCAGGACGAAGGAGTTCATCTCAGGGAGATTGAGCATCACCCATTGAGTTTCCATCTGCAAGTCGGAACCCGAATTCCCTATCCATTGGGTGGACCACCAAGTCTTGAACCTGAAAACGCTGACGAAATCCCTGTCGGTGAACTTGCCCAATGAGTTGAACAGCCTGTCGGATTCTTTGTCCTGAGTGAACCCCAAGAACCCGCCTTTGTTGGATGTGGAGCGGGCTCGCTGGACCAGGGGAAGAGGGATTTCAACATGATCAGCATCATCATCAGAATCAAAGATTTTCAAGAAGTCGGTGAAAGTGACGTTTCCAGGAACATGGGAGAGCAAGGGGACATTTTTCACAAAGAGTTTACCATCCAGCAGGCGAAAAAAGTTATCTTGACCGGAAGCAGGAGGGTCCAAGGCATTTAAGGTTGATTGGGCTTTGGGATTGTTTCTGGGTGCCATGATTTATTGTTAAAGTTCACTGTTAGTAGTGTCCGAAACCGAAAGAAGAAAGAAGCGGAGCTAAGCAAGAGGAGAAGAGTTGGAAGAAAGAAAAAGAACAAAAGAGTGGGAGGACGACAAAAAGAATTGGGGGGTTTGGATTGGATTATATTAGCAGCAGAGAGGTAGCTTCGTTTTCTTGGTTTTTTCCTTCCCTTTTTTTTGAGGAGGATGATGAATAGGTTTGAGTATTTGGAAGGTATGGAGTGAAGGTATGTATGAATAAGGTAAGTGAGGTTTACAAAAAAAAAAAAGAAGAGCGCAGAAATGAAGAAGAACCAAAGAGTAGATGATATTATGTATGTAGTTGAGTTGAAGATGATTTGAAAATGAGGAAACACCGAATATGTGGAGGGGTATATATAGAGGAGGAGGAGGAGGGGCGGTGAGTGAAGAAGGTGAAGTGGTTGGTGGAAGATGAATGGGGAGAAGAGAGAAACAAATGGCAAAATCAAAGGAATTGGTGGAGAAGAGAGAAGAAGATAAAAAAAAGAAAAAAGAGGCAAGGATTTGGTCGGTTTGGGGAGGCAGTTTTTAGTTTTTACTACTCCTCATTTGTTTTTTTTTTTGGGGGGGGGAGGGCGCAGCCACATGAGGGCCATATCAGTGTGACGAGTCCATAATGAATAATATAAAGAAAATAATTAATAGGATTGGAAGTGACAATTGAGTGGGGAATGTGAGCTAAGGGAAGCCACCAGATACGGGGAGGGAGGTGGGGGAAATGGATGGATGAAACGGCAGAAAGAGGGGAAATGAAATGGAAGAATCAAGATAGAAACAAAAGGTTTGGATGGATGAATAAAGGGGGATAATGATGGCGATGTAAGGAGATTAAGTACAGGGTCCATTATGGGTGTATATACTTACTAGTCAAATAGTAAATAGAAGAACAAATGAATAAAAGAGATTTGTGTTTCCTTAAATTTTGCAAAATCAAGAATGGACAGGTATAGGCAGTTAAGTTAGGTATGTGGTGACGAGGCCAGGCGGGCGGTGGTGAAATATACATACTTACTTAGCAGTGAAGAAGATAGATAATGGTAGGGAGTATGTAAGAGAGGAGCGTGTGGGTTGGTTTGGTTGTTTGTTTGTGTCAATTTGGTCAAAGAAAAAGAGATTTGATGATATATGATGGATTGATGAAAGGGAAAAAGGAGGAAGAAGAAGAAGAATCCCGAAGTAAAAAAGTTGTGTGGTGTTCTGGTTTTCTGTAGTACGACTACACCCACACCAGCAACCAATTTTAATCCTTTTACTATAGGGTTTAGGTGGTAGTAGTACCAAAAAAACGTCGTCATCATCATGAATCAATCTATCTATGAATATGATTTGTTCCCCGCCTACAAAAAACAACAGTCAAGACAGTTTTGTGTGTGTGACTCTGTGTAACTACCACTGCTAACTGGAACCTTCTTCCTTTTACCCCATTTGTCCTTCAAGTACAGGACTACATTACTACTGTAATGTTTTTGGTTTTTTTTTTTTTTTTTAAGAAGGAGAAGAAGAAGATTTGTGGATCCTATGATGATTCTGATGCACACGGACGGACCCGGATATACTTCTCCATGTTTTTCTTTCCCCTTCTTTTCTTTTTTTTTTTTTTTTAATACTTCTCCACATATCTAGGCAGACTGGGAATCTACTACTGCTTACTTACAAAGTTAGTACTAGTCTACTCTACATTAAACCATTTTCATCTTCCCCTTATAAGTGGGAAGCAATACAATTTTCTCCCCCCAAACTACTACTACTACTATTACAGTTTCTCAAAACTTCTATTTCCATAATATTAGTGGACCTTCTTTTGTGGTTGGCATTCTAGAATTTGGAGATAATAGGCCATTATGTTTTGAATTTTTTTTTAATTAAAAATTATTATATTATATATAAGGTTTTGCTGCTTCCTTTGGGTTGGAATTGGATGCCAAATTACACGCATCATCATTAAACAACTATACTAATTATAATTCTTCATACCCATTCTTTAAGCAAGCATTCACGAAAAGCCACCTTTTTTATTTACTATACATAACTCGTAGTCTCTAGGAGGTTCATGTGTGTGTATTTGGACAACATCAATCTCCTCATTCTCTATCTACGTTGATTATTTCGTAATATTATTATTATTTTAACAAATCCCCCATAAACCCCCCACCACCCACTCACCTGCAACCCCCATTAACGTAATACACATAGTGTAATTAAGCAAATATGTATGCCTTTAGGACATCATCACAGTACTACATGTGCTGCATCCCTATGCTTACCACATTATTGTCAACCTTACCACTTTTACTGCTCAACACCAACCAGGCTGATCAAACACACATTACATTACCGCTCAAACTAATATATTCTACAATCCGAGTCTGAGTCTTTGTTGTTTGTGAACACAGTCTGGGACTCTGGGTATTCCAAAATGAAATCTTGCCCTTTCTAGCCAAAATTCTCACTACACCAACTTGAAAACACATCAAATTTTTAGATTAACTGATCGCAAGATTGTTTTATTTTACATTCCCAGTTGGAACTAGTCACCTGGTTCATACAATCTATCATCATCATCACATCATCCTCCTCCTCCTCCCAGGATCAGGAATCGCAAGAGAGCCTGGTACACGTCACTTCGCTTTTCCTCCAAAGCAGGAATTAAGCCACCAAAATATCCTTCCCCCCACCGGCCATGGACCCCATACGAGCAATGTTATGCAAGTCTTCCAGTACACCCAGTGCAAGGGAAGAGAGGGATCTCACAAAGGGCCAACAAAAATTCACACGAGCTGTGCTCTCTAGCCAAGCATTCAATGTTGGCATTATAGGAAACAGCAGCAGCTGTGAGAGAGCCCTTGAAGGCAAGGGCGGGGCCAATTACAGGGTAGCGGTATTGACACCATATTTTACACTTGCTTCTACATGATAGACCGATGATCCAACCTGTGTTACAATGGAAGTGGCTGTAAATCAGATAGCACAGCGTCAGAGCTTTCGGGATAAGTTCTGTCGTCTTTGAGAACAAGAACTTGTAGGGTGCCTGATTCTTTCAGCCATGAAGATACCCCAGCTCCCGTCGATATGAACCTACCGATGTTGCGCTTGGCAACCCAAAACGGTGCCCCCATGCTTGTGAGTAAGGCCTCAACAGCACGTTTAAGCGCTCCATCACCCACAACTTTGCTGTGCTTCCCCCATCCTGTTAAAATGCTGCAAATTACAAAATGCAAGACCCCATGTTAGTTCGAACAAAGGGGTGCAAAACAAGATCTGCAGGTCGATCCTTCTCACCTAATCTTCAGCCTCTTTTTCTTATATTCAAATTCCCCTCTTCCATATCTCCACTCAGAAAGACATGGGGCAGAGAGGGCTTTGAGGGAAGTTTGAGTTGGAACAGGAAAACTAACCTTACAAGTTCAGGAAGCTCATGGCCTTCAGAAACAAAAGAGCGTATGTCCAGTAGCCATGCATGAACCATAGCACGTGCAGCACCAGAAGACATCAAATGCAGATCTAAGCAAGAATAGGTACATGTACTCTCCCATACCTGACGGCGTTTTCCTTCAAGCACCACCAATTGAGCACCTCTTCTCTGATTGGTGACCAAACATAAAAGCAGCAGAGAAAACTCCAAGTCAATTCCTACTTTGAGCATTAAATACATCAGAAAACGAGTTTTCCCGGAAAACGTCACCTTGGTGTGAATCAAGAAGGAATAACACGAAATCGGGTTAACAGAATGAATCTTCAGATTACAGTTATGATTTAGGATTTCTTCTCAGCTATGTGCTTGAAAGAGATTAAGCACAAATACGTTCATATAGAAAAATATATACTGCCGTGACATAAACTAGTTTACGAGTTTCAGCAAAAATGAAGAATGACCTCTAATGGAAAAATCACTACAAGTTGCCTAACAATGAATCAGTTGCCCACTAATTTTGCCATTAAGAGTTATACCTGACCAAAATGCCATAGCATATCAGTTAAAGCATTGTAAAAGGCTGATGCAGTTGAGGAATCCATCCGTTTCACTTCATCAAAAAGGGAAAGGGCTTGCCTCCAAACTTTTTCATCATTACCCATGAGAAGCCCATGTGCTACTCCATAGACATGATTGTCAAATAAACGAAGTTCCTCAAGCAACAAAGAAGCTTCCTGAAATGAGCTACATCGGCTGCAACAAAGGGAAGGAAAAATGAAAACACAGGCTCAGTTTCGTTTCATCCACACTCAATATATTTTCAGAAAAATTGCAACAATCAGTTCAAGAGTTGTGTGCCACAGGCATTAAAAGAGTGCAATTTCATGGCAAGCCAAAAAGCTGGGTACCTGCAGGCATTCAGGATAGCAGAGAAGGTGACAACGTTTGGTTTTATTTCCATTTCATGCATCTTTTGGAAAACTTTCAACACACATTGGAAGTCCTGCTTTTGCCCCCTCTTAATTTCTTCACGCAAGGCTGGTTCATCAGAAGCTAATTGCTCAAAAATCTTTATTATCCTATCATCACCCTTAACGACAGGCTTGCTCACTTTGACATCTTGAACAGAGACCACAGGTCTGATAGGTTGCTCACCAACATCTAAAGGATAATCAGTTGGACCCACAGACCAACCAAAAGCATTAATTATAGAATTGTATGTGACAACGTTCGGCTGGATGCCACCTTCCATCATCTCATCTAGCAGCAATGCAGATGATTCTACAAATCCTTTCTTGCACAGCGCGTCAATAAGGTTACTATAAAAAACAACATCTGCTTTCATCCCGTGTTTCTTAAACTCTTTGTAAACCTGCATGGCGTCTTTATAGAGCCCTCCTTTAGAATAAACGCTGATCAAAGTGGAATAAGTTAATAGGTTAGGCGAAAGGCCCTCGGCTTTCATTTTAGCAAAGAGCTCCTTCACCTTATCGTACCTAGCTTGCTTCCCAAAACCATCAATAAGGGCATTGTAAGTAACAACATCTTTATTGATTCCCATACTCTCCATCTCCTGGGCTAGGGTCAAAGCTTCCTCAAACCTACCAAGACTAGCGTAAATTCCAAGTAAATTGTTGTAAGACACCCTATCTAACTTCATACCAGTGAACTTCATCTCGTGAAACAAGTTCAAAGCCTTGTCTAATTTTCCAGCCTTGTGACACCCCCGAATCACCGTACTATAACTGATCTGATTCGGCATGATATGCTTGGCTGACATCTCGGCCATAATGTCAAAAGCTGCATCCATGTGTCCACCATTACAAGCAGCATCCAACAAAGTGTTGTACGTATAAATATCCTGATCAATGCCTTTCCTGAGCATCTCATCAAACAAAGATTTGGCCTTTTCCCATAGTCCTGCCCCAGCACAGACGGCAAGGAGGGAATTATAACTAATCCTGTCCGGGTGGACACCATTCCTCAACATTTCATCAAAAATATCAGAAGCCCTTTTGAAATCGGCTCCACCTTTCCCACAAGCGTCGATCAGAGCATTGTAAGTGACTAAATTAGGGGTCAAGTTGGAATCTTTCATGGTGGCAAACACCCGGAAGGCGTCATCACAGTAACCACTCTTAGCATAAGCACTGATTAAAGCGGAATAAGTATAAACAGTGCTACCATAGCCTTCAAAGACAGCCTTATCAAAAACCCCTTTGGCTAAGTCCACTTTGCCTAACCGACCAAGAGTGCTAATCATAGTACTGGCAAGCTTACCTTGCTCGTTGCGCCGGCGGGAGAGGCGGCGGACGGCGAATTCGTAGCAGCGCAAGGCCATGGACCATTCACCACGGTTGCCGAGTTCCCGGAGCAAGAAAGCGTAATCGTCAGGCACGGAGAGAGAGGCCTGAAGAGAGAGCAAGATGGCGTCGACACGTGAATCGTCGCCGCTGAAACGGACGGCCTGCTGGAGGGCGTCCTCGGCGGCGGAGGAGTGGCGGCTGGAGGCGGAGGAAGTCCTGGGACGGCCGAAATGCATCTTGGAAACGAAGCGGGTGGATCGGCGGCCGGAGAAGTCGGCAGCAAGCTGGGGATTGGAGGAAAGGGCGGCGGCGGGAGGAGGGGGAGGGACATGGGATCGGTTGAAGGAGACGGAGCGGTGGGATTGAGGGGGGCGGGGAATAGAGGAAGGGGGATGGGAAGAAGGAGAGGGGCGGAGGTGGGGGTGATTGTGGTGATGATTTTGGTAGGGTTTAGAGGTGGTCAAGGTGCAGTGTGGGGGCGGAGTGGAGGACGCCATTGTTGTTGTTGATGAATGATTTGGGGGGGAGCTGGTTGGAGTTTGTTTTGCATAACTCGGAAGCTAGTACTACTCTACTTCTACTCCAACAGCAGATAATACAGAAATCATTTTTTTTATTTTTTTTTTAGAAAATACAGAAATCATTTTTATATTAAAAAAAAGAAAAAAGAAAAGAAATGTTTCGGTGATTTGTGTTAAGGGTAAACAAAAAGGACTATTCCTATTCCTGAAACTTTACTAAGAATTAATACAACCTACTACTAGTAATACAAAATCACAATGATTGATTTAAAGGTCTCCATGGATTGATTTACAAAAGGAAGAAAAAGAATAAAGGTCTGTCAGTAAAGTTCAACAGTCAACACCACGGTCTTGTTCAACTATTTTTATCTCCTTTAGCATGATCTTTATTTTCCGTCCCAAAGATATTTCCCAATTTCTTTCACTAATTGCTTACCATATCGTTTTCTTTTCTACATGACAAAAGGCCATTTTCTTTTAGCCTTCATCCAAAACTATCTCATACAACCCCACGAAAATCCAAATGTGTTGAAATTTGACTCAAGGCACCTTATCCATTTTCACAAAATTTTGGTTTCACCCATTAATGTACAACATTTTTGGCCTTTCAGAAATTAAAATGATCTACTAAGATTAGCGCATGCTGACTTGCTAAGTGTACTATGGACTAAATATCTATAACAATACTTCCTACATTCAAGGAAGACTATTTCTTAATTAATTGTCCACTGTGGGGGTGGGGATAGAATTCCATCTCCAACACACATATAATTCTCATCTTCGTAACAAAATTTGCTCCTTTTTCAACCAACTGGAGGAGACGGAGCCCCCTTTTCACATGACATTACCAAACTTCCTCCATTTCTTCAAAAACTGTTACCTTGCCAGGCACCAAGTGGTGTATGCATCGATCAGTATGTCTTCTTTCTTTGCAGTGGCTTTTTTGCATCTTTCTTTACAGCCGCGGCCGCAACTGATCCCGCCGCCATTCCCACTAGAGCTTGGTACAAGTCCTTTATTCTACACACACATTTACTTCATTTCAGGAAACTATTTCTCTCCTTTTTTCGTTTCATTCATATTTATTTATTTTTTAATTTTCTAAATGCAACCCATGTTAAAGTAAACACAAAGGATGGATAATCTGATATTTGCAGAATGAGACAGGACAAGACTTAACATAATACCTTGGCATGCTAATGAACAATGCAATTGCTGTAACTCCGGCGATCAGAGGGTATACAGGAGCCGTCGTTAGTTCCTGCAAACAAGAAAGTGGAACAATGTATTGCAACAATTTAGAAATAAGGTTGTAATCATATCCTTCATCGGATACAATCATCATGACATTACTGAAAATGAGGGCCAAAATATTTCCATATTGTTGCTATTACTAGAGGTAAGTGCTTCCGATTTGAATTCAAGGAATGCATTTTAAGGGTGGGGGCAAACCTGCTTCTGGTGATCCTCTTCAATGTTGAACCTGATAGGACCGATATGAACCTGGCTCTGATTCTGTAAGTCAGCCTCGATAACCTCGGAATGGAACCTGTGTGTACTAGCTGGTAGAGTGGATTGAAGCTGGATAAGATGCTTTCCCCTAGGCAAGTCTTTCACCTGGAAGAAGTTTGATAAAGGCAAGGGAACGACAGCTTCAGTCCTAACTGGTTCGCCAGCTGACATGATTTTCACCTGAAGATGAGGATGCAGCTCCTTGATTCCCTTCCCCTCGACGTGGCCACTCAAAATTGTCATTTCTGGATGTTCAAAAACAACAAAATCTAATTGTTTGATGTCCTGTGATCCAACCTACAAGAAAGAGCCACCATGGAAGAGAGGTCAACACTGAACAACGTTTCAATAATAAATATTTTAATGGCACACTAAACCCTGATTACCAGTAATATGAGAATCACAGAAATTAACCAAAAGTAAATGCCTATGTTAATGATATCACTAACCTTAATGGCAATTGACTCCGGAGAGGCCCGTTCAATACGGCTGCTACTATAGTCAGCCTTCTTTGCTATCCTGATTACGTAGCTCGTGTCAGGTAGGAGTCCCCTTAAACGATAACTCCCAGAAGAATCTGTAACCGCCTCTTCATAAAAACCTTTTGACTCTGCTCTAGCTTCTACTGAAATTCCTTCTTTTGGTTGACCAGAGAGGAGAGTAACTGTTCCCAGTGCACTGTACGCAACACGGGTGGCATGAAATACGACCTCCCTAAATTCACCTGAACCTAGTTCAATTGCGAGTGCCGAAGGTGAGAAAGCATACTCCTTTAACAAAGGTCGGAGGTAAAAACTCCCTGGAAATAGATTCTCAAACAGAAAATGCCCCCCTACTCCAGTCACGGAATTGTTTCTGTAGCCGTCCTCGCCACTCAATGATAAGAGAGCAGACGGAAAAGGCTCATTTGCATCATTATTAGAATAGATAGCCACAGAGATTTGTCCAAGCTTTTGACAAGAAAACGAGTAAGGACCAACGGGCTTCACGTGATACCCAGGCTTTGAAGCCTCAATCGTGTATTCTATATCATCGTACAAAGGGCCAGCCACAAACAAACCATTTGCATCTGTGCTAGTGTCAAGGGCTAAATCACCTCGTCTCAAAGCAGCATTGATGCTGTCTCCAGCTGCTAATGCTCTGATATGAACACCAGAAAGAGGAGGAGAAACTGACCCTTCAATGTACATCCCATGACGCCCAGAGAAAGGAGGAAGCTCATCCTGACAGGCTTCTTGCTTCACCGACACCTCCTGCTGCCTGGGATAAAATAAAAGTTTCTTTGCCGCATTTTCGCGCGAGTCTTTAGGGACAAATGTGAACTTTTCGGCAGGAACAGCCCATAGTGAATATTCAAAAACAGCATCATTTGAGTGATCACTTCCGTCAGGAAGATAACCTGCCGTAACAGTATCAACTAAAACACCATCATTGTTAAAGATGTCAACTGCAATGGTCTCTGGTGTGATGACTGACTTCGAATCCACATGAATATGTCCTTTTAGAAGATACTTCTCTCCTTTCAAATATAAAGGTGACGAGTCAGAAGTGTCAATTTTCACTGGAGAACTTCCAAAGTGAATACATGAGTTGACAAAGTGAAGCTCGTGCACGCCAGGATACTCAACGCATATGTTCTGTGTGCCTTTCTTGATATTCAAGTCCATGAGAGAACCATCTGGTTGGGTTAATTGAGCATTCACGTCATGGCTGGAAATCACTTTGACCCAATAGCCTTTTTGAACAAAAACAATTCCTTTAACATCCTCAGTTGCAATGTCTACATCAATGGAACTACGTTCCCAACACCATTTATCCTCTCTCGACCTGGCTTCCGGAGAATCATTCTTGACCTACATAGACAGAGGATACTTCATTATTCAGCTCAAGAGAATCCGAAACAGGCAGATCTGAGCAGACATGCAATTAACACATGCAAAAATATATAACAAGGTGGCAAAGTCCTACGAAATACAACATAGGTAAATTAAGTTGAGCAAGATGAATATGATAGGGAAAGAGAAAAAAACCGCTTAACACATCAATAGGCACAAAATATGTGACGAAGAATGGGTCAAGAGAGTGAATGCAAACTCCACTATCTCTAGAGGAAAAATGGAAAGCAGTTGGAGACAGATGGGCAAGAGCATTACCTCTATCCTGTATTTTCCAGGTAGGATATTCAGGAACATAAACTCATTACTCTGACCAGTCAGACTACTGGTCTTTGCTTTCTCTTTACCTTTACCATCCACCTTGACAAGTTTGACAGAGATAGACGAACCGCATCTTTCTTTGCACACGACAGAGCCATGTACATTTACTTGCGCCTGTATTCGAAAAAGCCACAGATTAGCAACAACAGAAACCAAGCATTACTTGGAATACACACCAAAGATTCTAATTCCAAAAAGAACAGGAAGAATCAATCAAAATTTTCACATCGCAGCATCGACTTGACATTAGTACAGTAGATAGCTACAAAGATAAGTGTCACTGGTAAGAGAAGTAACAAAGAGTAACATCTCAACTAAGAGCGGGTCAACTTCGCTAGCAAACGAGATCCAACAATGTTCGAGGAGATGATGGGTAGCTAAATCAGTTCTAATCTCGAGATCTTCAAAGGATCATACAATTACCTGATAAAAGTTAACATTCAGTATGGGACTGCTGACTTTGATGTCAACATGAGAAGGAGACAACAACAACTCTGGAGCATTCTCTGGTGTAGATGCGAAGGCAGATAATCGATACTCGCCGGGTGGAACCTGAGACACATTGACTTTCAGCATTAAGTAATTTGAAAATTAAGAGAAAGATGCTAAAACCTGCATGCTAAAAACACAGTTTGTAAATGAGAGGTAGTCTATTTACCACCGAGTTTGAGGATGAGAAGCCAATGAAGGAAAAAGAAAGAGAACTATACATAATCATATTCCGAGATACAGGGATGACAAGGTTAAAAGAGCATACTGTGATGATACAATATTTTATAAAACACTATGAATCTTAAAGCCAATGATGGTTCTTTTTACTTTCAGGAGCCGACAAATCTCCTGCTAATCTGCTATTCTACCAAGAAAATATCCTGAGACTTACGATCTTTCACCTCTTTAACTTCTCACGAATCATACACAAATGCACATTCTGCTAACATCAAGTTTTGCCATAATTGTCTAACCTGATCCAGAGAAAAGCAAATCTCAAAACTAAAAGGAAGGATTCAATAACACGGATCAGTTTACTAAATTCCCTCCATCGTTTCAGAACACCATAGCCTTCATTCTTTTAAAGCCAGAGGCTCCAATTCAACTTTCCTACCCATACTTTAAATGTAAGAATACACTGGTCAATAGAAACAACAAATTGTCTACAACCTGAACACCAAGAACTGAAATACGCTCATGAGAGAAGTTTTAAGAGAATAAAATTCATAAACAAAAGCTGCATGTGGCATAAACAATAGACAAACTTTGTTACAAAACTGTGCACAGGATACTCCAAAGAGGAGATGGATCGCAAACTAACATAACCGACACTAACAAGGAATCAAAGACAACAAAAAGCAATAATTCACTAACATACCTGAAAACAAAAGTTTCCATCGTTATCAGTCTGCTTCACTTGAGGTTTAACATTCTCTGGACCATGAGTCAAAGCGACCTGGCATTGAAACAGTGCTGTTAGTACAGAGAGCATAATAAAACACTGGAACAAATAATCTTACTTGCGCAAAAATGATACACCGACCAAACTCCTAACGGGAAAAGAAAAACTATTTGGTTCTTTTAAACAAAGGGAGCCATCTTTCAGACTAGCAATGCACATCCATTAAAGGAATATTGGATGACATTTGACATGTTTCAAAAGTGTAGAAGAATGGTTACCATGTGAAAATTGGTGTGTTTCTTTTTGAAAAATATGAAGAAGGAATGGAAAGGAAACTTTAAAACTTAGAACTTAAAAGAATTAAAATTCCTAATGACAAAAGGATATCTCTTCAGGATTATCATGGAGATAAAAATTTTCTTGAAGAATTGGAAATTTGGCATTTCATATTGGAGAACCTTAGGGCTGCTTCTCGCATCGAAAGATGGCAACTTTTGTTTTGCCACCAAGAGAGAAGGATCCACTGAGCATACCTTTGTCTTGTAATCAGCACTAACCGTCTGTACAGTGCCACATATGTCATAGGACACAGCTGTGATATCAGCAAGTGAGGCCATGTTTGGCAAAACCTGAACCATAAAGAAAAAAAGGAAAAGGAGGTTAGTTGGTAATCAAGAGGTATCCAAGACTAACAATAACTGCACGGTTCAGTATAAAACATTAAATGAAGCATAGAGAGATGTCACCAACAGAACTCTGTTCATAATAGATGTTCAATCACTAACCATAAAGTCAACCAATTCGCCAAAAGTGTAGTGCTCCTTCCTTGCTTCGATAGTGTACCTTTTAGATGTAACCTATAAATACACAGGTAATCAGAAGCAACAACGTGAAGAAAAAACAAAAAACCTCTAAGAAAATATAATCAAAGTATAAATCACTCACAGTTTCCACCAAACAATTGCGACACCAAAGGAAAAAAAAAAAAAAACAAATAGTAGCGACCATGGAGTTACCTGGTCGAGTTTGTAGTACCCTTCTTTATCAGTGAGAGATCTTTCCTCGCCATCTACTAAAATCTTTACGCCATCAACTCCCATGCCAGTCCCATCAACTACACGGCCTCCAACAGAAAATCCAGTTACCTAAGCAACATAGATTGACTTGGATGAAGACTTTTATAGCAATGGAGAAACACTCAATCAAATCATTTAGTTCCAATAAATGCTTCAGCCAATAACAAAGACTATTCCAGAACTTCTCCAACATTGAAATACAGAAAGAATGAGATGAAGCGAGGTAACCAAGAGAAACATTCAAGTATAATAAATTCAAATATTATCCAGAAGCAACAGATTTTAGCAGTACCTGAAATTTTTGAATGATTTTTGCATGATCATGTCCAACAGTGACCAACATAGACGGTGGTGACACATCAAAAACTGTATTCTCACCCTTGTAAAAAGGCACAAGCTTGTAGACCCCTGTGAAAATCAACAATCAAATGACATGGAAAAAGACTGAGAGTTCCTTGATCATATTTATGTACAGTCAAAGTATGAAATGATGTATACACAAGTTTTCAGAAAAGTAAAAGGTCAGGCACTACACAAGTAAAATCCAGTAACATTAAACACTTAGTAAGTTATTATCCTTTCTGAGTAGCATACTTCAGGAAGAAACTTTTATCAAACTGATTTATTTAGTAGTTCAATCACCAAAATGCAACTTTAAAATGAAAAGAAAGAAAAGGCAATCCATGATGAGCATAAAACTCCAGTATTTTTTGTCCAAAGGCAATGAATCAACAATGCTTGCCAACAATTCGATTGGAAGTCTCCCATTAGTGCAAATTTGCAAGGTAAATCAGTAAAGAGATCCACAAGCCAACCAATTTGTCATAAAATGGATTTCTCCAATTACGCACACAGGAAAGGAACAAAAAGCTCTCTCTATTGAAAAACTAAAGTAGTGCCCTCTTTATATATTCACTCATTGTGTAAGCCATTTCAGAATATTTCTAAAGGTTTTATCGATGGAGAAGTAAGAGCATGAACATATTATGCATTCAAAATCTTAAGGTAATCAGGAATGTACCACACGGTATTGAATGGAATTGGAACATTCCAGCAGCATCAGAAGTAGCATGACAAAGAGCTTTTCCTAGTCCAGGTGCTTCACCAGCGCCAAGCGGGCAATCCAACTCTGAAACGTCATCCGAGTACAAATACACATGAACTCCCAGTATGGGATTCCCCTGCCAAAGGAATGTACTTGTTGAACAAATGTCTTTGCAGTGAATTCAAAAAGATTGTCGAGATATCGTCTAGCAAGGTTTCTATTCAAAGGAGTATTCAAATGCCATTTAAATCTCAAAAGTCAAAACTAACCATTCATGTTTTACAACAGAGAAAATAATTGATCATTTACAAGAAAGATGCAATGCATTTGCATTTTCACTCCAATTTTATTTTTCTTGCAAGTTATCCAGATTATTCACTATCTAAGAAAGGTCAGAGGATTAATAATACTGCAAATTTGCAAGATCCTCTTCACCAGAGCACAATGTACAGGATGCGTAATCGGTCATATAACAGCATTTTTTTTTCCATATGCAAATATATGTGATAAGGACTCCAATATCTTTGATTCCTTTATACATTTCCTCTCTCAACCCTCTGATGTCTTTGATTCCTTTTATTAAACATCTTGAAATTAACCTCATCCACCCCCCCCCCCCAAAGGTGTCAATTTCTGACACAGCAACTTACAAAGACAACTCAACCGACTTGATGCGATTTACCCAAATTGCATTTTTGTTACATTTGTGCTCTAATTAATCTTATAAAGAATATGGAATACATAACTCAAAATAGATCTTCTGAGCTTTATATGGTTCGAAGTTGCAAGGTTGGGAAGTAATAGTTCATGCACCCATTAATGATTTCAATTTTCAATATAAAGGTTCAAAAAGTTATGAGGAAACCTACCTGAGCAACTACAGATCCACGAATTTCATAACCAGAGACAAAGAAAATATCATCTACCAGAACATTACCAAAACCCAATTCCACCTGCAGAGTTAGCAATCTGAAATTATCAACAGCCTTAGACAAGGATATGCCAAAATCAAACAGAAATAACAGAACTACGGAAAAAACGGAAAAGAGGAGGACGTTTTTAGAACCTCTGGAGAACTTCTGACTTCAATATTTAAATCATCCCGTGAAGCACGCAATTTATATTTCCCTGCATTTAACATATCCATTAGATGGAACATTCTCACCTGTTGACATTTAGTATGACTAAGTAAAGAGAAGATTTACTTAAAACGGGACCTAAGACCAGAAAAATAGAGACCACCATTCTAGACCTAACAAAAATCCGGATACAGACCACCAGTCTCCGTTCCCCTCCCACGACAAAAAGAATTTTTTTCCTTGCAAAAGTTTGAAGGTCTTAATTTCCATAATTAGCTGACTGATTTCATCAAAAAAACAGATAAAATTGTTGTAAAAGAATGAAAAAAAGAACCTGGAACAACGTCCGCAAATGTGTAACTTCCTGTTGATGTTGTGGAAACAGAAGACATAACTTCACCGGAGGGGGACAAAAGCTCCACTTTAACATTTGATGGACCTCCATTCTTATTTGGGCAGCTCTCTCCACCAACCGCTCCCACAACTCTTCCAGAAATAGTGAAACTGCAATAATAATAGCTCAATGAAGTTGGTTTAAACTGATGGTGGAAAGAGGAGCCTAGTATATGAAGATGGGAAGCATTCATTAACAAGAACAGACCCCGTGAACTGAAAGTTGATATCTTCGTTTCCGTTGCAACCAGTGCTATCAATGGCAACAGGTACCTATACCAACATAATATCATGTTATTAAATTTACAGAATACATGTATACATCTACTGAAACCGAAAGCAAGCAATAAGAATATCATATACTGAACTTGTTCTGGTTTCCACGACCATCCCTCAGGCCCCTTGATCTTAATAAGAAACGAACCCTGCAAGATATAAATAGAAAAGGAAGTAAACAATGTATAAGTTATGGATTTCTTTTGGAATTTAGGCGAGATCAACGTAATTTGATAATAGCCACTTACTTACTTCATTGAGAAAAAATTAGAAGAAACGAAACTAAAGTAAAAAGATTCAGAACAGACCTTGTCATAAACAGGAATAAAGTAATATCCATTTGGAGCACACTGTGTCCTTTCCTTAACCAACCCATCCAACGTACGGAGTTCAACCTACATTCAACAAAAGTGAAAAAGATCATACTGATTCTCATTGTGCAACTACCTCAAAACACACAAAAGAAAAGCAAAAAAGAAAATCAAAACAGGTAGCAACAATTTGACACTGCGTAAAGAGAGTCTTGCAAGGGTTGGTTCCCAAAATGAGAAAAAGATAAATCTCCCTAATACAAACAATGAACTAAAATTTCATCTCAGTTCCCAAGAATTCCCTAGATCAGTCCACATGGTTAACGAGAAAACACACATTGTGAGCAAGTTTCCATCTACGTAGGATATATCTTTACCCAACAGAAATTCAAACAAAAACATTCCAAAATCAAAGTATTGCTACCCTTAACTTGCCAACATAGCTGAAAGGAAAAAACCTAATCATTACAAATTAAAACCTGAAGCATGGGTATAAGTTTATCCGTGCGACAATATTTCATTGGACCAAAAAAAGCCTAGGAAAATCTCATGACCCAAATAAGCTTAACAAACCAAGACTTAACTCTCAAAAGCACTTTAGACTTATTTGGGATTAGCTCACATCGTTTCCAAAACTCCTCCCTTCACATTTTTGTTTCTTTCTAACACGCTCATGATCCAATGGATCTTACAACCACAAGCAACAAGCTATTTACGCTTGAAATGCAAGACCTCTAGTCTATAATGGAAAGAAAAAACAGTAAAAGGAGAAAGCAACAACTTCGACTATGTGGATCATATCTCAGCATCAAATTCCATCAAAATTTCATTTCATTAATTTTCAGATATCATGTCAGTAACTTCAACTGTGTGGAATCATACATCTAAACATCCTGTTCCTCCAGTACACATTTTTATTCAAATTTGAGTATAAAGAAGTGATGGAGAAAAGAAAAACACTCAGTTAGTGAGTTACCCTAATGTGAGAGTACTCCAATTATTTCAAATTATTGCTACCCTTAAATTGCCAACCTAACCAAAAGGAAAATACCTAATCATTTCAACTAAACACCTGGAGCACGGGTATAAGTAAGCTTCTACAGTATTTCAATGGACCAAAAAAGCCTAAAGTAAGATTAAAAAACCAAGACCAAAGTCAAAGCACTCTCAAATGCAATATAGACCTATTTCGGATAAGCTCGCATCTTTCCAGATACTCCTTCCTTCACATTTTTGTTTCTTTCTAATTCGCCCACGATACAATGGATCTTACAACCACAAGCAACACACTATTACGCTTGAAATGCAAGACCTCTAGTCTAGAATAGAAACAACATTTCTGCAAGGTGAGTCGCCTAGGTGGATCATATTTTGGCATCATATCCCATCAAAATTTCATTTAATTCAATTGTGAGACATCATGTCAGTAACTTCAACTGTATAGAATCATACATCTAAACACTTCTTTTCAAATTTGCAACATTCTTCTCATTCATGCTTAAATTTTGAGTATAAAGAACTGATGTAAAAAGGAAAACACTCAGTGAGTAAGTTACCGTAATGTGAGAGTAGTCCAATTTAGCATCAGTTGGCTTCCTTGACTTGATCAGAGCTCTACTCGCCTGCACGAAACAAAACAGAAAACAGAAGATTCTCGCTCCAATTCTAACCGCATTTCAATCACTAGCAGATATGATTATAAAGATGAAAAATGATAACGGAAAAACGTTACCTCGACGAATCCGCCGCAGCCTTGAATGGAATCGGCGGCGATGTTAGCAGTGACGGTTGTTGGCGGAGCTGCGGCAACGGCAAGCAGAATCGCGAGGAGTATCCAAGAGCGGTGGCTCGTTAATTCGAAGTCGGACCCCATTGATTTGGATCCGATCTGAGTTGAGTTCGAACCCAAAAAAAAAACAAAAGAGGGTTTATGGTTTTTGTTTTTACCACTGTGCAGCATCCACTGTGGTTTTTACGAAGGAGAGAAGAAGAAGAAGACGAAGATTGTGTGATTTTACAATGTTATCCTTTTAAACTATGCCTGAAACTAATAAAACTAATGCAATTTCAAAAAATTAAAAAATTATGCAATTTCAACTTATAATAAAAATTATAAATTTCTTGATTGTCTTGAATGAAGGTTTTTCAAATGTGTGTGAGTATAGGATTTTTTTTTTTTTGGTAGTTGCTCTAAGTTTGTATTTAAATGAATCGTTCTATATATTTTTCCATATTTCGTTTGTGGATTTTTCAAAACTATTATGCCTCCGTCCCAAAATTATTGAGTAGTTTGAACTTTTACTTTTTTTATACAATTTGAATTAAAAGCAAAATGTAAATTAGATAATGATTTATAAACTGCCATAAATCTACTATATATACTATACTAAGACAAATTTCAGAGATAGAAAATCTAAGATAATCTCCCTATGTCACGTAGGATTTAACCATAAGTGGCAATTGTTTACATTTTCAAGGGTTAAAGGGGAAAAAAATTCTTCAAGTTTGAATCTCGCGTTATTTTGTTACAAGGATACTAGAATCTGAATTTTAATTTCAACTCGAACTAAAACTCTGATCCAACAGTCATATACAGTTGCATTGCTAGATAGAGGATATCAAATCTTAACAAATTTTATAATCTTATTTGAACCTCAATTATATTCGACAGTGTATCTACGATTATATGATCTCAACATATCTTATTAGAAGACATCTAACAATTTAAATTGCAAAAATAAGAAATTATCGTGGAATAAGATTGCATGATCTGGTGATTGATCAATACTTGACGTCTTACTAATCTTATAAATACATACAATTGCATTCATGTTTGTTCTGTACCAATCTTTCAACCATATTTTTACTTTTTTCACCTTGTCTAATTAAATTGGTCCTAATAGTCGTCGCTGACAATCAACCCGATTTGGTATAAGATATCACCTCCGTCAAGTTTGATTGGAAAGTTAATGTTCAGATACTTCACACTTAGAAACCAACTTACGGAAAATTTAAAGATGTAGTTTGTCTTGAAGCTCTTCCAATTAATACCCAAGTAAAGATCATTGTCTTTAATCTCTCTTCAACTCTAGAATCAGCATAGATGTCAAATGTTTTAAGATGTAATATTTACGGAAGTTATTCTTTTGTGGAGCGTTTAAGGTAATTTACGATTGTGTTCAATCATCTTTGAAACTTTTCTAATGAGCAGAAAAAATTAAGGAGAAAAATGGGTCTTGGCCCGCGAATGGCACCGTAAATCATGTATCGAAAAAGGTTCACCCAAAGCTTCCTCGTACGTTAGTCAGAATGAATTTATATATGCTATCCATTTGTTGATTTACACTTTATTTTAATATTAATGATTTGTAATTCTCTTGACAGGCCAGAAATCTAGTACACCCAAAGGGGGATGAATTTAGAATCATCAACAGGATCAAATGTTAAAGCCTTGGTCACATAAGTAGCCTTTTACTTACTGGAAAGAAATCTCATGAGTTCTTGTTCAGCGGCTTGGAACAAATTAATATTGTTGTAATGTTTTGATTAGTGTCAGAGCGGCAAGTCACCCAATTAAGTACTACCCAATTGCAATAGCAGACTGGGAAGCAAAAAACTGACAATTTTTCATATACAGATTTGAAAGAATGGTTTGAAGAAAGGCAAGGAGATATAAACCATGGTGTAGCATATTCGGGGTTCTGAACTGGTTATAGTGGACATGGAAAAATGGCAGCTTCTTTAATGATGGGACTGTAAATCTGAAATCGCTTGAGATCTATCGAATTCTTATATTTTTCAAATGGAAGCATAACAAATCATGAAGGGAAGATTCAACCAGATGGAAGCCGCTACCAAAATTTTGGAGACGCAAATATAAGAATGCTTACATTGCCGACATTATCAAAAAAGATGCTACGTGAGAACAATGCCTATGAGAAAAATATAGATCAGTTTCATGTTTATGTCGACCTTTATGGGTCATTTTCACATCTGTTGTGAAGTTTACCGAAGGACATGCAATTAATATTCCAGAAAAAAAAATTGGTTAGGGAAAAGAAAAAATTCTAAAACAGATCAAACTATATTTTTCAAAACATATAATTATTCAAGTTAAATTAGTTTTTTTTTTTTATTGAGGTTTTGTAACATTCTACTTCATCTTAAATGAAGCATTACCCCTATTGTTTTTGGTTTTTGAATTTTATAGCTTCTGGATGAATGAAGCCATTATGTATTTCATATAAGCTTTACAAAATAACAATTAATTTTATTTAATCTATATTATAATTTTTATTTATACTTGCTTGATTCGTTTTACAGACGAGTTTAATACCTAATATTTATTGCGGATGTCCACAAGAGTCAATAGTTAGACAAGGACTCAATTACTAGTAGAGATAGTATTTAATTAGATGTCATCATCGTATGAGAAATTATTCTGTACATCCAGCAAACCAATCTCCTAACGACACCTGAGGTAAATATATAATAACTAACTTTTAATTATGATTTTGCTAATTCTCCGGCTAACTCTATGTCATGCCGTCAAACTCAGAACTCTCAAATCTCGATCAAGTTTTTTTTTTTTTTTTTTCTCTTTCTTTCTAGATTGTCATCTCACTCCATGGCAAAACAAACCTACTGATTCGGTTTCATTATGTTGTCATCATCTTGATATTCATCCATCACAACCTCAAAATCGAAAGGTCCAAAATCATCAATTAGTAACTGATATTGAAAAAATTATTGTTCAATAAACTCACTACTGCTCCGGCTATTGATGCCGGAATAATAAATGAAAAAGATCAATGAGTGGTGGATGATCCAAAAATTAAAAAAGAAATTGATAATTTTCAAAGTCAATGGAAAATTGCTTCACTATTAATGAGGACGTAAGGTCAAGAAGAAGCAGATAAAGACGATGATGATAAAAGGATAAAAGAGAGACTTTTGTCTTTCAACTGATGTTGGCTACATTCTTGATCTGATTGCCTGAAAAATTTATAAAAAAAAAAAAATGGAATTGCTTCACTGCCAGGCATGCGATAATACATAAGAGCGGCGGCTGCGCGACTCCCGTCGGCGTGGGATTTGATAATTATGAGGGCAAAGGAAAATAAAAGGTTTAAAAAATTAATATGAATATTACAAACTTACATGTGTTAAATAACTATTGGATTGGTGCATCACATCATGGTTGCTAGTGTGGTGCAGTGGCTTCATGAAATAATTTCGCTGAGTGTATTTACTTACAACAAATATCTATTTTCTCTCTCTACTTCTTCCTCTCTACAATATACATGTCTATTTTTTGGTATGCCGTTGCCTCTTCGGTTCTAGTCATTAATTTTATAATTTTTGTTGATGAATTATTATGAGACTAGTTAGGTTATGGTTGAGTTAGATTTCGGGGGGGTTTTGTTTTTCTTTGGCAAATTAATCATCATTTGAATTATGTTTGGGCCGAATATGATCATGGTTGATTACATCCGGTTTGTGATTGATTGATTACATTTATGGGCTACCTGGAATTGATTTCGATGGTTACGAGTAGTTTAGAGTATTAATAATGATGTTGCAGGACTTGCATACTGTCTTCTAAAAGGAAGACCTTTCTCTCGTCTGACTCATACTCGTCATCCTCATCATCATCTTCCACATCCCTCAAATCCTTGTCAGATTCAAAAAAACCACTCCATCCACATCATCACCATACGAATTCACAGACATATCAAAATGTACGACATCCTTCTCTTCTGTAATACAGAACTCCAGCTGAACACCAAAGTGATCCCGACGGAGACGCATGGTTACGAAGTACTTAATTTGGTCCGTGTGCACGCAATGAAAGCTTCATTGAAAAGATGGAGGACGGCAAGTCCCCCTGCAATTGAGCAGGAAACAACACTTTTTATAACATGAACAAAAAATAATAATCAAAACAAATATTCACAAAATCATTTACCTAAGTCAAAGCAGGCAGCATCATCCGAATCATCACGGAAAACTGGTCCCAAAACCTGTTTTGGGTTCCCAGTAAAGCCGGCGATAGCTCGAACAAATTCAGCTTTGCCAAGTGTTCTATAAGAATATAAATAACTCAAATGGTAAATTATTAATTGAAGGAAATGAGATGACCATTCTGAACTGTTCTATAAGAATATAAATCATTCAAATGGTAAATTATTAGTATAAGTAATTTCAGTGATCATCTAATTAAAAATCAAGAAAATAAGAAATAGTGTATCCTATCCTAAGTTAGTTTTTAAAGGTCTTTTAGATGAATAAAGATTAGTGCGAGTGTAGTGGTCACTAATGTTTCATATCGTAATTGGTAAAATTTAGTTTGATAAGGCTGTAAGAGTTCTTAGAGTGAAATGATTCATTTCATATAATTTTGTTTCGTGTTTTGTTGATTACGTATAATTTATTCCGTCCCAAAATGATTATCCGACCATAGAAATATTTCATTTATTGAGAATGGTTAAATAAAACATATTCGAAGGGGGGAGCAACAAAAAGGAACTCCATTGGTTGACTTGTTTCTTTCCTTTTTCTATGGTGAGGAGAAGAAAAGAGAAACTATAATTAGAAAGGATTTGACCAATCAAAAGGGAAGGGTTCGTCGAATTAGGCTCTCACCCATCAATTCCCAACTTCCAGGAGGGATGCAAACCAAAACTTTGTTCAGAGGAAAACCAGAAACAACCAAAGGACAGACAAGATTGTATGATAATCAAAACTCCCCAAGATTTCACCTTTTCTTTTTTTGTGTTTTTGGTTTGGAGATTCCGAGAATTGAATGATGGGGTTATGGTCTAATTCAAGACCATTTTCTTCCACAATACGTTAAACAAAACAAACCAAAAAAAGAACAAAAAAAAAAAAAGCACCAAAAAGAAATTCAGAATCTTTTCAGCTAAGGCGTACAGGAAGATTGACATATTGTTTGTGTACTCTTTTCTGTACGCCAGAAACAATAGGATTTTTCGCTTTGGTTTTCTTTATTATGCAGTAGTCATGCAAACCAAAATCCCCTGTTTTGATCGTCATCACCACATTTTGGCATTACTATTTGCAGGTTTCTACCTCCTCCTTGGTTCCTCCCTTAATAATGCAGCCCCCCTTCCTCCTAAAAATGCTGCTCCATCATCATTGGTTTTGAGCTGTGGATCTCCTGATGGAGCATCTGCCACAGATTCTGATGGCCGAAAATGGGATTCTGATTCCAAATTCCTTCAAGATAATGGCAACAAAAACTCATCCGTTGTAGCCAAGGCTGAAACACAAGATCCATCCCTCCCTTCTGATGTGCCTTACATGACTGCCAGGATTTTCACCACCGAGACAACCTACCAATTCCCAAATCCCAATTCGACCGCCCGGCTTCTTCTCAGGCTCCATTTCTACCCCTCTTCCTACCCGGGATTCAACATCTCCAACTCCTATTTCTCAGTTCATGCCGGAGGTTTCACATTGTTGAGCAATTTCAGCGCGTTCATCACAGCCGAGGCTCTCTCCCAGGGCTACATCATCCGGGAGTATTTCCTGGCTCCTATTGATTCTCCAACCCTGAATCTCACTTTCAGGCCTGATGGAAACTCTCCTGCCCAGAATCAGTCTTTTGCGTTCGTAAATGGGATTGAGGTGATTTCGCCTCCTGAAATATTCGATCAGGAGGTGGCACTGTCAGGCGTTGGCTCTCAAAATGATGGTAGTACTAATTTCGGAGATACCGAAAGCATGATGTCTATTGGGGCATCTAGCTTGCAGACCATGTTTAGGATCAATGTGGGCGGCCAGTACATCTCAGCTAAGAATGATTCTGCAGGCCTGATGAGAAGTTGGTATGACGATACTCCTTATATATATGGCGCCGGAGTCGGGGTTTCCCTGGAATCAAACGACACCATTAGTTACAAGAAATTACCCGAGTATACTGCACCTTTGGACGTGTACAGGACCGCGAGATCCATGGGGCCTGATCCAAAAGTCAATAAGAATTTCAACCTCACTTGGGTTTTCCAGGTGGAATCCAATTTTACTTACCTGGTAAGGTTTCACTGGTGTGATTGGGAGTTTGATAAGTTGAACCAGCGTGTGTTTTCCGTGCTTCTCAACAACAAGACGGCTGAAAGCGTAGCTGATATATACGGATGGACAAGCGAGAAGGCAACCCCGATGAGAAAAGATTATGTAACTTATGTTGCAGATGGCAAGGATGATCAGCATCTGCTCAGGGTGGATCTTCATCCCTTGACCTCCACAAAATCACAATACATCGATGCCCTTCTTAATGGCCTGGAAGTTTTCAAACTGAGTGATGCAAAATCAAATCTTGCAGGGCCTAATCCAATCATTTCAGATTTGATGAGGAAGCATTTAGAATCTGAGGAGAAACCAAAGGCATTTGCCGAGCAAAAGAAGACAGACACGGGTGCCCTCATTGGTGGTGCTGCTGGAGGAGCTGCAGCATTCGGCGTTGCTGCAGTCATAGTTTTCATAGCTCAAAGCAGGAAAAAGAGAGCCCTTGGCTCTGATGTTGGGGTCACCAGCTGGCTACCGATATACGGAAACTCCCACACTTCCTCTTCTGGAGGTAGCAAGTCCAACGGCAGCACGGCCAACATATCCTCTGATGCCGCATGTAATTGTCGCTATTTCTCCCTGGCAGAGATCAAGCAAGCGACCAAGAACTTTGATGAATCCAACGTCATTGGAGTTGGAGGATTCGGAAAGGTCTATAAAGGTGTCATAGATGGTGACACAAAAGTAGCCATCAAGCGTTCCAACCCTTCATCAGAACAAGGAGTTAATGAATTCCAGACTGAGATTGAAATGCTTTCTAAGCTGAGACACAGGCATTTAGTCTCTTTAATTGGCTTCTGCGAAGAAGGCAATGAGATGGTATTAGTTTATGACTATATGGGGAAAGGAACTTTGAGAGAACATCTTTATAAAGGTAACAAGATTGTATTATCCTGGAAACAAAGGCTGGAAATATGCATCGGCGCAGCTAGGGGCCTACATTATCTGCACACAGGTGCGAAATACACCATCATCCACAGGGATGTCAAGACTACAAATATACTTGTGGATGATAAATGGGTCGCAAAAGTGTCAGATTTCGGGCTATCAAAAACAGGTCCAAACATGAATCAAGGACATGTTAGCACTGTAGTGAAAGGCAGCTTCGGTTACCTGGATCCTGAGTACTTCAGGAGGCAACAGTTGACTGAGAAATCCGATGTGTATTCATTTGGGGTGGTCCTATTTGAAGTTTTGTGCGCCCGGCCAGCCCTCAACCCAAGCCTTCCAAAAGAGCAAGTCAGCCTGGCTGATTATGCTATGCACTGCCAAAGGAAAGGAACCTTGGAAGACATCGTTGATCCTCAGCTCAAAGGAAAAATCCATCCCGAATGCCTCAAGAAATTTGCTGAGACCGCTGAGAAATGCCTGTCCGACCACGGCATTGATCGCCCTTCCATGGGTGATGTGTTGTGGAATCTCGAGTATGCCCTCCAATTGCATGAAAACCCCGACGGCCTTACCAAATCTGCATCATTGGCCGGCTCAGAGAGCAAAAGAGAACCTCAGGATAGTAGTAGTATTGACCTCCTGGCCATGCACAGAAGCACATTGAGTCTTGAGAGTGAAACAGATATGACAGGGGATGATGGCAACACTGATGACATATTTTCCCAAATTGTGAATCCGCAAGGCCGGTGATAGTCCCCCCGCCTTCTTCCTACGTCACTGGTTTGTATTGAACAAGATGAATGGAGACAAAGACACCAAGTGAAATCCAATGCAAAAACCACACCATACTCTATACATATATAGAATATAAACATTTTATTTAGGTTTTGTCTCAATTGTTATTAGACTTCCTGTTTTTCTTCTCATATTTACATGCCATCTGTTCATTACCTAACATCTCTCTCAACATGAAGAAACTTCATTGAAATACATAAATGTCGTAAATTGTACTTTAAGTTGACGTAAAATAAGCACGCTGAGCTTGGCTGAACAACACACAGCAATAAAAGCATTTTTCAGCATGCGAAGGAAACATTGTATACAAAAAATGTACAAGTTACTGTGGCAAACTTTCAGAGAAACACAAAAAATTCAGCCGAAGTTCCATGGCACTAGTTATCACAGCAGGCTACAACAGTAATTAGATCCAGCAATCTGAGATTCACAGTTCTTTCTAGTTCAAGACGATCTTCTCTCCATCAGCTCAAGGCCATGAAAGCTTCAATCCAACTTTCCTTCAGCGTTCTCTTCCTATGGAAAGCACAAAACATATTCCTCCAAGAAGAAACCTTCGAAATTTTTAACAGAGAAATAAGGAACTGAATATATAGGAACACCACTCTCAAGGCTCAGATAAGAGGTAGTATACAAACAAAATTTGGACCAGTATTTACTCAAATTTCTATGACTGCTACACTACTAATGGGAAAAATAACCTAACTTTAGGATGAATTACAAATACAAACAAGACCAAATGTACCAGAACCCCCCAATAATAAAGTTCTGATCTCGAACTAAACTGTTTACAACTTAACGATCCCAGCCTGAGGGCCTCCGCCTCTCTCTAGGTCGATCCCTTGACCTACAAGAAGTAAAAGAAACAAAAATAAAGGAAGGCATCAGCATTGGCAATGTACAAGTATTTACTTTACTAGCAACTTTAGCCTCTTATTTCTTATTCTGTACAAAAGCAACTTTGGAGGCGACGATGTCTTATAACAAAATCAAAAAAGAAAGCATGATGATGTCAATGAAAGAGAAGTAGTACTAGTATTACCCTTCAGAATCTTTTTTTGCAGCTTCATCTCTTGCATTTCTCATAAAGGTATTTCCACTTGGATTCGCTGGAGCATTAACATGACTAAATGAAGGGGAACTGTTACTGTTTCCACCAATAGTCCCACCGGAAACAAAACCTTGTAAAACTGGCCTCTTGTTGGGAAACATGCTCGAACTACTGTTCACGGCCTGATTTTGGGAATTTGATGACGCAGCAACAAAGTTGCTCTTAAATTGTGACATCATCCCAGTTCTCAGGGAATTAACTGCCGCAGTCCGACTCGGTGCAGCATTTGAGGATGGTATATTGCTTGGCTCAGCACTATAGCCTATACCCAAGCCAAAATCTACACCACGCACTCCTTTTCCTGCACCTCCCCGTCCCCTAGCCTTTTTCCCACCTGCAAACACAAATTGTTTATTTTCGGATAAGAATGATCAGAGGCATACGAAAATTATGGAAAGCGTAAAAAGATATCATGAGGAAAAAATGCTACACTAGGCAGCATGATGCTTTCAGCCCTTATTCTTTAAAAGGGGAGGTTACAAACTGTAGAGGACTTTGAAAATTTTACTTCAGAATGAACATTTATTCAAACCAAAATCACCAATTTTCTACTGTAAATTTGGGCACATCATAGAGTGAAAGCGCATACCTCCTTTCCTGGCATCACGTTTGGATCTGAACCTCCCATCCTAAGGAAATAAACAAAAACACATTACTCCATGAGTAGAGATATAAACTTGAAATCTCATAAATCTTTCAACAAGCAATCGAGGAGACAATATTTCAGGAAGCAATATTAGCAATTCAAATCCATTTAAATAAATTAAGCAAATGGTCAATTCATACAACAAAGCAAATCATGCAACAGTTCCAAACCATGACAGCAGTTCAGTGCTCTTGTTATAAGATTTTGAGCTTATTTAATCACCTGAATACTATAGACCATATAACAACAATTAATCTCTTAATCTGCTACTCAGGGTAGGTCATACCAATCACAAGCCACCTTTGTGTGCTGATAAAACTATAGCCATTCTAACAAATGATGATGATCATACGTGCAAATAGACAGAACTTAAACCCATCAAAATGATCAATTTTTGCATCACCAATAACCAATCAAATAATGAGACGTCACTCAGCAAAGAGCGGCAGTAGGAAAAAACCAAGGAGCATTTTCACACAACCAGTAGCTTCATGTTGGTGGGTAGTCCAACAAAACCCTAAACACCATCTTCATGACCCAAAAAATCTTGCCTAGATGACATTTAATTAAATTTTTTTTAAAAAAAGTATCAAAGATATCATTCAAGTACCTTCATAGCAAGATCCATTAGTTCCGCAGACACATTCTGACCAGCAGCAATCAAACTGTTGACCAGTTCACCAGCAAATCGAGCCTCCTTCTGCGTGATGAGAGTATATGCAGTACCATCTTTGTCACCAGCACGTCCAGTTCTTCCAATTCTATGGACATGCATATCCATGTCCTTGGCTATATCAAAGTTTACCACTGACTTAATTGACTTGATGTCCAGACCTCGAGCTGCAACATCAGTCGCAATTAGAACATGAAAAGTTCCATTTTTGAACTTTTGCAGTACTTCAACACGAGAAGCCTGATCCTTGTCGCCATGAAGTGCTGCAACTTTAAACCCATTCTTGGCCAACTGTGATTCAAGGTCATCAACTGTGGCCTTCTTTGAAGCAAACACTAAGACATCACCTTCATCAATCAATGCAGGGAGATTCTCAAGAAGCCAAGACAACTTCTCAGAATCTGAAGTAATCACCTGAACAACCTGAGTGATGTCCTCATTTGCCATACCAACCTCCCCAACAGTCACCCGAATAGGGTCAGTCAGTATCTCCCTTGCAAGCTTTTCAACTTTTCGGGGCATAGTTGCTGAAAAGAGTAAAGTTTGTCGATCTGGCCTAATTTGGCCAACAATAGATCTTATCTGTGGCTCGAATCCCAGGTCAAACATCCGATCAGCCTCGTCAAGTACCAGGTATGTTGATCGTGACATTGTCAAAGCCTTCATCTTCAGCATATCTATCAATCTACCAGGTGTAGCAACAACTATCTCACATCCTGCTTTTAGTTCCTTGAACTGATCGAGCTTTGACATCCCACCATAAACAGCAGAGACACGGATACCATGTGATTTTGCAAACTTCTTTGCCTCCACATAAATCTGATGGGCTAGTTCCCTAGTTGGTGCACATATTACTCCAATGGGGCCTTCTTCTTTTCCAAGTTCAGGTTGATCCATGATATGTGTAATCATCGGAAGAACAAAAGATGCAGTCTTTCCGGAACCAGTTTTCGCAATACCGATAATATCTCTCCCGGAGAGCACGACAGGCAAAGCTTGGCATTGTATAGGTGTTGGCTTCTGATACGCCTGTTTTGCAATAGCTCTCATGAGCTCCACTGAAAACCCACAATCTTCAAACATCTTGATTGGCCTCGGAACATCAAATCCAGAAACACGAATTGCTACACTCTTCCTATAATCAGCAACCTCCTGCTCACTCATTCCTAAATGAACAAAAATGCGATTCAGCAAAAAATAAGCGGGACAACTTGGAGAACTAAGGGCTGCAAGCACCCCAATTTCCACTATTCATCTCATTCCTCCTCTTCCAACAAATCACAACCAATATTAAAACTAAAACTCAGTCAGTACATCCCAAACTACGTACGACAACAGTGAAACTAAATCTTTATTTCCTACGTCGGGTCTGCTATACGAATCAAGTTTCACCATTGTGCTCAATAAATACAGGTGGCCATGGAGGTTAACATAAATCAATTTTTAATTATTAGACTTCAAAGGACTTCTTAATTTATTATCTAAAATTCGACCTAGTAAAGAAGCTGGAAGGGAAAAAAAATAACAACATTATTGTAATACTTATTTATTTACCTGAAATGGAAGGTTTTTCATCATAAAAGTCCTTGTTGAAGGGCTCGTAGTCGATTAAACTGTGATCAAGAGCTGGAATCGGCTCGATCTTCTTCTTATCAACAACGACGATAGGATTATCATCCGAATCATACTCAACGAGTCCGGCATCCACAGCCTTGGCAGCTGCATAAACCTCCTCATCGGAATTATACCCAGCCTGGAGTGCCTCCGCCGCCAATTGCAACCCGACATCCTTCTTAGCTTTCAAATAAAGCTCCATCGGATCGTACTCCTCGTCTTCCTCCTTATACTTATCCAGCTTCTTACCATTAGAATCATCATTCCCCTTGTGCGACGGCGCCGCCTTCATCTCCTCGTGAATCCCCTCCATAAACGCGTCCAGAGGATCGATCTCGCCGTCGTCCCCGTCGCCGGCACCGTTGTTTTTGTTGTTTCCTTCTTCTTCTTCTTCTTCGTTGTTGTTGATGTCGTCATAATCGATGTTATCTAAGTCGGTATCTTCGTAATTGTCGTGGCCGCCGGAGCGGGAGGAAGGCGGAGGGACGTAGGAGAGTCGCTGGGGAGCTTGAGAACGCTCGAAGTTGTAGGTGGCTTGCCGGTTGATGCCGAATCCTTCGAAACCGAACTTTCGCTTGGACATTCTTTGGGTGGTTTAGGGTACCGGAGAAATTAAAATTAATATCACAAAGTATCACTAGGGTAGGTTGATTCGAAATAGAAGAAAGTACTGAAATTTTAATTAGGGATAAACCCTAGGTAGCGGTGGCGGTGGTGGAGCTGGCGGTTCGCGCCTAGTTGGTCAGCTATTTATTTATATCCAATTTTCTTTCCGAAACAAAAAAGGAAAAGAAAATAAAATCAAAAGCATGTAAAATTAAAACGTATAAATAGGACAACAAATACCGTATTATATCATTTGATAGTTTTATTCTAACGATACAATTATTATACGATGATATAGATGTGTTTGATATACGATGACTGATGAGTTTTGTTATAGTGTTGCCTCAGGGACTTTTGCACGGTTTATTTACGCTTTGTAAACTTTGGTTTAATTTAGAACTGATTGTATGAGATGAAAGATTGAGTTGGAAATAACAATACGAAACAAAGAAAAAATTTTGCTATGTCATAAATTTCACATTAGTCATAAAAGTTTGCTTATTTTAATTTTTTTTTTTTTTGGGCAGAAGGAATCTCCGTAATTGAATAAGAATGGTCTCGTGCGAAATGAGTTACGAAGAAAAAGAAATATACTCAATATAACTACACAAATGTGTGACATAAATCAAAATAACACGATTACATAGATTCTAAAAGTATTTAGACTTTGTTTAAGATTATCATAACTAGACTGGTTTGAAATTGACATTGCATTGGATGATTTCTGATTGTACCATAGATTGCATTTTAAATCTCTGGCCAAAGAAGCAAAATTAATTCATCAACCTCATTTTGTACATTGCATAAGTGGTGGTAAATGTATTAGGGAATTGGATATGGGCATGTAACTGTGATTAAAATATTTGTTGGGAGAATTTTCTTTCGAAAAAGATCTAGACAGTTTGAATCTAGATTAGTCAGAGCAATGATTTCGTACACCGGACGTGTAATATACCAAAGAAAAAAAAATTTTAATTCATACAGGGCTACAGCCCAAAGCCGAAACTCCATCCTACTTATCCACTTTCTCATTGTCGGAAAAGGGGCTGTGGTTTTGGCCTTTGGGCTTTATTTAGCAGAACAAACAAACATGATCCAAAACCCACAGCCGTCACATCACTTCAGTCTAGTCTTTTACTACTACTCCACTAACATTTGCTTCCTTTAGCTCCGGCAGACGGCAGACGTCCGCCGTTTAACTTCTTACCGTTATGTAAATCTCACTTTCCGTCATTGAAATTTAAATCATAGGCCCCAATTATTATTAATCTAATACAGAAACAAAATACGCAGAACAGAAAAAAAAAAAAAAAAAAAAACCAGAATACAAATCTCATATTTACTGTGTAAAAGAAATATTCTTCCCATTACTGAACCTGATTAATTTCTGCCCAAGTGAAAAGAAGAAGAAGAAGTAAGGGTGATGGAAATCGGTTCCGGCGAAGTCTCCGATACTCGATTTCAGCTACAAGTCCTTACTGAAGCAGCCCCCCAGATCTGAGCGCTTCGTATTTCCTACTTTGTTATTATTATTAGTAGTTTTATATATTAAACCGTCGGTGTCGGTAATGCTGGATTCTACTCTGCTACTATTGGTCGCCTCCACCTCCTCCTGCCGCCGCGGCGCTACTGCTGGTTCGTCTCCTTTTTCCCTCTTTTTTTTCCCTCCTCCTATAAGCTCAAATCCCTCCGTTTGTTTTGTCGTTTTAATGGAAATGCAGTTGTTTTAAATGTGTATGATGCTGTTTATATCCGCGGAAATGATGCTGTTTAAATCTCTAGTCTTCTTTTTTTTTTTTTTTTCCGTCTTTTTGTTATTGGTAGTAATGTTAAATGACAGACTTGCTGTTTTTAATGCTAACAATTTGGTGAAAACAAAGCTTGTTTACTTACAGAAACCTGTGTGATCTCCAATGAGACTGAATTAGGGCTTAATATTACTGAGCGAGAACATAATGTATGCACCAGGAAAGACTTGCGACTTTAATAGGGGAAGTTGTGAACTTCGGAGAAAGGTGTGCACTTTTTTAGGGATTATTGTGCCTGCTGTTTCCAGATTATGGTGTTCCATGAAAAGTTCTCAGTGATTGATTCAGAAGTATTCTGTCAAAAAATTATTGGATTATGAGAGTGACCATTGCTTCTCGGCTTTTGCTTGTATCTCCACATGGTTTTGCTGAGTGAAACTACTCTGATTTTTTACTCAGTTTTTTCCGTACGTTGCTAGGCAGAATGTGTTTTGACAGATGGATGGCAACACATGACTAACGCAGTTAACTTGCCTCGGATAAAAATTTTCAGTTTTGCTTTTGTAATTTAGTCTAGAGAGTCTATATAGAGGAGGGCATGGTAATAATATAACATTATTGCATGAGCACCTGAGTTGAGGGTTCAGCGTAAAGGGGCATATAGTGAATGCTTGAGAACACGGAATTCTACTCTGTTAGTTTAGAGCTTCCTTTGTTGTCTGAGTACTTTCTTATCCTTGTTTCGGAGCTTTCATTTCCATCCATGATTTCCTTTTGGCCTTTTCGAGTGAGATGGTTTTTGTCAGAGATAAATCCTAAAGTTAAGCATTTGTAGTGTCTTCTCTACTTGTGTTACGTAATTTGTATTCCATAGTGTAATCAGTTGTTGGTTCTGTTGGTGTTTGATCTGCAGGTCTGCGCAAAGAGGTTCCATGGCAGATCCTAAGATGGTTGCTAATTTTATTTTTTGTCTCACTTGCGACCAATGGTATCACTCGTGCAGATCCAGCTTCTGTGCCTTTGACTCCGTCTCCTGTTCCTGAGCTGCCTCTACCAGTCACCCTGCCTTTGTTCCACAGATCAAACCGTAAAAGTTTTTCACCTTTTGTTAATCCGAGGCTTGGGTTAGAACCAGCTCAGCCTCCTCATTATGGACCACTTGTAAGGTCCAATCATCCTCCTCCAAGCTCAAGTTTATCTAAACCATCAATGAAGAATGGTGGGTTGGGGCCCCATACTGCTGGGCTTGCTCCTCCTCGGCTTGCAGAGATTGCTCCAGTACAGTCTGGTTCCGGCAGTTTACCAGCTGATCTGGCCCAACCACCACTTTCCCCTCACGCATCGAGTATGATTTGTTATCCAATCCAACTTTTAATCCTGCTAATAGATTTACACGTCATCTTTTTTCTTATAATCTGAATGCATAAAAGGTTCAAGTGGGCAATTCAACTTTGATTTCTTCAGTTACTAACTCGTATTTTGTTATTTTCTTTTTCCTATTTTTATGTGGGCTTTGTTTCTCTCAATTTCAGATTGTTGTGGACCAGATATGGTGTCAAAGCGTGAAACTCATGGTTGCCATTGTGTATATCCAATTAAGCTTGACCTTCTCCTCTTGAATGTCTCATCTAACCCAAATTGGAATCTCTTTTTAAATGAACTTGCAACTCAATTAGGTCTGGGAGTTCCTCAGATCGAGCTTATTAACTTTTACGTGCTTGGTTTATCAACTCTTAACATATCAATGGATGTAACTCCATATAAGGGCCTTAGCTTCTCTTCCCAGGAAGCCGCTCGAATAAACTCTTCACTGGCTTTGCATCGAGTCCGTCTAGACCCTGCGTTGGTGGGTGACTACCAACTTCTGAATCTTACCTGGTTCAAGCCTCTGGCACCATCTCAAGGTAACTATTGCGTATTGTCATCTTTGTGTACTTCCACTATCAGTTCCAATCTTTCTTTTAGATGAACTTTATAACGTGAAATGTTTGCTGTGTGTGTAGCTCCAATTTCTGCAACCCCACCGGTGGAAGCATCGCCAAAATTGGCTTCACCTCCGGCTGCATTGGTCCCTTCAAGCAAGGGAAACCATTCAGGCTTAGTTCTTATAATTGGCATTGGCGCTGGAATCCTAATCATTGCTATTATTTCCTTGCTTATAATTTGTCACTGTGCATCTCATAGTCGGAAGAAGAGGAAATCTATCAATGAACATGGTAGGCAACGGAAAATATTTTTGGATTTTTTGGTATATTTTTGTTTTTACTATTGCACATGTCCTCTCTTGTTTTTGAGAAATTCTGTTTTCTTATTACAGCAAAAATGAGGGCTGTTGGTGCAGTTCCCTTAGCTGGATCTATCCCTCATCCTCATCCAACTAGTACGAGGTTTTTGGCTTACGAAGAACTTAGAGAAGCGACAAACAACTTTGAAACTGCCAGCTTACTCGGGGAAGGTGGTTTCGGTCGAGTTTTCAAGGGTGTACTCAGTGATGGAACTGCTGTAGCTATAAAGAGGCTTACCAGTGGAGGCCAGCAAGGAGATAAAGAATTTCTAGTTGAGGTTGAGATGCTAAGCAGGCTCCATCATCGTAATCTAGTGAAGCTCATAGGTTACTATAGCAATCGGGATTCTTCGCAAAATCTTCTTTGCTATGAGCTTGTCCCAAATGGAAGTTTGGAGTCCTGGCTGCATGGTAAAACTCTTATGATTGCCTTATCCATGAGACAATTTAATTTACTTTCATGATTAAGATAAAAGAAAGGGTGTCAACTGGGATAAATTTTTCAAAATTTACTGGTTAATGTCTGATTTACTGCAGGCCCCTTAGGCGTGAACTGCCCTCTGGATTGGGACACTAGAATGAAGATCGCACTCGATGCGGCGCGAGGGCTTGCTTATCTACATGAAGACTCACAGCCTTGTGTCATTCATAGAGACTTCAAGGCATCCAACATATTGCTCGAGAATGACTTTCACGCTAAAGTTGCCGATTTTGGTCTTGCGAAGCAGGCCCCAGAAGGCAGGGTGAACTATTTGTCTACGCGTGTCATGGGAACTTTCGGGTCAGTTTTGTTCTTCCTGATTATCAAGTAATTAATCTGGGAGCAAAAAAAAAAAAGAAAAAGATAAAGAAATTCTATTGGCTCTGAATTTGAATGAAATACGACTCCTTAACAGATATGTAGCGCCCGAATATGCTATGACTGGCCACCTATTGGTCAAAAGTGATGTATACAGCTATGGGGTGGTGCTCCTTGAACTGTTGACTGGAAGGAAACCTGTGGATATGTCACAACCATCGGGACAGGAGAATCTCGTTACTTGGGTCTGTTTGTTATGTTTCTTCTGTGTTCTTATATTCCTGAATGAATGAAATCGTAATCCCACTAATTCTATTCTTAACTATTTTAAGCAGCAAGAATGTAAGATTTTCATTGGTTTCAGGCCCGTCCAATTCTAAGAGATAAGGATCGGTTGGAAGAGCTTGTTGATCCTACGCTTGGTGGCAACTACCCGGTTGAGGATTATGTTCGGGTTTGCACAATTGCAGCGGCTTGTGTCGCCCCCGAGGCAAGTCAACGACCTACTATGGGCGAGGTGGTTCAGTCACTGAAAATGGTGCAACGCGTGGCGGAGTATCAAGATCCTTCTCTAACTTCCAACAATCGGCCAAACCCGAATCTCAGGCAGTCATCTACCACCCTCGAATCAGATGGTACGTCGTCAATCTTCTCTTCCGGCCCTTACTCCGGTCTGAGTGGATTTGAAAATGATAACATCTCGCGGACAGCTGTATTTTCCGAAGATCTTCACGAAGGACGGTAAATATTTTTTCCCCATTGTCCTACGAGTTCATTCTGAAGATGATGCTATGTTCCCCAAGATTTTGAGCCTGGTAGTTACTTAGAGACATCTTTCGGCGATGTTACTATTACTTTTTCTTTTTGTGCAATTATTAGATGGATATGGAAAATGATTCAATTTGTAGCTACTTTAGTTGTTAGGTTTTGGTGCAGTCCCTTGTTTTCATCCTCGTAGAGGAGAGAACCACCACCAGTTTTGCCCTCTTCCTTTGGTGGTCATTCTCTGTCATGGTAAAGATGAAAAAAGGGTGAAAATGTAAATATTAGTTATGGGGTGTATGTTGTACGCTGTATTAATCTCCATAGCCAAAGCATTCTTGTTGGGGTTTTGATTTTGTTGGTTCTGAGTTTTGATTATGCATTGTCTCAGTCATATTCTCCTGAAACAAGAATTATTTCTTCTTTTTTCAACTCTGAAAACTGAAACTACTTTGTGGTGGATGTTTGTGCATTCTGAATGTCGTTACAGCAAAACATCCTTAATGACGTTTTAGATGCACGCTGTGGAATAACTTCAATCAATCGCATAGTTTCCAAGGCTTCAAGCGTTGTAAGTCTTTATTTCGGTACAATGTAGAAACAAAGAGGGCCATAAAATATTCAAACAGAAGTCTGCTTTATTCAAATCCGAACTCTAAATAAAGTAGTAGCAAACAAGGATTACTGATTCCGCCTAGCAGTAGGCAGGATTCAGGACACAGTGTCGCCAACGTACGAAAAAGTTCAAAACAACACCCACCACAAACAAACTAACTGAAAACTCAAAAGAAATCCAACTTATTAGATAATATGAATACTTCAAACAGATGCTTTCCTACGCATATAGAAAAGCACCGAGGAACAGGTTCTCAAGATCAAATGGCGCAGCAGTGCAAGTTCCTCCAAACTCTGCTCCAAAATCTTTTAATTCTTTGTTCGTTCTTTCATCCGGACGAACAAGTGGAATGAATTCTTCCACGCCTGACTCACTAATAGATCTGCTCAAAGCCAGAAATACATTTTTTTTTTAAAAAAAAAAAAGATATCACCATTAGTAATTCAACTCCATAGTCATAACTCTGCTGCCAAATATTATCAAGGAAGCCAGAAAAGGTGCCTAAAAACAACGTGTGGATCATGTTCTAGTTTAAATTTTGGGAAAAATAAAATAGAAATCTAAAAAGAATTGCCTCATAAATTTGAAAAAATGGCATTGAAGCTGTACAAAGTCGTATAGAAAAGTGTGCACATAACAGAAAACACAAACAAAAACTTAAAAGGGCAGATCATACAAGACCCTAAAGCAATTGAAATTGAAGGGATAGAAATGCCAACTAACCTTCATATTTAAACCTTTTCAGGCATAAGAGTTCCACGAACACACCCCGAGAGCCCTTGCACACTGGTGCTGAGCCTGATGCTCTCTTCCTCTGCACCAGCATTAGAGAAGGCTATTGATTGCTATTCAGAATCATCATCATAAACTTCTTCGTCACTGAGGACATCAAAAGCTTGAAGGTCGACCTGGTACCGCAAAATCCCTCCAATCCCTCCAAAACCTCTACAAAATTGAGATCCCTCTTGCGACTTGTTAGTGACAAACTCCAAATTGCAACCAAACTTCCTGTACTCCTCTGCAAACCACTCCAGTAGCAAAGTCTTCTCAGTGACTTCCAAAACTGAATTTGTAACTGGGTCCAGGAAGTTACTCTGATCAGATTCCTGCTCCTTGTTCAAGTATTTGATGATCTCCTCACCAGTTGTGGAATTCTTTAAGTCAAACCTAGTAATATCGAGATTTTCCCACACAATAAGAGTCTCAACGGCCCCCATCTCGAGCACTTTCAAAGTGTCATCCACCCCAAAAACATACTTCCCAGTATCCTGACTTATCTCCTCGAAATACTTACCTATTAGCTTCTTTTCCTGGATAAACTTGACATTAGATAGAATTTCAGCTGACAGCTCAATTGCCTGGTTAAAGCCGGCCTCACCACCATAAGAGACATCCACTACATTCAAAACCTTAGATGAAAGTCGGGGATCAAACATGTCAGACTGGCTGAGCTCGTTCTTGAAGTCAGCAGATCCAGCAAGAATCAGACCTGACACATTGGGTTGGCTGGTTGCAGGATTTATAAAGTACTGGGTTGAAAGCTCAGCAGCTTTCCTTACATAGTTGTGGCGCTTCTCCATGCGAAGACGAGCAAATCGAAGTGCGGACTGCCCTCCTCTTCCATGCTTTTTAGGTAGATCAACAGTAAACTTGTGAAGGACTTCTCTAGAGTTGCCACTCAAAGTTCCAAAGAGGGTCCCATTACCATCCATAACAATAAAACCAAACTTGTCATCAGACTCCAAGAGTTCATTCAGAGCTTCGGTATGGAACTTGTTATCACACAGATACAGAGTAGCATTGATAGGCCTGAAAGGCTCAAAGTCGATGGTGACCTTTTTCTCCTTCCCATCATCTGTCACAATGGTTCCAGTGTAAAGCACAAGGCCGTTTGGAGGTACTTTGTTATAAAGTTTCAAACGCTGCTGAGCAGATGTAATGGCACCCAAAACAGATTGCCGGTTAACCCTGCTCTTAATGTTGGATGCAGTACCAAATTCATCCCCAAGCATCTTGTTCACACGGGCAATTTGATCACGTGGGGGCATAATAAGTGAAATCATGCTAGTTCCATTCCCACGAGCAGCCTCAAGTGCTTTTATGAGCTTTTTTATCTTCCATATCTCAATATTCTTGTCAGTTTCATGAGCCTCTGCCATTGCAGATAAGGCAATGTATATAGCAGAACCTGAAAAACAAACCCACAAAAAGACAATCCTTAAAATACAGTTATGTATCGCTATAAAACAAATCATCAATTCCAATCCAAGTTACGAGGTTATTTGATGCTTTGGTCACGAAATAGAAAAGGGATGCAATATACTTTAAAAGGAAGCAAGAAATAAAGTAGAAACACGTGGTCCGTACAGTAACAAGACCAAAGAGAAGGAAAACTTGTTTCCTTCTGAAAAATAGTAATTGAACTGCAAATCAAAAGAATCCTCAAAAAGTATGATGTTTTGACTTCCAACAAAATAAACCTAATTTATTTTTACCTACGTAATATAGAATTCCAAACTCAAAACTAAACTAAGACAGACATAATACAAAGAAATTTCAAGATAAGATGCAACCTGCAACTGGAAGGGGACATCAAAACTTAAAACATCTCCCATAAGGGGGAAAAAAAAAAGCATCTTCCTATAATTTTCCCTACCAATCAAATCTGAAATCAAATTGGGTGCAACAAAAAAGGCAAATCTGTCAACAACAAAAGTTGCCCGGAATACGAGGATTGAAAAACATCGAAATCACAACTAAAATTTTCGCAAGAGAATTTCCAAATTAATGCAATAAAATCACAAAATTCAGGATATTTTATACACACATATTTCAACACCCAAACAATAATTCCCGGGATACATCAAGGCCATGGAAGTTACATATAATAAGCATGAATACGTCACCATACTTCAGAATCACCAGAGAAAAGATCATCCGACAAATCAAAGAAGGTCGACGAAAAAAGAAACTAGGTATTGACGAACGAATATAATCACAATTCAGACGGCTATCACCAAAATTAAAACATAAACCAAAAAAATTTAATAGAAAAGAGCAGTACAGATAACAAAATTACGAAGGGGAAACCGATGGATCAAAATAGTGGAATCAGGTTATCAAAGAAATAAGAAGACGTATGGGAATTGAATGATACCTCCGATGAAGGAATCAAGATCTTAGAGACGTACGCAGCCCAAACTTATTTGTGTGTTTCGTTGTGTGTGGAAGAGAAAAAAGGAGAATCCTTTTATACTAATTGAGATAGGCAAACTTTTAAGTCGGCGGGTCCTGAGGATCTTCTTTGCAATTTCTGATCTTCCCGGGGGAGTTGGAATTTGAGAAACGCATATATTACTCTCCGTCCAAAAAAAACTAAAAAAAAAAAAAAATGAAAATCTAAATTATACTGTATAATAATTTCGGAATCGAGAGACTAATATTATTTCCTATTATAATCAAGGTTCGCAAAGTCGGGATTCTAACTAGAATCGTTTTGAACTTAGAATCGTGAGTCGTAGAATCGTAACTTAGGATTCTAAGAAAAGTTTGTTAAATTTGTTGAGGTGGCAGTTATTATGATAGAGATTACCTATGTAATTTAAAAATTACTTTTATTTGATATTTATGTCTTTTCAAATACAGTTACTTAAATTTAGGTAATACTCGTATCAGCAGCTACGACTTGATAAACAAATACACAAAATCAAATGTCTTAAATCACAAGTAAATGCACAATTTCAAACTCCAATAATTTAATTAAAACATATAAGTACAAATTTTGTCATTGTCTCCTAAAAATCCAACATCAATACACATCCTAAAAGAACCAAACTAAAAAAACCATATTCGAAATCAACAACAATTTCAAAACCAAATTATTCATCATCATCAATATGGTCATCAGCACCATAATCATTGAAGCTTTTGTTCCATCCCGCAAGATTTTTGTCACGAGAAGATACACCCTCATCAATATCACGGGATCCCCAATCATAGAAAGATGATTTTTCAGAGGAGGAATCAGTGTTTTTTTTTTTTTTTCCGACGGGGAGTAAATAAAACCGTGAAAGACTAAAAGTGATGGGTATTGTAGATTTGTAGTTAATGTTTTTATTTCATCAATAATTTGTGATTTTTACATTGTGTGAAACTGTAAATTAAAATTTTATGGCTCAAAATTCAGCCCAAAAATTTAATTTAATAAAAAAAGACCAAAAAACTCTTAAATAGTGAACTTTCTTATAATCGTATAAAATCGTAAAACCGTAAGATTTTAACCATTTTAAAAATTCTAGCGAGATTTTAAGATTCTAACACAGATTAAGATTCCAGTAGACTTAGAAACGATACAGTACATTAAAGTCGTAAAATCGTAGATTTTAAGACTTAAAGTCGGGATTTTAAAAACCTTGATTATAATCTTTGATGGGCTAACTACAATTAAACCCCCCTAATTTTGGCCCTTCAATAATTTAAAGTCTAAGTTTTGGTAATTTAAACTCTAAGTTTTGGTGATAGGGTGCATGCACGAAATATTTGAAATGAACAAAATTCAAGATGACTTCCGGCCAGAAAAATATCATAAATAAGGAATCTGAGTTAGAAGGTGAAATGAATTTATGCCCCTCTCAGTTTATGACAAAGGAAAAAAAAAACTGACATTTTTTTTATAAAAAAAAATGTGAGCCCCCATTTTCAGTTTGCGAAAATTGAAACTTGGAAAGCGGCCGATGCTGGCAGCCTCCATCAACTCCGACACAATGCGGATCGAAACTTTTGAAGCAGCTCATTGCAAGGTGAGTTGTTTTGGATTGAAGATAGAATTAGGATTTTGATTATACATATAACACGTTTAGGAAAGAGTAGTAATCGGTATAAAGAAAATACAATAGACTTATGAAATAGTAATTTCGTCCGTGAATTTTGTTGACATTCGTATTTTACATCATATTTCTGATGAGCAGGGTGCAATCTGTAAATTGACTGTAAGTCAAGGAAGTAAATTGTAGTATTATTAACATTTGAGGTTCATTTTGTTAAACTCCCGAAATTCGGAGGTCCATTTGAGGATTGGATTGAAGATTCAACATTACAATTGAGGATCTCTTTAGGGTTCTGAATTTGGGCGTACTTTTTATCATCGGATCGTTTAGTGTGTTCGAAATAATTTCGTTTTGGCGGTAGTGTTAACCTTACTTTTCTGTCTCTAAGAGCCTCTCATCCAATTTTCTGACAAGTTGACGTTTTTGGATATCTTGAAATCGAGTGTTTTGCAGAAAATACCATTGGGATTAAAGATTTTTCGGTTTTAGGTGTTTTCATTGTCTGTTCGCTTTAAGTTCTTAAAATACTTTCAGTTTGACATCAGCACTTTCATGAACAATCAATTATCTATCGACAAGCTTGGAAGAAGAGGTGATGTTCTACGAAAATGCAAAGCACGTTGGAAAAGGGAGTTGCAAATTTTGTATGAAACACTTCGATCATGATTAGAGAGGGAAAAAAGCCCAACAAATTGGTTTTTGAAGGCCGGCATGGCCATCGACCAGTTGCCAAGTTGTTGCATAAAAAGGATTCCAAAAAACTACAGGGAAATTGCACCCAGAGAAGTGGAATGTTTGAGAATATTGAAGAGGGACAAAATCGTAAAATTTTTGGAGTAGAAGGAAGACGAAATTTATGTTTATGTCTGCATAGAAAGGTGTTCTAGAACCCTCGAAGATTATTTGGGTATTTATTTTCAAAGCCACCACCTTTACTACTTGAAGCCACATATTTTAAAATTGGACCATTTTACCCTTATAAATTTTTTAAATCAAATAATTTGACTAGAAAGAAAATTAAAAAAATTGAAAATTCAAAAAAAAATAAAATTGGCCGACAGGGCGGTTCCCCCGTCCCGGGTTAACCGGGGATGGGCAAGTGTCACGGGCTTACTTTTTCAAAGTAACGGCCATGCGGCATTAGCACAAAACAACTAACGATCAAGTGCTAGCTCAACCTTAAGACCCCCAAAGCGTGCAAAGCTAGGCAAGGATTTAAAGAACGGAGGCAAAGAAAAACTTAAGAAAGGTTAAAAGTGAAAGAACGATGAAGGCACAAGAGAGCTTAAAGAATGCTTGAGAACTCTACTCAAAGCTTGGATTACAAATGAAGGGGGCATGGGGTATTTATAGGCAAACCCCAAGTCCCAAAGAATTCTAGAGAATTCTATGTACATAATAAAATAATGGAATTCTAGAGAATTCCTACCATAAAATATTCTAAGTCCAAAATATCTACAAGTCTCTAGAATCCTCCACACGGTTCTAGCAAACTCGGGTAGCTTCCACACGGTTCTACCCGTTTCTAGAGAGTTCCGGGCCTCTCTAAAGAATTCCAGAGTCTTCAAGATTTGACCGGAGAATTCCACAAGGCTCTAGACCGATACTGTGCCATGTCCGTCTACGAAAATAGCCTGTTTCGCAGCAAACCACCCGAATTCGTGGGGAAGAAAAACTGTCCGTGACACAAGGAACGCGTCCTCTTGTTCGCCCGAACGTATTCATTGCGCGTCCCGGGTTAAATCAGGACGCGCAATGAACGCGTTCGGACGAACAAGAGTACGCGTTCCTTGCCCGTCCCGTGTTAATCAGGGACGAGTGGATTGCTCGTCCGGTCCCGGTTCAGTCCGATATGGTGAACCGGACTGGTCAGGCCTTTTTTCTTAATTTTTAATTTTTTTGTTTTTTTTTTAATTTTTTGGTAATTAAAAATAGCAATATTTTTTATTTTAAAAAGTCTAAAAATTAAAAAATATCAATCGAATTCATTGCTATTTAGATTTTTTGTTGTAATTAGTTAATCTAGTTTTTAGGTCATTAAATTTATTAATAATTTATTATTTGAGTTACATTAAATATCACCAATCTTTGAAGTACAAAAAAATAGTTAATCTATTTGCACATATTTGTCACAATCTTTGTGGTACAATTATTATTTTTCATTATAAATGTATAATTATTATTTTAACTAAAAATTATCTTTAAAATAATGATTAAAGTAAAATTTATAATTTAATATCAATTCAAATAAATTAACTTAAAAAATAATCTTAAATTTTTTTCAAGTAAAAAGTAATTACTTGTTTATTTTCAAGTAAATATAAAGTCGAGAGTTTAAGAACTAAAGTGTAAATATTGTTAATAATATTTAAAGTACGAGGTATTTAACGTGTAATGATACTGTGAATAAACTAACATTAAAATAAAAATTAATAATTTATTGGTTCTTACGTGAATCGGACCAAATGACTTGTCCGGTTCGGTCCGAGTGGCAGGGGCAAAATGGTCCAAATTTTTTTTTCGTGGCTTTGACTACTAAAGTGGGTGGCTTCAAAAATCCACCCCCTTGATGAATTGGGATGGTTTTCTTGACCACAATAAAAAAAGCAATACTAGACGGATGAGGATGGAGCTGAGACAGATCTAGGACTTGATAATCGCATGTACCTAACTTTCACAACTCTTAAGTTGATTATTTTATAGATTTATTATTTTAAACTTGTTACCTTATATGCATTAAGGAAAAGCAAACTATCTTTATATACATAATTTAAAATATCTCTACTTTTTTTATTCTTGTTCTATTTAGTTACTAACTAATCAGTGAAAGATCAATAAATTAATATTTTCATGAGAATTTTATAAATTTATTATTTAATCAATAAATTAATAATAATTAATATACTAATAAATTAGTAACTTATTAATTTAGAGAAATGTTTTTGAAAATAAACTTCAATTTTTTTAAAAACTAAGAGATAAAGTTGAGTTTGGATTATATGAGTTTAATTTTTAAATTATCACTATAGATATAAATTTTAAGGGAAAAAATTATCTTTATATTCACATTTTAATAAATCTTGCCAAACTTTTATTTTCTATTTTGTGTAATTATTGATTAATGTCATTGAGAGACCAATATTTATATAAAGGTTTTTCTAAAAAATAATTATTTTATTATTTTATCGATTGTTGTTATTTTTTACATTGGTCCTGATTTAAGACTATAAAAAATTATTAATTCATAGAGTATTGATTTATGGAGTTTTATTGTATATACGTATGGGAAAAAATCATGAGAGCTTTCGACACATATAAACAGACCGTCTTTCATGCACATATACACTCAAGAAAAAAAATTTCAAATTTAATATCAATATTATATTTTTTTAAAAAAAAACGATGGATAAAGAAAATCAACTTTTGAAGTTTTCGTTAAACTAGAAATTTTTCATAGTTTTGAATCCCTTGATCTTAACTATTTATTTTCTTCCATTATTACTATTCACAAAAATTGAAACCTCACTACCGACATTGATGAAATGTTCAAAATTTTCTTCAGAAAACTCAAAATTTTAAGTCTATAAACTTGTTCTTTTGTTTTCCACTTTAATCTCTTACATACATTTTTACGTATCAAAAATATCTTTAAATTTCTAAATAACTCGAACTCTAAATTTGAAAGGTTGAATGTAATAAAAATTCCATAAATCAATAGCGTCAGGCTTACAAAAATTCATTGATTTAAAAAGATTATTATTTTATTAATAAATTAATAATTATTATTTTATCAATAAATTAATATTTTATAAAAAATTTTCCAATTTTATCAGGAAGCAAAATACTCACCTCAACCCTACTTCCCACGTATTTACGGTCCTATTATTTTTATTTATGGGTTGGAAAGAAAATCATAGATGTACTTTTCTCATATATAAATTTCAAGACAAAAAAAAAAGTTCAATAGCTTTCTACATTTTTAAAACTTCTTATTTTTTTGCTTATTATTAATTTATAATTTTTATGAGATCTATATTTATATAGGAATTATCTGAAATTTTATTATCTTCTTAATTTATCGATTTTATTGGATTTTTTTACTGAACTCAAGCTAGGACTAAAAAATTTATTATTTAATAGAGTTTATTGATGATTTATAGAGCATTAATTTAGAGAGTTTTTTATGTATGTATAATTGGTCTTTTTTTAAGTAAGAAACTAATATGTAGGGAAGAAAGATTGGAGTTGCAAAAACTAAAACAAATAGGGTTTAATTAAAAGTCTTTTAAAGTTGAAAATAAATTCTTTCAACGTAAATTTGGTAAAATTATTTTTTTTTTTTTGCTAAAAAGGGCAAAGTCCAGTTTGAATTACAGTACAATTCGTCTAGGGTAAGGTACTCCTACTATATCGTGATTAAGCCACCAAAATAAACCTGGTGGAGGTGAATCCAAAGGTATTAGTCTGCCCAGATTCGTCATTGCCAGTGCAACAATATAATCCACAACAAAATTACACTCCCTATGGGGTGATGAAGTTCTACTGTCCACTCCCTGATGGCTCTCAATAGACTTTCATGGCGTGAATGTCTATTAAGGTTGTCAACTTTCTTTCAACATTTAAAACTCAAATGACCATTTTATAATAAGTTAAAAAATTTTGGTTAAAATCGATCGATTCTTCTTCTTCTTCTTCCTTCCTAGCTAGGAAACACAATGCCGCTGCCGACTTTTTTTTTTTATATAAAAAAATTAATTAGTGCAAGTAATAAATATACAAGGAAAAATAACAAAGAATGATCAGAAACCATTCATTTTTAAAACTTTCAATGTAGGGTTTGAGTATTTAAGGTTATGATATAATTTAGATGATTACATCTTCTTTGTAGTTTTCCTTGTAATTTTTTTTATATATATCACTTACTCATAAAAATTTGAGATTTCCATACACTAAAAAACACCCCAATCTTTTCTTTCCAATTTAGCAATTGTTGGTGATTTTTTGGTGTGCTCTCCATTGAAACACACACATTAAAACCTAGAAAGAAATTATTTCTTTTGCAGCTCTTGGTGTGGAAGCTTTTTCGACTATACACTGGATCCGCCCGAGGAGGAAATGATTGAGATTAAAAATCGATCAATATCATCGCGCCTGTGCAGACTTGAGCAAGAAGAAAAAGAATGGGGATCCGAATCCGTATGAGAATAATGGTGTTGAACTGTTGAGGCTGATTCAGAATTCATAGTCATTTCCCGAGCTCGATCCATTTGTTCAAGGGTTATTTGGATCACGGGACAAAGGGGTATATGATTATTTTCATAGGACATTCCCACTTTTATTCACGGCGGTTGCAAGTAAGGTCAACAATGGCTGAATTCGACGAATATATGTATTAGATGGATCATTCATTGAACTGAAATTGTGTAGTACTGCCTTTAGTGAAAAGAACCAAATTTCATCACTAATGAAGTTGTGCTCTAAATTCTAGAATAGCAAAACTCCCAAGTCTAGAGTCTACATTGATGAATATGGAAGTGTTGATTTCAAAAGGTCCGTTGAAGCATTCCACCATTTTCAGGAATGATGTGAGTGAGTTGCTTAACTAGTGCGATGCGCGCGACCATTCCTTACATATCATAATTATCAACATATATTATAATTGCATAATGTAAACTTGAATTTGGTTCTCCTTTTGAAGTATTAATTATGGAGGTTTTTCCCCCCTCTTTTTCGACCAAGAAAATAAAAAGGCTTTATGTGTTACATTTGGTGTTTATTTAATTTTATGTTTTAACTTTTGATCTCCTTCCTTTAATTTTTTTTCTTTTATTTTTTTATTTAATTAGGGAAAAGTATCGATTTCATCCAAAGGTATTACTTTGTAGTCGAGTTAGTCTTTTGGATGAGAATACCCCTCAAACTAATTTAAATTAGGCGAAATAGTATAAAAGTTTTCAAAACTTAACCCTTATGGTATAGAAAAGATATTTAAATTTATTTATTAATTTTCATCTAATAGTCTCTTGATAAAAATCATTTTAATTTTTTTTTTAGTGTGAAATATGAACTCCAATTTTTTTTTTTTTTTTGTTTTTCCTCTATGTTATAGTTACATAAAAAACTATGTTACAAATTCTTTTTTATGACACCTTTTTTTCTATGTGTTATAAATATATACGAAATTATGTTACACCTTCATTTTTTTCAATAATTATTTATTTTTTCTTTTATGTTAATTAATAAATTGTATTTTTTTTATTTTTTCTCGATCTGTTTTCATAACTTTTTGGTGCATACCAAAAAAAAATCAAGAAAAACAATGGACAAGAAAATTTAAAAGTAAAATAATTTTTATAAATTTTTATACCATAAGGGGCATTTTTAAAAAATTTCTAAACTATTTGGCCTAATTTCATTTAGTTTGAGGGATTTTTTTGCCCAAGGGACTAAAACGACGACAAAAGTCATACCTTTGAATGAAATTGACAAGTAGAACAAACATTTGAACTAAATCGACAACCAGAGTAAACGTTCGAACTAAACCGATACTTCTCCCTTTAATTAGACTTTATGGGTTACATTTGGTGTTCCTTAATGTTCTGACTTTTGATCCCTTCAATTAATTTTTATTTTATTTTTAATTTAAATATTATAAACAAATTAAGGTTGATTGTTAGTTGAATTATTATTGGCCATGGTTTTAGTAATTTTGTAGCTTTAAATTTTAATGTATCTTTTCTTCTTCTCCTTTTTAAATTTTAAGATTTCAGTAATGAGAATTGGAAAGATTATTCCATAATTCAGATAAAATACTAAGAATTTTGTACTTTAAATTTGTCAATATATATAACTCTAAAAAATAAGAGTTTTATCACATCTATCTTTTTTTTTCTTTCATTTGTCTGTTTTCTGCGCTCGATGACCTTTTCATCCCAAGTTCATTAAAGGTAATCACCAACTCAATTATTTTTACTCGTTTTTTTATGAAACTTCTAGTTTCGATTTCTTTTTCCTTTCCTTTTTTTTTTTTTTTTGAAGGGAGGGTGGAGGGAGTGGGAAAGGCATTGTTATGGAAAAAATTGATTGTATTCTATTATTCACTTTGTGTATGTGTGTGTGTTTTTTTTTTCAAGAGTTAAAAATACTATTTGTATTTATACTAAATTATGTTGAATATTTTTTACTATATAATAGTATGACTTACGTATGCAGGAAGCGTGTTCATTCCATCTAGTATGAAAATATAAATATAATGTGTAGAAACAACAAATAGATTATAATTTTCCTCTTCACAAAATAAGAGATTAGCCCTAATAGTTCTTAATAATTTGTTGTGTAAGGACTTGAGAACTTCTGCATCAATTTGAATTTGATTCTGCTGAATGCTGATGACTGAGTTTTTACCACTTCTGTTGAAGTTTTCTTACCTTCAACAAATGGATTTTTTTTTAGGTGAAATATTTTCTTCAAACATGGACACTTGCTCCCGGATACATGGCTTCTTTTTTCCGTTAGTTCTTTCCGGGATTCTTTTTCTTTGTTAGTTCTTTCGGCTTCTCACTTTCAATTCTTTTCGTTCTTTCCTTTTTTTCTTTTTTTCCACAATGGTGGATCTACGGATTGTGGCTATTAAAAGTTCATTGCTTTCTTGTTGCGGAACTTGTTTTGGAACTAAATTGATGGTTTCAACAGTAGAAAAAGAAAGATATGCAGCTCTTGTTCCCCCCGTTTATCCACAAAACTAAAGTTGACACTTCTTCCTGAGGATGGGGTGATCATTTGTTCAATTTACTCTACCGTATAATGTAACAATCCGATGAAATCGTCAAAAACGCTTCGGAACTGCCTAATGGATTCTGATTCAGCTACATATCCAAAGGTTCACAAGTGAACTAAAATAAGAGGGAAAACGAAAACCACTAAAACGAGAAAAGAAGGAATCAAAATATTGATTCCACAACCCCAACACACTTCTCATAGGCAAGTTAACTTTCAGCGCAGTGACTATTATTTCTGTTGTATGCAAAAGATGCAGCCAGCTGCTCATCTTCTTGTTCGCATCAGTTGTAAGCAATCACCAACAGGGGTGCATCTAACAACCATCATTTTCTGTACTCCCAAACCTAACGGTAAAGCTCAGTCCAAGCATCAAACTGATCCAAGATTTCCTTGTGCACTCAACCCTACAGCTACATAGTGACTGTAACATCTTTTCCTGAGGTTCAACTACAAAGATCCACTCCACAAAATTGGATCATTTGAACTCAACATAACTAACCTTAATAAACAAGAAAAGCTTAAAGGGGTGAGGGGATGTAACACCTTCAGAACTTTGAGAATGTCTTGTCAAACCAATCAGATAGTCTGTTCAACTTAGATGAGAGCTCCTTATTCTTGCCAAAGTAAGACCGAGCATTCGCTATCATCACCCTCACATCATGCTTCAAAGCATCCAACTTCCTGTAGTAATTCTTGTCTAACCTTAACTTGATTACTTCAGGTGACAACGGAACTGGAAATCTGTGATAAAGTTCAAACAGAAATGAAAAAAACTTTATAGTGTCCACAGAATTTCCTTCTATCTATCCAGATTCATAAACAAAAAATATAGAATTAGCCATCATAAAAGTTCCAGAGATGAGAAATTATCTAAATTGAGATTGGCATACACAGTTTCTAATTACATGAGCCACAAGTTAAATACTAAACTGGATAAGTTTGAGGAAGGAAGAGTCAAGCTGACAAATCAAATGAGCCGACTGGCAATATGCGACATACAATCTAACCCAGAAAATAACACATTTATAGCAATGTAAATGAACATCAAAATGATTTCATACCAACACACAAATTTCCAACCCTAACCCAGCAAACACAAAACAAAACCACCGCCACCCCTAGTTACATGTCACGAGTAAAATAGGTCACCAATATGATGGCCAAAACGGATAAATAAAGATAAGTGCCACCTAACAGGCTAACACAAAATAAATAATCTTACTGATGTTAGTATAAGAGGCATATTTTGAGCACCAATAATAATAATAATATTGAAGATGATGAATGATGAGAAGTAATACTTGTTAGCGAAGTCTTCCTTCTGAGAAACTTCTTCCAACTTGAGGATCCCATAAAGGTCCTGAAACAAATAAGACAGCCATAAAGAACTCATACATTTGACCACTTCTATTGAGTGGTTCCTTAGCTAAGAGCCATCAAACAAAAACTATCTTTGTAACAAAAAAAAAAAAAATTCAATCTAAATGCCCAGGGAAGAGGGGTCTAGAAGAAGAGGGTATGGAAGGACACCTGGTTTCTTCCAGCTGAATCAAGCAACTTAGTGAAAGAAGTCAGCAGCTTGAATCTCACATCAGGATGAATACAAGGATGATCCCATTTATTAGCCCGGTCATGCAATTCCCAGGGACTATGAAGATGTGAACTTTCCAAATCACTATCGTACCTTATAGTGTATCTCTCCCAAGGACTACCAGGGAAGTCACTAGATTTGTCCTTCACCAAAACTATTTCACCTTCCCACCAACCACCGCCCGCCTCATTTGCATCTCTCCACCAAACTGAACATTTATCTTCGCAAGCCCAGTTTCTGTTTATGGAAGCCTTGTACCATGTTCTTTCAACAATAAAATCAGGAAAGTCCAATTCAGGCAAAGTGAATTTAAATATCTGTCCATACAATTCTGATGAGTCGTCCAGGAATCTTAATGTGATTTTACAACCACTCTCCCCAGAGCCCGGAACAGCCGAATATTCCAGGTCATCAACCAGACAAGCTTCGGCAGCTCTCATATTTCGATATCTTGTCCAAGGAGCCGATTGAAGCATTTGGCTGGATTCCATGTACTCTTGATGGCCCTTGAAGTAAGAGAAAATAACAGAACCATCTGAATTAAAAATTAAATTCCAACAAAATGATAAGCCAAACAAAAGGCTCATCAATTCGACAAGGGATGCTTGAAATCCATGGGAAAAAAAACAACGAACTTATAAGATAACAAGTTTGTATACGTGAACAAGAAGTACCTGTCTCAGATACATCACTTCATCACCAAGCTGAGGTATGTAACGAAATCCTTCTTCCTGCTCTGTCAATAGCAACCAATTTGACTTGCGTAGTCCAACAAGTGAATTCCTCCCAGATAGTGGACTTCTGTCTTCATTGTAGTAACCTTCTCCTTTGTACTTAGATGACCTAAGCGTGATGGTTGGTTTTGACATCTGCATCCCTCTTGACGGAAAATTATTGAGTGCTCTTCTCGATCGTGTGTCAGTCGCTAGAGAACCCAACAGGGTATATCCATTGTTGATGTTATACTTTTGATTCATAACATCAGGTTCCCTTGTGGTCGCCTTCAACCTCAAGGATCTTTTCCTACGTGTTGCATCCGTGGCGACATCAGGTAATTCACCAGAAACATCTTGATTAGCGGTACTGTAAGTAAATGAATCTGCAGAAGATTCACTTTCACTTTCATCACCGTCTGTCATGCTCTGACCTGGACTTAGTTTCCTGGGAGGGGGCAATTGTGGCAAGATTCTTGACTTGATTTTTAGTATAGTCGGCCTTGGTTTTTTAATGTCATTTAGGCCAACAACATTGTTTTCTCTGACAATATTTTGATTATTGTGAAGAAGCCCAGAATCACAACCTATTCCCCCCAATTTTGAAGACATTTGAGCATCCTCTGCTCCACTAACTCCAGACACTTGCTTGCCCTTATTACCCTCACCTGACAACTTAGGTGTTCCAGTGTCCAAATCAGCATCTAGATTCGTGCATTCATTCTCAACTGTTGCATAACCCGACCCTATATGATCTGATGCTACTAAATCCATTTGACGAAATGATGATGTAGCAACCTGGTTGTTGCACCCTTCCCTGACATCTTTGCCAAGTGAAGACTTCAAGTTAGGCAGGCTAAACTTCAAAATCAACTTCTTGTTTCCGACATTTTGTGGAGATTCTCTTTGCTCGGCGGGGCCTTTAACAGCATTATCAGACCAATTGGAAGATAATCCTTGTTCTCCGGATAAAGATTTCATCTTCTGCTTTTCCTTCCGAAGATGGTGAACAACTCGATTAGTCTTCACATTTGCACCATCCAATGAAGAATTGGTTCCAGACGAATAATCATCTTTGAATTCTAGGCTCTCTTCCACCTCTTCTTCATCTAAATTGAATTCTGAAGCATATGAAGAACCATTAACTGCATTCTGCACAGCTAATCGCTGGGGTCTCGTAGGTTTCACCACTTCGGTCGATTTCTTCTTCAAAGAATGTTTTCTCCCATTTCGTTGCTTCTTCTTTCTTTTACTCCTAGAGGAAGGGCCCTCAGCCTCAGGGTTTATCTTCTTCTTCACACATCTTCCAGAAGCAGTCGACGAGTCAACCTGCAAAGCAAGCAACAAATATTAGTAGCCCAGAAGAAAAGGACAAAACAGCAACAACAACAGAAACAAAGACTTTATTCGACTATGTGGATCCGCTATATGTTCTCGTGCTGTGTCTCACATTATTAACCCAATAAAAAATAATGTCTCCTGATTTTCAAAATATAAAGCTTACATCTGCCAATGATTTTTTCCGTTTTGACCTGCGAAGCCTGTCTTTCTGACTTCGCCCAACTTTGATTCCTTCACTGCATTCTGGATCACTGGATGAGTCGCCATCACTTGAATGCTCCTGCCCCTCTTCGCTGGAGCATTCATCTGTGACCAAGTATTCCGAGTCTGTCTCATCGTGTATGGCATCATTTTCCGGTTCCCAATACATTGCATCAAAAAGTTCAGGCGGAGGGTCAACCACCAAGTCCAAGTCAGCCACCGGTAAAACTTGGTACTCCTGGTTCAAACCAATATCAGGACCCACAGCCAGCTTGATAGATGATGGGCGCCATTCAATATTCAGTGCACCTAACCGGCGACGCTGGTACATACTCTGGTAAGGTTCTGGATACGGTATCATGCCTAATATTCCATATTGAAAAATGTCATGCCAAAGGAAATTAGAAAAAATAATAAATCCAACAAAGAAATCAAACGATAATCATAGCATACTTGAATCACAAAGAGGGTCCTGGATATTCCTCTGATATGGAACAAGTTGTGTCTCCTGCATACAATAAAACTTAATATTGCTCTAAAATAAACTAACATAAGATCATGTAACCAATTCAAGTCAGCAGTAAATTCCCCTAAAATTAGTTTTACGCTACAATTTTAGGATGATATAACAACCTGATCAAGGGCATTGCCATGAGTATCCCGGACAAGAGGGCGGTAATCTCCAAGGAAAAACTGTTGGAGCAAAGCAAAAGGTGAGAAACATAGTAGACCTGTTTGAAACAAATCAGGACAACAACCAAATATTTAAGACCATCTACATACCTGGTCATATTTTGCATCTTTCTGGGACTCGCCTTGGCCAGTGTTTAGAAAATATATCTGCCCGACATCATCGGACAGTACAATACATGTCCCATCTCTAAGCATAAAGAAGAAACACAATAACCATGGAGAAACGTGTTCTAAAATCTTGATATAAACTGAACAGAAGAACTATTCAAGTAAGGTTGCCAAAATAGCTTACTGTGAAAACTTTCCATCAACCAATTTGAAACGTCCAATTTCATATGTCCATATAGGGATGCCCTCCCATATCTGGAAAGAGAAGTAGGGAAAGTTACAAATGAACAAGAACACTAACTATTAGTATGAGATGTGAATCGAAATAGAAAGTCAAACTTACATCCCACACAATAGTCTTGCCATCATACCCAGCACTCATAGCGATTCTGGGGTTGAAAGGATGAACATCCAGAACATAAGTAGATGCTGTATGACCAGTTAAGGAATGCACCAAGCTTCCATCAGTAGCATTCCAAACACATATTCTGTTGTCCATAATAGCAGCAAGCACAAAACGATTATCCAGGCTCCAGACTATCATGTTTACGCCACGAGGTGTTGGAAGAAATCTCTGACGTGGCCCTCCTCGAGGAGGTTGAGGGGGCATTGGCGGAGGAGGAACTTTAAGATGGTATGCACGAACCCAACGTCCCAGTTTACCCTGAATTCTGCGTGATTTAGGAGTCCAAATGATAGCACTACCATCACGCGAACAAGTAACTATATTGTCCTGACTAAACCAGGAGTTCTTGAACTTAGGAACCCCCTCCTCTGTATAAAATTCAGATGTTGAAGATCTGGGAGCCACAGCACAGCCACTAAATTGAACGTAATTAACATCATTCTCATGACCAGACAGTAGGTCAATCTCATGACTTGGTTGTTCTGGATCATCTGAAGTGGATTTGAATGCACTCCATACCCGAGCATGAGTATCTGAACTCCCAGTGACGAAGATGGTTCCATTTGCATTGTATGCACAGCATAAAATTTGATGACTTGGGGGACTATTACTCGAAGAAGCTGCGTTAGATAGAGTAAGGTTGCTAGTCTTCCCAGAAATGAATTCTATAGGCCTTGGCAAGTAGATACGAGGACTACAATTTGAATTTCTTGCATCCCATATCCTACACGTTCCATCATCAGATGACGATAAAAGCTGATAGACACAGCTAGGTCTGGGACTAAATGCAATGGCAGTGACAGCTCCAGTATGTCCCCGTAGAACAGACGTTGGGAATCCATCGGGCAACCTCCAAACACGAATACTGTAGTCATTGGAAGCAGAAGCCACCAAAACATTATTTGAGCTAACAGCTAGGTCAGTGATGTCGCCTTCGTGGCCTCGACAACTGGCTAGACAAAAGGCAGTTTCCACGGACCAAATTTTAACTAGACGATCATCTGATCCGGTTATCACATATCTACCAGAGCGGTCAAAAATTGCACAATATACGGCATCTCTGTGACCCCTTAGTTTCTTCACATTTTGCATCTTTTGCACCATCATTGATGGCTTAGCAACAGCATAACAAGCAAAACGAATGGACGGCGCTCGATGGTGTTTTGAAAAACCACCTCCTATTTCCCTTAAACCAAGTCCACGAACCTGACCTGACTGCATGTGAGGCCAACGGAGGTAAGATGGTACTTGCCTAGATTGCTTATATAAGCTAGTTCTATCACAGCTCAAAAGAGAAAACTGCCCAGTTCCAAGCAGTGTTGGAACATCAGCAGCCGTCAAAGCAGTTCTTCCAGCAATAGATTGCAGTGGAGGTGATGTGCTCAACATCAGTTGTCTCAGCAGCTTTACAAGGTGATCATGGTCAATATGAGGAAACCTAATTGTCATTAAATGTTCAAAAATCATAAAACAAAGAAGTCAAAGAAGCTTGAACAATAATAACATCTCACTATTAGCTACAAATGTAGGAAAAATAGAACAACTTTGTAATCGCATTCCCATAGCACCAATAATCATCAATATCAGATCTAACCATCTGCAATGTATATTTCTCCACTAAAGTTTTCACACTCATATACACATTTTAGTACTCCCTATATATCAAAATAAGAATTATGTTTGTTGTACTACTTTAGCACAACAAACAGGCCTCTTATTAGGTAATGAAGGGAGTATTGAGTTTTTGGAAACAAGATTAATTACAAACTAATGAAGGGAGTATTGCGTGTTCGGAAATGAGATTAATTGCGAACTCTTATTCTGACGTATTAATAATCTCTTGGAAAAGGCTAGTTTCAAGCAACATAAAAATAAAAACAAAAAGTAAGATAGAAACAGTGCTAAATTAGAAAACAGCAATAAATAAACAACACGGAATTACCTCTTCATTAGATTGTCATAACTTAAAGGGAAAGATATGCCATCATCACTTTTAAAACCACTTTCTCCGCCAGTTCTAGAATACCAAGCATGAAATCTCCTTGGTAGAAGTTCATGCTCTAGAAGTTCATCTAAGATTTGCCTGAAAGTCTTTTGGCATGGCCCAGTTGATAAGAAATGCATAATCAAAAAATAAACTTCTCTGATATCAACATCCACATCTACAGCGGCAAAACGGTCACGATCAGCTTCCTCATGCTCCTCTATTCTAGAGGCAGCATGGACGTTCTTACCATAAATCAGAGGGGCCATACTTGTTGAAGGTGCATCAATTGAAGATATGCACTTCTTATACTCCATATACTCAAACCTGAAGCATGAAAATCACGCATCCAATAAGAATATTCCTTCTTCCGAGAGATAAAACACGCATAGAATGCATCGAAAAAATGAATACAAAAGCCCGTTACATGTTTCAAAATGATGAAATTACCCATTGCAACGTGGTACACATGCTAACCTCGCAGTACACGCCACTAAATTTTGGACAGAGATGGAAATTGTGCAAAACATGTTTTTTCAGCTTCTGCTTCACACCATCTGTGCAAAACATGCAGACAGGACCCTTATTTCCCGACTTAACTTGTTCAAAAACATGGCAGTTTCTTTTATTTTTATCTTGTCTTTTGGTTTGTTTAGTCTCATGACTCTTACTGTTCAGAAAAAATAACTAATTTAGAAAAACAATTAATTCCCAAGGGAATTATCCAAAACTTTCAATGTTTAGAGAAATTTATTAAGAACAAAACCTACTGAAATGAGACAAATGCAACAAATATATATGATGAAGAGCCACTACAAGCCTAACTAACTGAAGATATTAGGTTCATAGGGAAATAAAGGGGCTAAATCCATATTTCTATTTTGCAACTGGTTTGCTGCCCAGACAAAGATAAAATGGATTTACTCAAAATTGTCCCAATAATGTAGTGTCATATGGAAATGCACCACTTGAATCACAACACAACGGTCCCCCAATAAAATTAGAAGGCCAAGTTTTTTTCATCAGTTTTGCCATTGAAATAGTAAGGAAAGAGCCACATGATCTGAGATCACGGGGTTGAGTAGTGGAAATGGCCTCTCATAAACATTTAAGGTTAAGTAACATGCATTACGCCTCAATGGCACAACTATGACCCAGACCACCCACTATGCAGCAGCCTGCCCCTTCTGCTGCATGATAGAAGAGAAGGCAGTCAAGTGCATGAAACCTCCCGCCACAGGATCGGGGGGGAAGGTCAGGTCACTAAGATAATACAGCAGTCAGGTGCACAAATCTCCCCCATCTACAGGAATCAAGAAAGGCCGGTTAGTTGAAGCCCCTAGTTAAATGTAGTCTTAGTTCCTTCATCACGAGGCCGTTTTAAAGAAAAACCGATCTTAAGTCATTAGGCAACAGCACTTCCACAGTCACCGAACACAAAAACACAAATGGCTGTACTAAACACTTAGTCCCTATAATGTACATCTGCTCCATTCTTAATGCAGCAAACCTAGTAGATAACAGTGAGAGTCATGGCTCCTCTACTTAGTTGCTTAATTCTTTACCCCATAGCTGTTTCAGACTGTAACAATGCTGGTACAGTTCTCTCCCGCAATACAGAGACAGTGAAAATGGAAATGCAAAATGGCACAACAGTCATCTATTACACTATGAAACCAATCAATGGTAACTCAAAAGTCACAGCTCCCAGGATTTCTTGCCCATTTCGGCAATCTAGAACACTTTTGCCCATTCAAGCTTCACCATGCACTAAATAATTTCTGCTACCATGTAATACCAAATGAAACGCAAGGAAGACACAACTTAGCAGTCATCAGACATAAATACAACAAAAAAATGCGGCCACAAAAAAAAAAAAGACAAAAAAAAGGTGAAAATAATGAAAAAGCCCCATAGATACTAAATTAAGCTACTGCAAAGATGGCAAAATAGGGGGAAAACGGATGAAATGCAGAATAATTCACCCAAAACAAAAACAATACACTAGGCTCAACAATCGAGTAAAATCAACTAATGAAAACCGAATTCGAACTATAAATTTACAAAGAAATGAAAAAAAAAAGAAAAGAAAAAGGAAACTGTGCAGTAATTGATATCGCTCACCTCAGAAAGGGATCATCAGGTTGTCGGAAACAAAGAGAATTTTTCTGTCCTGAGACGAAAATCTAGCGCCCGCCGGATATTAATTACAGTGTCTAATTACAAATTTGGAAAAATAATTTGCTGTTATACAATTTTCTACCTTATATATATTTCAATTTTCTGGGATTAAAAAGGTATCGACCCGCACTCACACCTTCGTTGTGTTCTTAGTTCTAACGAGGTTTTCAGCTTTGAGATATTTACGTTGTTCCTCACCAATTTTTGGAATAATTCACTTTCTTCCCCTCGATTATCCAGAATGACACAAAGATCCCTTCCATTTAAAAGCCTTTTGCTTAAAATATCTACTCGCACACAATTATGGAAAATATTTTTGCGCTTTAATTTGAAATTTTATGATATTCGCCTAGTGAATTGTTGTGTCACAAACAAATACAGCAAATATATAGGTGGATTCCTAATTTGTAAGATCATGAATCATATTAGCTACGTAGTGCATTAAGCTCCCGTATGTACAATGGCATCGTAAAGAAATACTGAATTAAAGTATAATTTTATTAATAATTAATGCCTAAAATGCAAAGCCTCTATCCAATTTTCAGAACAATTACACGTTTTCAGAAATTCAAATCTTTATATGGCACTCGCATAAAATATTGTCACGTCCTAAAATAAATGGAGTATTAATATCTGCGCAAAATTGTTTCTTTTTGCCTTGTCGATCAAATTCGTGCCAAATATCGTCTTAGGTCACCAAATTTCAAATCTCCACACTAAGGCTTCTATCCCATTGGCAAAATGGATTTATGCATTAGTTTCCATATTTACTCATGTGAGTTCACTTGACATCTTTACTCACAAGTTACTCATTCATTAAAATTTGAAATAATGAAATTTTCATGAACAGCTAAGGATATTGTTACTTTGGAACGAAGGAGAAAAAAACTTAGCAGCGCCGTCATTAAAGGCTCATAAAGAGTGATCAGCAGGTCATACAGAGACTCAATAAGATTCGGCCAAACTACGAATAAAAATGATCATGTCATTCGTCAGGAAACATAACAAGTTAGAACAATGCCAACTCAAATTCTTTATAGTACACATATAGACAGCTAATTTATAAGCTCCGCGTTCTTCACTTCTAATGTTCAACCCAACCACCACAACCTGCGTTACTGCAATTCTCGGGGAGTTGATGGGGGTAAGCCCGTTACATTTGATGAAATAACCAGATCAGCATTTTTGGCATCAATGAGGCATCAGGCATCAATGAATCGGATGTCAAATGTGTTCGGATGGATCTGCCACACGTTCAGGGCTGCATATTCTTCAAGACATTCTTTCAGTTGGGCTTCACTGTATCCCTGTTGTAACAATAAACAAAGAGGTTTGCATTTATCAGGAAAAGAGGATGGCGTACCAGGGAAAAAAATCATACGTCATGAAACTGATAAGTTTACTTGCACTGCTTTCTAGGTGCAAGATTGATCAAGAAATGCTAGGGGTACATTTTCATAGTAGAAAATACTACTATCTACTTACCCCTCAAAACAAATATAGCATGTTTCTTTCAGAAATTTTAACTGACAAGTCAGTTCATGAACTAACCTTTCGCGAAATCCAGTTAAGGGCATGAGCATAGCTTATGTCCATCCTGTTTGTCCTTGCAGCTTCATCTCGTAAGATGGAATAAATGTCAGAGATTGCATCCAGACCCGATTTTTGGCGATCATCTGAATACAAAGAAAACTTCGACATTTGCATTAATCTGAGGGCTTCATCCACATCACTCTGCGCAACAGTATCTGAGAAACGCAGTCTAGCTAGCGCCTGAGTTTAAGAAGAAACCACAAACATTAGAAAGCTACAAGAACAAAATAACAGAACAGATTCGCATTGAACAAGTGTAGTACAAGAATTTGAATTAGTCCAGGTCCATAATACTTACAGCTGATATTCTAAGGATACTGAGCAGTGTCCTAACAGTGGTATAAGAGTGGGGGGTATTTGATTTTGCCTCCTCTTGCCTTATGCTGGAATATGCGGTAGCTATGTACTCCTCCAACTCCCTGGGAACACTAGGAGATAGCCTTCTTGCAGCAGAAATATAGGCCCTAAAACAATTATCAAAAGTTACATGGTCAGGAATTTGAATGTTTTACTGTGCAAGATGAAATGGTTGAGTTTACAAGACTTGAGCCAAAATATCGAATTAGAAAGCGCAACTCTGAGCGTGAGCTTACCTCAGTACAGATGGTTCGAGGGGAGTAAACCCGAGAGCAGGAGATTCTTTGTTCTGGTGGACATAGACAACATGTCTAGCCAATTCAAGATCAGTATCCATATCAGCTTTATCTAAGATTAACCACAGAAGATCAAATCTTGATAAGAGAGCAGGAGGAAGATTGATATTTTCGGCCGGTGTTCTTCGCAGATCATATCTTCCCCTAAGAAAACAGTACATAATGAATAGAGATAAGGGACCAAAAAAACAACAAAATGATCTGCTATATGAAACATTAAATAAGAAATTAAATATCAAGCAGAAGGTCATTGACTTGTAAAAGTGTGTCTATGGTTTAAAACATAAAAGACAAATTTTTAAGATGCAGAGATTTGTACCAGGCAGGATTAGCAGCGGCGAGGACTGCAGTCCTGGCATTTAGAGATGTAGTGATCCCTGCCTTTGCAATGCTGACAGTCTGCTGCTCCATCACTTCGTGTATTGCTGTTCTATCAGATTCATCCATCTTGTCAAATTCGTCGATTGCGCATATACCCATGTCAGCTAAAACCTGTGGAAGTAACAAGTAATGACACCTTCAATGAGCTAGACAATCTGATAGGCAGGGCATTATCAAACTGGCATGCGTGGTTTGCATTTCCCAGATACTCATCCTCTAATTAACTTAACACTCACAGTGAATGAAAGTATAAAGTGAAGGTCACAACATTTTCTTACCAAGGCTCCGCCTTCTAGAACCATCTCATTAGTCACCGGGTCCTTTTGAACGGCTGCAGTTAGACCAACTCCACTGCTTCCTTTACCTGTCGTGTATACACCCCTTGGTGCAACATTGATTATATGCTTCAGAAGTTGACTTTTTGCAACTCCAGGATCACCCATCAAACAAATATGTAGGTCTCCTCGAATCTACATTTCATTGAAATAAATAAATAGACAGGTAAAGTCAAGATCAGGAAAGAAGATCCAATGTAAAAGCTCAGGAGTGTTAACGAGTAATTTACGAGTTTTAATTGAGGCATTATTATACATCAATCATCATTAAATTGTGGATTCAAAGTCATTATGCAGCTAATTTAGCATACATGGGGGCTGTTGCATTTACCTTCATGCCATCCTTTAACTTCCTATGAGGAGCACCAACCAGAAGAAGAAGAAGGGCTTTCTTGATATCCTCATGTCCAAAAATTTCAGGGGCTAAAGACCGTGCCAACTTGTTATAAATATCACCATCCTCAGCTAACCGTGAAATTTGTTCTTCCTCATCCCCTCGAAGTTCATACCTGAATATGGAAATGAAAAGGTGAATCAAGTTTTCTGCTTACCAAAAAACATCATTATCCCTGATCAGAGAACATCAAGGTAATGCATATGAAGAAAGCCCTTACTCTTCGTATTTTTTCTTAAAATGGGTGACACACATGGCTTCCAAATAAGTATCTGCAATTAAACCAGCCCGCATTGCTCTGAATCCAGTGTAAGGGATGGGAAGAAAGATTCCTGATAATTCTACTACATCACCAGGAGATACCTAGAATGTTGAGAGAAGAGGAGGACAAAACAAAGAAAAGATACTCATAGTTAATAAGAGCTGGCATAATAGTGGTGCCTATATCTAAACACCAAGTATTGTCCTCTTTTTTAACAAAGTCTTGTCTGATATTGGGTTATTGCCCTTTTGCTTACAAAGTATAAAAACCACTAAATAAACATTTCATATCTGAAAAATAACTCAGCATAAAGAAAACAGGAGATAAAAACATAGCAAATTCAAATGATAACCTTTCCTAATGAATGGGGTTTAACATTACTAAGGATTTCAGTAGCAGATGCAAATTCATGAATTCCTGAACGAATAAAGTCAAAAAAATATTGGTACCAGTGCAAATTGATGAAGGACAGAATACATTTGGAATAGTAATCCTTCCGGAAATATATATTTTCAAGCATTGATCCATCACAAACCTTTCTTGTAAGCTCTCCCCTAAATTGAACTGTCATTGTTCGAGGAATATGACCTTTGGGAACATGCTCAGCTAATTCTTGAATTTTAGCCTGAAATATAGAAGAGAAGAAATTAATTCATTACCATTTATGAGGTTTCAGTAGCAAAAAATCCATAATGAACAAACCTCTTGGTACTTCAAAAATTTTGATGCTCTGAGTTGGAGGATTAGGTTGCCTTTCACTTTATTTATCTGGCAGCGTCGTGACGGGCACTCGAATAAAGGCATAAATACTCTAGATGTTACCTCCTGGAATAACATGGAGGGCAATTAGAGATACATAATAATGAACAAAACTTCATACAAAAGGAGCGTTTTCACAATTACTAGGCCATGGCGAGGGAAATACTGCAGTATTCCGTAAATTAAAGACAATCTCAAATGCCATAAAATATTTAGGACTTCATCTCACAATGTGGCGTTGAACAGGCCATTCATATCCAACTGGTACATATGTCCCCATTTAGGTTTAATTATGTCTTTTTGATTAGTTTCTTTAGATTTCTTTGTTATATTTCCCTTTTCCTTTTAATTGAGACAATGATTCTATATTCTTTACACCACGTCACTTGAAGCTTTTGTGTTTTTTACTATCTCAAATGCAATAAACTCAAAAGGAAGGAAAAGTTAAAGCAGGGGATGCAAGCATGACTACAGGAAATACTAAGAGATAAGACAAGAAAACAGCCGCAAGAAACCTGGTAAATTTCAAATCCACATTCTTCACATGTATACACAGCTACTTGCATCAATGGCTTGACATCTGAACATCGCGTCACAATACCAGATATCCTCACAAGCTGGCCAATATATGAAGCCTTGACTTCCCTAATTGTGAAAGGCCGTCCTTTTGGAGATGCTCTGATATAAACCTCACTGTTTGCACAAGACAAGCAAAATCAAAAGGCTAGTATATTTCTTTCCCAACAACAAAGAATAAACAAACAATAACTATAGCACAGTTTCTTTAACAATGAAACTAACTGAGAATGCATTTATCGTTCACAATTTAACAAAGAACTAGATTAAATTTAGCACAGATTTCAAACTAAACTTTTAAACAAACTAGAACAACTATTTAGCCATTACGCCACTATGTTTTGTTGGGTATATGGATCCTGTGTTGCCATAGAGCTTTACCAGAACACAAATTTTCATTTAAAATAAATCCATCAACCCATATCTCTTTAACTGCAAAACTCTACACAATCATCTAGAGCAAATTTCCAGCAGACCTCGTTTTGCAAAATCTTTAAACTACATTCACTAGTATAGAATGGAACACGCAAAAGAAAACAACAAAAAGAGCTAAAAGCTCACAAGAAACGTTTGATTTCGGGTGGCATTTTCTGCTTGGGGTCGGAACCATCAGGGTTATCAGTTGGCTCCTCAGCCCGCTGCGTCATAAGAATATCTTGATCTTCGTCCGGGAATTGCTCTGTAGCCTCCGGCATCAGCTCATCAATTGCAGTAGCGAATATTTGAATATACCGCCGTGTATTCTCAGTAACCCTCCTCAAAAATTCCTCCTCCAAATCCTTATACTAATTATATACAAAGGTGCAAATAAAATTGTCAATAAAATGAAGATTAGATTAAAAAAAAAAAAAGTAAAAGACAAAAGGAAAGCGAGCAAACGGAATTTAATTCTTACATTAGCTAGATCTTCAAGCTCGATATGAATAGCCTTGAATTTATGGTTCGCAACATCTTGCTGAGAGTAAAACGAAAGTTAAGGGTTAGGGTCAATTCACTTGAGAATCACATGAAGTTCAATTCAGTCTCAATTCATATGGAATTACTAACAAGAATGTTCATGTATTTCGCCTCTCCGTCGAGATCCGCGAAGTTAGAAAGAAAATCCTTCGCTATTTCTGCAACCAAAAAAGAAGAAGAAGAAAAGTTCAGTTAGCTTCACTTCACACAACAGTCGCCGGTCGCTCAATGAACAGGAGAGAGGGAGAGAGAGAGAGAGCAGAGCTAGCCTGTGTCGCGGTTGAAATCAAGGCTCTCCATTTTTGCCGTATCCTTCGTCGGAAATGCCGATGATAGAGAAAGGGATTTGTGTGAGAGATAGGGAAATGGGGGGTCGGGAGCGGGAAGAGAAAGGGCAGATTGGCGGTAAAATGGATGAAGGGTCACAGATTTGGCGGGAAAAGTGAAGGTTACTGGGCTTCCATGTTTGGGTGTTCTACTATTTTGTGGGCTGAAAGTTATTGGGCTGGCCAACTCATTGTTTCCTATTTAAATTTCCATTTCTTTTTATCTTCCTTTTCTTTTGTACTATAAAATCTTCTACAATTTGAACTAAAAGAAGTTCATCTTTAGGAGTTTCATTTATTTATTCTCGGAACACCATATATTACATAGAACAGATGAGTTGTGAATCAGGTTCATGTGAAAAGGATTTGATCTCAAATACCCCTTCCGTCCCAAAATTATAGTCCAGTTTATGTTTTCATTTTTAGTACAATTTGAACTAAATTGAAAATCAATACAATTTGAACTAAAACTGAAAATCTTAACTGGACAATAATTTGAGAGTATTATTTTAACACAACAAACAGGATCATTGTTTTGAAAGAGGAAAGAGTATTAAACTTGGTTGTTTGGACCCCCAGAAGACCTTTGCTTAAAGAGACCAGTCCAGAAAACAATATTTCTGCTACATGTAAAGAATGTTCTAATAAATGTAGATTCATCTCCCGTATATTCACTAGTAAAGAATACGTCAACTCTTTGATCCTCAGCTATGATACAATTCAGTATGATGGAGTTCATTAGAATCCCTGTGCATGAAAAGTGAAGATACAACAGAATACAAGCAACAGAGCTCATCCCCAAGTCTAGCTAAAGAGTAAAGACCTCATGAGCCTGGAGGATGTTACTACTTTTGGTCACGTTTATGGAGTAGTACTACTCAGGCTCAACAACAACTGAGGACAGTTCTCCCGAATGAGGGATATATTCGTGCCTATGATGAATAGGATCGAGATCTGCTGCAATGAGCAAAATGGCTGTGATAATCACTATTGCATAGCCAAAAACATAATTACTAGCTGGTTTTATTCTGCTATGGAGTTGGACTCTGTTGTTCCAAAGTCTTTGCCAACTTTGCCTGTATAAGTTTGTCTAAGATAGGCTGATCCAAAGAAACAGGATCAAGACAACGTTCTGCTGCAGAAACTACCACCTGATACATCCAAAACAATATATAAAAATCCCACGCTGGTCAGTTAGGTTCATTATTAGGCTAAGCACGTCAACTACAGTTATTTTATCCCATCCAAGACTAGAAATCCAAGTTTATCTTACCTCATCAAGCAAGAAATCAGTAGCTGCCTCATCTTCAGAACCATCCTTAAGGGTAATTCTGAGGTATTCAATGTCCAGCTGAATCTGTTGAAAGCCTCTCCTGTTGAATGTTTGAAGACGAACAAACTCTTGCAAACTCTTTAAGCAAAGTTTCAAAATCATCGTGCGCACTGATTCCTGCAAGTCGACAGTATTATCGTTCATTGTGCTCCAAAACAAAATAGCGGGTACTTGTGGACAAGTATGGTAATGTAACCTGAGTGTGTTCAATCTTTGGCAAAATCTCCATTTTTTGTTTGAACAATTTTGCTAGATGCGTCTCCAGAAGCTGGCTCCTTGCCTTTTGAGTATTTGAGCGACCAATTCTCTCATCCCTTAAAGGATTGCTACGAGAAGAAGTGGTGCTCCCGTTGCTGTCCGTACGACGATGTTTACGGCTTAAATCTTGAGGCAGAATCTGCTTTACTTCGATTCTTATTGCTTCCAACTGAAACAAAATGAATGAAGAACATTATCCCAAAGGAGGCAGAAAGATCAATTATGCATAATATACTTTGTTTCTAAATAAGGATGCACATTTCCAGGGACCATAGATTCATCACAACATTGAAAACATGCTTTATTGAGCTCCTTTAAGTACATGCAAGCACAATAGGATTTTAACTGAGAGTAAGGAAAGGGAAGTGTTAATAAACTATGTCTATACCTCTTGCCGCAGAAGATCAACAAACATGTGAACCTCTCTTGGTTCCTTGTGCTACAACCAAAAGGAGAGAAGGTAAAAAAGGCAAGATTAGCCAAATTTAGAGTCCATTTCCAGAACCCTGCATGATGCTATAAAAAACAAGATGTGGAGAGAATCTACCTTCACCCAATTTGGGGTTGTAAATCTCTTCCGTAGCAGAACCGATATCTTCTGAGTTCTCATATTTACATACTGCAAAAACAAAGCGGAAAAAATGAGGCCTCACAGATTACTGTCAGGTACTGCATATTTATGAAACGCCATGTCCCGGAAAAAAAAAGGGGGAGGAAGAAATGTAATGCTGCCTCCATAATTTTAGGTAACAGATGATCACGAAAAATCAGCATTCTTCATCCCTATCTAATGCCATTGATTTGGTTACATAATGTGTCTATATATAACTCGAGATACTTCAATTGAAATTTGGTTAAATAAAGGGACACTAACGTGTTTTACTTAGAAAACAATTCTATGAGATTTTCAAACTACCAAAAGTGAATTGCATCACAAATCTAAATCCTCAGGCTAGTATTGATGCATCATGATTGTAACAAATTGTCAAGCAAAACATAGGCACATACAAGGCGCAAGAACTGTTCACTGGCTGAACGGAAGATCCGACAAATTTCTGCAGGGACAAAAGCAGGACCATATTCAAAACCCCGACCTCCACCACCAGAAAAAGATGAAGCTATTTCCTGAAAGATTAAAGAAGTATACATAATGTCCACAAGGCTACTAAACAACATAAATAAAACCGAAAGCATGTCAAAGAAGACCGCTGAGAAACCTAAAATATGACTAACCTCGGTAATTCTTGGAATAGCACTTTGCTCAATGAAAACTGAGAGCTCAGCAAGTAGAAGAACAATCCCAGGAAGGATTTTTTCACCTTGCATTCCCTCAGTCAAACTGAGTTCTTGACTACCTGCGCTCTTAGTCTTCCCAGAAAGAAAGAGGAAGCAGTCATTGAGTTTTTTGAAGAATTCTTGAAATCCTTCTTGTACCCAGTCTATAATCAAGTCTCTCAACTTCATCAGTAGTTCAAAGTCTTCAGCAAGAAGCTGTCCAAAATCCTGAAACACAAAAAGCACCGAGAAGTAATAAGACAAAGTATTGGGAGAAGATCTTTTTGAAGTTTGATAAGCTTTCATTAAAAAAAGATCAGAAAGAAAGTTCCCTTTATGTGGATGAGTAATTAAATCAAATCCTGAAGTTTACCAAGTAAAACAAAATAGTCTAACAAGTAACAACATATTCCACAATTAGTTATTGTTGTGCTTAGCTGAAAAAAAAAATTACAATTAGAGGTGAATGCGAACCTTTTTAAATATCTCAGTAAGTCGGGGGAGTTTAATTGATAACCAGGACTACTTGTTTTCTAACGATATGGCACCAGCAAGACAAGTCAACAGATATCTATCATTAGATATTTTTCCTGACAAAGATGCTAACAGCAAAGCTTTTTAACCCTGGGTTGAAGCTCCCCCTTTGCATAGGAAAGAAATTATTTGCACATAGGGAAAAGAAAAAAAAAAAAAAAGGCTTCCTTGCATCCTACCCAGCAGCAACCACTTCCCGTTTTTTAATTTCACCCTGACTTTCAATAAATGACGAAGACGAAATCCAAGGTATACAGACACATTTCGGCAGTGAATTAGTTACTTAAATTCATGGGTATAAGCACTTACCAATAAGACATCCACACTGCCTTGGGTTACAGCTTTTTTGCTTGTCTCAAGCACAGACTGCAGAGAATCCTCTTCTTCACCCTCTTTTTGTCTATTTTGGACTCTTGATAGGGGGTCTGCCAAATAAAGGTTTTCAGCATGGCGTCCATATTTAAGAAAGCATGCTGTAGCTAGTTTACCATATATCAAAGGATTGGCAACAGAGAACTTAGCTGAAGCAAGAAAGCATTAAATCAATAACATTTACTTCTGATTTTCTGAAGTGTATTCAGATCATTTCACCCACAATATGCTAAATTTTCAATATATATGAATATTTTCCTTTGTGATTTGATTCCTCTGTCAGAATTGTGAACATGGCCCCTCAAAATCGAAATCTCAAAAGGTACAATAAAACTGTATTAATCTACCACTGAATTAACCCTGTAAAGTCTTATTAAAAAGTCAAACAGATTTTAGTTCAGTATTTGATCAAAGAAGCCATACATTTTGCCAACTAATAAGTCCCTCTAAGAAGTACAACAGTTCGCAAAGATTAGAAAACTGACCTGCGATATCAATTAGAAGATGGTTAAATGAGCTAGCAACATATTCTTTGACAAGATTCCGAGCAGCCTGGAAGTGCCCAAGGTATAACAATGATTAACGATTCAACCATACTGCATACGACATAATGCTACAACCATTCAACCATTGCGAGGGAATTCATTAACGATACCTCCAAACAGAAATCGCATATTGAAGCTTCTGCTAACACGTCATCCATCAGCAATACATCGGACCATATAACCCCTGCACAAAGATAGAAAAAATAAGCATTACGTGTAATCTTAAAGAAGGGGCGATTTCAAATATCTAAATAAACGAATACCACAATGACCAAGCTCCCCCAACCCAAAAAAAAAAACATTGTGCATCAATTTATTGAAAAGAAGAGAATACGCATGTCTGCTATTGATTTCCAGCTTGATGAAATGCAGAAACACAAGATGTTACCATTTGTTTACCCCTCGTGAAAAAGAATAAAGAAAATATTAAGAGTCACAAAATTGAGAATTCAGAAAGCTATCAGATTATTAATTCAATAAGGAATTTCTAGGCAAGACAACGTACGAAGCATTGCAAAAAGATCTGCAGATTGAAGATGCTTCTTGATATGTTGATGAACAGCCTCAAAGTGCCTGAAATACATATAAAAGTTTACCTAACGAAACTTGAACGATGACTCTTCAAACTAAATGAGAAAATCATGTGTTTACAAACAATAACACTAATGTAAAGCAAGGAATACATTTTAACCAAGTCTTCTGCAAGACCAGAAAGCTGCTTCTCTGAATTAGGGAATATAACTCGATAAGCACGAACAGCCTCAGCAAATTCTCGAATGGAAGCCTGGAATGCGAACCACAATGAACAGCAGTTATTATTTGGGATACGAGGAAAGCAACAAATGAAATAACCAGTTTGTTTTTAACAAGCAACTTTTCTTTTAGTTGATTGTGCTGTTCCTTCCTCTATTCTTCTACTTCTTTTTACAATCAAAGGATAATCATTTAAGGAAATGATCAGATATTAATTAACAAAACTTTAGCCAGCACCAAATATCGATCGGAACCAGAATTGCATCCTAGCAGAGAGAAGCATCATCTGACAATGCTGAGGTCTCTAACGTGGTAGCATTTACACCAACTTTTACATACCTCGTGGGTAGCTGGAAAAGCTTGAACGTGGACACTCCCATGCTCATCAGGGCTAATTTCGGCTGAAACTGGGGTGATTTTGTCGGATTGAAGGCGGAGGTTCACAAGAAACTGTTCTAATTTCTCAAATAGTTTCAACTTCAAATTCTCAACCTGTCGAAGTTGGAGCAACGTATCAGCGTGCCATCCGAAGAGAATGCAGATAGAAGCACATTATATAAAGCTATCAAATAGTTTCTCTTCCATTTAAGATTGTATGAATTAACCCCCCAAAAAAAAAAAAAAAAAGAAGAGTGCCTGATTCTTTTCAGAGATGTTGAAAAGTTTATTCAGATGCAAAGGTCCACAAAATGACTGTGGAAACTTCCTTATTTAACCACAAATATGGAAGTTGCCCAAAAACTACCAGAAGAAGGATTCAGATCAATAGAATGCAAGAGTTTGCATGAGAATATCTTTTGAATTTATGAAAGGCCAAAAGAGCTAAAAATACCCCACATGATTAAGATATATGTAAAAGCACTGCTGCATTAATCCATAAATCCATTTAGAGGCCTGCACAACCTGTTCAACCTAATTTAATATAGGAAACGTAATCAAAGCACATGCATAAGCTTCATCAAGCAAAACAATGACAGCCGCACTCTGAGTGCTAAAATCCAAAATGGGACACATAATTGCAACTTCTCATCAGGTACGGTGAATCCAAAAAAAAAAAAAAAAAGAACTGCACAATTCCGAAAATGATACACAGACCGGGAAATCCAATTGCTTCAGAAGCATCACAGCCTCAGCCCTTGCTTGTATCGATTCTGAATCTGAGAAGACCTTTCCCTGAAAATTATTAAAATTGAAATTGTATTATCTCACTCTGATTGCCAATTCAACTGCCCTAAACACGAGCAGGCTGTCTACAAACCTAATTAGATCAAGCATCACATTCATAGAACTGCACAACTTGACAAGAGAAACAGGTATACTCCTTATATTGACCTCAATGCACATTATCAGTCATAAAAGTTACGCACGATAAGCTCCTTCTCCAATTTCAAAAGTTACATAAACCTGAATCCACTGAACAAATATCATCACTTGAACAATACTGTAACAACTTGCCATGCAATGTATGAGTAAGATGCGATACACCATCAAAAGCTTCTAAATTTAACTATGACCATTTCTTTGAGGTTCACCACGCAATTACATGTAGCAACCTCCAAATCCAAATGACATCACAGATTCACAGCAACAACTTGATTCAAATCAGATAGGAACATCTTCTTAAACAAATGTTATGCCTATGATTTATTTAAAATGCCTCAACAAAAAACAACCCATCCAGATTCACAGAAGCATTATCTTTCAGCATGCCAATGAAGATTGCATTCAAGTACACCTTAAAAGGAAAAAACTACAAATTATCGTCGTAACTAGCAATAGATTATAGTACCTGCAAGTTTTTGGTAATAACTGATATTGCTTGCTCTGATGCTCTCTTACAGTCCTGGAATGACGATTCACCATATGCCTATATACAAAGAGAATAAGATAGGAAAAGTGTGTGAATAGTTATTGGTCAAGGAAAAATTAACAAACACAAAAAAGGTAAACTCATACAACAAAAGAAATGCGAACAAAAAAAATAGTACGTGCCCTGAATATTGGCATGGCTCCAGTGTAGAATTTAACTGCATCAGCATAAGCTTCTGATTTGATACATTTCCCAAGTCGTGTGGGTAGATCGTAAATAAACTGCTCTTTCAAAAGAAGATGAACTGTGTTACTCACACATGCCCAGTAACAAAGACTACATCCTAAACTCAAAAATCAGATTTATCGTAACGGAACAACAACTAAATACGTATCACAAACTGGATACACTTTGGTTTTCAGTTTCAATTTTATCATAAGCGGGCAATGACAACAGCCCTCAGCCGAATATGGTTTGAAAATGTGACAAGAGAAATCATATTTCCAACTTTTGTTCAATTTTGTATGAATAATGCATGTGGGTTGAAGGTCGGCTGTCAATTCCGACATAATTGAGCAGACTAAGTGCATGGAAGACATCTAAATTAACCATACTTGAACTTTCCGTAAAAGATTGCGAGTTCGGTGCAATTTCTCTATGTGCTCTCTTTTTTCAAAGAGTGAGGTATTGACCCCGTCACTTTTAGACTGCACGGACATTATCTGTAACAAGAAGAAATTTTTGTAATGTTACTGTTGACGAGCTATATTGCAGGCCCAACAAAGAAACCAAAGGACAAGATATACCTTCTCGAGAAGCTGTTCCATATTTGTCTCCATGCCAACAATGTTACTATTCATTCTGGAAGTCAATAGAAACCAAAGAATTCCTCATCACGGGCACACAGAAATAGGACAAAAGGTTCAACAGCACAACGAAAACTTCAAGACAGACAAGACAAAGCTAAAATGGTCATCAAAATCTTTGTTAACCTTTTATTTGCCAGAGGCTTTTTACCTTTTAATTGTGTCTGTGGCACTGATGAACTTGTTATAATTTTCATACACCAACATTTGCAGATCAGTGTCAAGATTCTTTATCTCGGCAGCCATTTCAACATGTTTCTGGAGCAACCCCTCCAAATTTGACTTTTGAATCTACAAGACATACACAGCTTCTGAATAATCACAAACCCATGTATTACAGAAGAACTACAACAACATGAAATGAGCCAGGCATCTCCATCCAGCAAATTCTCATGTATAAAATATTTTCTAATTTATTTCTAATTCTTGACATGTATTTCCCTCCCGCTTTCAATTTAAGTTAATGGTTCTCTATTTCCAGGCATTTTACACACCTTACTGGGCATCTAAATGTTGTCCACATATCCCATTTCCACAAGTATTGTGACTATCCAGCTTTTTTTCTAATGCATTCATCGCGGATTTCATCAGAAAAGAATAGAAAGTTACTATAATGGCATCCAAGATGCAAGATAAAGAGAGTTAATTAGCCACGGTAAGATATTGCACAGTTCTTCTCTACCCTTATAATAATGCCTGAGAGGAAAACCAGATTAACTAAATTAATGATGCTCATAGCTGCAAATCTGTGTCTACTTCCAGTAGCTGCTCAAATGCATTCATTATTGGCTAACAACCACAAATAAATGTGGCATCAGTAGCTATGAGTAGCACTGCCTTGATCACAATTATAACTATGCTCAGTCATGAGCATCTCAGAAGAATATTTGATTGTGTGTATAGTAACTACAGTAATTACTTCCAAAATGATGGGAAATAGATTGCACACGGTTACAGAATAATCAAAGTGATTCAAACTAAATCAAAGGACAACGACACTAGAACTCTTTACTCTGAGCATGATCGCAGTAATTACTAACAACATCACATTTACATTTCCAATTAGGACTATATTGACACAATTTTCTGGGCGGATAACCAAGCGATGTTATCCTAAAAACAGCATTCCAACGAGTAAGAGGTGTAATCACATCACTGTGTATTCTATCGGACCAAAATCGAGATGGAATGTAAAATTGAGGTTACGTACGAGGAGATTCATGTATTGATCGGCGTCGAAGTTGGGGGTGTTGATCGTATCCAGAGTAGCGAACCTTGAAGTAGGAGAGTTGGAGTTGGCGTTCACCGAAGAAGGATCCGGAGAGTAGAAGCTTGACAGCAGATCTCTCATCCGCTTGGCCTTGTCGTCCAACGGCACTTCCTCATCCACCGCCATTTTTCGATCGATTTTGCAGATCTTTCCACTTCTTTCTTTTCTTCGTACAGCGGGGAAATAAGGCGCGGGAGTGACTTTTAGATGTGTTTCCGGCGACCACTTTTCAGTACAGGTAAACACTGCGACGTCGTACTTTCTTCAAACAAACGGGCACATTGCAAACTCATCCCTCAATTTCAATCTTGTGCTCGATTTACCACCCCAATTTTAAGACAAATTATTATTATATTCTAAACGCAATTGTTATAACCAAAAACTAATGGGCCTTTTCCCAAAAAAAATTAAATAAAATAAACGTGGACAAATTTAAATTTTTCAAAATATTTGTGGACAGAAATATATTGCTCGGATTTCTGAAATCCGAGTTTTGATTAATATTAGAGATTCGGATTTTGCAAATCCGGATTCATACTTAATAATAAAATAATAATTTCATAAATTTTGTTGAATAATAGTTTTTTTAGTTCTTAAATGAACAGTAAAGCTCGGATTTGTAAAATCCGAGTTTAGTTAAAAATTAATAAATCGCGGCGCGAAATTTTTGAATCCAAAAAACCGGATGTCCGTAATCCGGTTTGACGAATTCGGATTTTAGAAATCCGGATGCCTTTAATTTTGGTTGGTGGAAGTAGGCATGTGCCTTAAATTAGAGGACCAAAAATTAATAAAATAATCTGAATTGACTAAATTGGATTTATGAAATCCGAATCTAACATAGTTCGGATTTGAAAATCAAGTTACTTACGGACTCGGATTTCGTAAATCCGAGTTTAACGTGCTATAAAAGAAAAAATTTGAGGCGGTTCTCATTCGAGAACCGAGTTGGATTTTCTGTTTTGCGGCTCAAACAAGGGCGAATTGAAGTTTTGATGTATTCTTGCCTCTAGATACGTGGAAATCGTTATTTGAAAGAGGTTAGATTGCAAAACCATGTTATTTAGTTTATTTTTGTGTTATTTTGATTGTTAGAATGATGTATGATAGATTAGGGTTTATGTTGGTTGGTTGTTTGGATGTTTTAGGTGTTGATTTTGAGGTTAGAGATGAGAAATCATAGTTGTTCATGAGATATCGAAGTTGATTTATAAGTATTTTAGTATGGTGTATTTGTTGGAGTATGTATGGTGTATGGTGTATTTTAGAGAATGTATGGTGTATTTTGTTGATTTTGTTATTAAGAAATGATTAGTTATTGATGTTTTTTTAACAGCTTATCAATGGCACGTAATGTATCATACATGCTTAATTTGTATCATACAAGTAAGTATGTGATAGAGAACGGTAGCATCAACACTTTTCGAATATGCCGGATGATGGTTTGTTTGTCGAAGAAAGGTTGTCATATGAGGGATTGATTAGTAAGATTTGTATGACCCTTGGTTGGGATCCAAGACACGTGAAACTCCACCTTTCGTTGATTTTCGATAGTCACGGTGGTAGGCGTGTAGTGAAGATCAAGAATGATTCGCATGTAGAGTTCATGAACCGTGTAGATCCAATGTCATGTTTGGATTTATACATAGATTTGGAAGATATCACTCAAGAAGAAAGAGAAGCGAGTTTGGAAAACGTGTCATTTGGTGATTTTCAAAGGGGGGAACGTGCTAGTACTTCTCGAAACCGTGATGAAGAGGACCTTTATTTGCACAAAATGACTACCGGGAATAGTCGGATTCCGACTACATAGCTCCAAGTGAAAGCGAAGAAGACTGTGATGTCTCCGGAGAGAGTGATTTTGAAGAAAGTGATGATGAAAGGTTGGAAAATGAGGAAAGGGATTGTAATCTATTCGCCCGACGTAAGATGGGGAACTGGGATGCCTCATGTGTAGACAAGGATGAGTTTGCTCTTAAGATGTGGGATGAGACGCCCGAAGGAATGGACATTGGTGTTTGTTTCAAATCTCAATCAGAAGCAAAGCATATTGTGAAATTATGGAATATCCATCATAAAGGGAATATACGGTCGCCGCAAGTAGTCCAAGGACGTGGGCTGTGCGGTGCATAACATTTAATGTGGAAAGTGAGGATGGTGAACCACCATGTGAGTGGAAGATGTGTGTGTCATTGAAAGCTCACGGCCTTCATGAAATTGTGAGATGGCATGATGCACATAATTGCATGACTTCTGTCAATGATAATGACAATCGGTGTGTGGACGCGTCTTTGATTGCTAGACTCATCAGGAGAAAGGTTGAGGACAACGTAGATTATACGGTAGCCTCGGCACAGAAAGATGTGAAGACCTTATTGAAAGTAGATTTGCCATACAAAAGGGCGTGGCACGGGAGGAGGAAAGCCATAGAAGCGGTCTATGGTGATTGGACCTCCAATTTCGAAGAACTTCCACGGTAAATATCAACTTTTATCCGTGTATTGAAATATTTATAGTATTTTTATTTTTACATGTATTGAAATATTTTAACAATGACTTGTTGTTGTTTAGGTATATCATTGCGCTTAAGTTTACTAATCCACGAGGCGTAGTAGAGTGGGAATGGAAGGAGGGACAAGAAGGTTGGAACAGGGGAAACCGGACATTTAAATACGTCTTCTGGTCATTTGCACCGGTGGCTGAGACGTTTTTTGAATGTCCACCGGTCATTTGTATCGACGGAACCTTTTTGCGTGGTGGATACAAGGGTAAATTGCTTGTTGCGGTGGTGTATACCGCAAACAAGCACATTTTACCGGTTGCATTTGCGATCGTTGATGAGGAGACAGTAGAGAGTTGGACATTTTTTATGAGGAATTTGAGGTTGTGGGTTGTGTATGATAGAATCGTAAGTGTGATATCCGACCGGAATGCAGGGTTGTTGAGCGCAATGTCACAGATGGATGAATGGCGTGATTTAGGTGATGGTGGGCACTTTCTTTGCCTCCGCCACGTTCGCAGCAATCTTGTGTCGCGATATAATAGCAAAAGGTGAAGCGGTTATGTTGGAAGATGGGCACGACGCTTTCAAGAGTGAAATACAACCGTATGAGGCGAGCTTATTGAATTCAAACTGCTGCATGGGAGTATCTTCGAGGATTGGGGGAGTAATCGGGCTCGATTGAAAGCGGTCTTCGCCGTTGGGGCATAGCGACAACCAACATTTCTAAGAGTTACAACAATGCGTTGAAAGGGATCCGTTTTTACCAATTAGAGCCTTGATCGATGCAACCTTTCGCAAAGCTGTTAAATTCTATAGAGAAGAACAATTGTGCGAGAAATTGCATGACACCGATCCCTCTGAGTTATGGAAAAATACGAGAAAATGAACGATAAAGCGGCCGTTTTGAAGCCACCCTTTCGATGGTGATGATGCTATGTGGCGTGTTATTCTGCCACACGCCTAAGTGGCGAGGGTGGGTCTCTGCATACGGTGAACTACGATGAACATAGGTGTTCGTGCGGGAAGTGGCAAGAGTACCGCATGCCTTGTACGCACGCACTCCAAGTTTGTCGGAGAAAAGGGGATCGGCCTATTGATCTATACCATAGTGTGTGGCACCTTCCAACGTGGCGCAGACAATTTCATTACACGGGCTTTGTTCGGTTCTCGATGAGGAACAATGGCCGATGGTCAATGGAACATCATTCGAATTATGAGCGTCTTGTGTTGCATGCGGGACCGGACGAAGACAAAAAGGAGACATAGAATGCAAATGGATTACGGAGACGCCGGAGCCGGGGAATGTTGGAGATGTGGACAACTAGGTCATGATGCCAATTCATGTCCGTTCTCGCACCAGGAGTAGATAGAAGACATGTGAATGACAGCTGGAATTGAGTGTAATTTACTGTTCTTGCAAGTTATTTAGTGTTTGATAAATTTATGTGAACATTGATAAATTCGAATTGTAATGTGAACATTGAATTTTTTGGATTGTAAAGTGTGATGAAATATGTACTATTTTTCATAATCAAAATCGGATTGTGTAAAATACTCATCATTGTAAGGTTTTGTGAAGCATTCGGATTTCAGAAATCCGAGTTCAGAGTTTTTTTTGAAATTGCAAAGGACTCGGATTTCCGAAATCCGAATGGGTGAAAACCATCCGAGAGTTGCAATTTGAGGAGAAACAGGGGAGATTCGGATTTTATAAATCCGAGCTCAGAGATTTTCTCGAATTTACTAAGGACTCGGATTTAGAAAATCTGTGTTTGTGAAAAGTATCCGAGAGTTGAAATTTGAGGAGAAACATGGGAAATTCGGATTTTATAAATCCGAGCTCAGAGATTTTCTCGAATTTACTAAGCACTCGGATTTAGGAAATCCGTGTTTGTGAAAAGTATCCGAGAGTTGAAATTTGGGAAGAAAAAGTACTAACTCGGATTTCGCTAATCCGAACTCAGAGTTTATTTTTAATTTACAAAGGACTCGGATTTCAGAAATCCGTGTTTGTGAAACCATCCAAGAGTTGAAATTTGAGGTAAACAGGGAAGACTCGGATTTTGCAAATCCGAGTTTGACGGGACTATATAGTGTTCGGTCAACTCTTCCCTTCCCATTTTTCCCCCAATTCCAGAATTAACAAAACCCTAAAACTAAACTCCAATTAAACAATAATCCGGCGACTCCCACCACTCAATCCGGCGACTCCCTCCACTCCCTCCGTGATTTCCGGCGACCCTCTTGCATTCCGGCGACTCAATTTCCAGAATCCGGCGTCTCTCCTCCCTCTGCACAATCCGGCGTCTCTCTTCCCTCTGGATAATCCGGCGAGGTTCCTTGCAATCCGGCGACTCCCTCCGACTATCTCCATGTCCGGCGACTTCCTCCACTCCTCCCGACTTCCTCCATTACTCACTGTAAGTTTTGGCCGGCGATCCTCTCTTTATTTTTTTTTGTCAAAAATTTTTTTTTCTTTGTGAAATCCGAGTCCTTTTTTTTTTTGAATAAACAAGTTGTGTTGAATTTAAGTTGTGTCTATTGTGAATTGCTTATAGATGTGGTGTTGATATAGTTTGGTAGTTTTGGCCGAGTGTACATAGTTTGGTAGTTTTGTTACTTG